CTCCGAACGTAAAAGTCATGAACAATGGTAAACGGGGGAAAAAAAAAAAAAAAAAAAAAAAAAAAAAAGTAACGAGATATTGGTACATAGCGAGGAATAGTTTTCCAAGCGAAGTACATTGTGTACTTTTAGTACACGTTGTGGCTCTTCGTTAACAATTTCCCTAACAATCATAAAATCCCGCTAACTGAGCCGATGGGACCCGACCGAGTCGGATCAAGTCAGTTTCGGTTCTTGTCCGCAACCGATGTCAACTCGGGATCTGACATTGATTGATAATCTGTTCCTTTGTACAGACAGAGAATGAATGCTGCTGGTAAGATTAACGCGGCGCAAAGGTGTTGTCTGTGCATCCACGTATAAATAAAAACGGACATCGTTATATCACCCATAATAGAATCTCGATATTGTACCGAGGATACTATCTATTCTAGAGCACCACGCTACACTTCCCGCTGTCAATCTGACCCACTCGAAATCATGATTGAGCCCTTTTACTGACAGACAATTCTCGACCATTTTTCAGGTGGGGGAAGAAACGATGTTCAATCGCGCGCTTCTGGTAGGTTTGACTTAAACCCACTTGTTCCACTGATTGAATAGATTATTCAGCGGGGTTCCTGGTCAGAATAGGAAGTCGGAGCCTATGTACTCGCTCGTTTGGGATACTAGTCACGCGGGCTGGTTTTGGACAATTTTGTTGAGACCACTGTGTCAGGTTTGAGGTTGGTTGAACCAAATTATGGTTTCGGTACTCTGGGCTTCCGCACGATGCCGGTTTACATTCTAGAAGGGTCGCTGATGGGAATCGTACTGTGCTCTATGGGCACACGTGATTTACCGCCTGAGGCATGAAGGTAACATGCCTTGTAATGATGGCAACCATTCATCATGTGGCGGTTTCCGCTGTCTATAACGCATGTAGACATCTAAAATGATGGCCCTCGTTCTATACGTTTTTTATTTGTCCTGTCTACTAAGTCCTCTGATCATGAATACAGCCAGTGACGCAGAATCCCTCATAGCCTTGCTGACCGAAGTGGAGTCACAACCAACCGTTGCATCACAAGTAGGCTGAACTCGAGAGTCATAAGGGTTTCCCTCGTATTCGTGATACAACAGTAGCCATTCTCATCTCGAATCCAAAGGGAGAAATAATAGCCATTGGCTTCCAGCCACGAAATGGAAAGGACACGCTTATGCTCGGGAAGTTCTTAGCAGACTCCAGGAGATCGGGCATTGGCTTTCCAGTCTGGAATAATCAATAAGACGGAAAAGGAACAAATGTAAGAATAAAAAGCCTGGAATAGTGAACGAAGACTTGTTTCCGGAACCTCTACGTGAGAAGGTCAGTCCGTTTAGGGTTGCGATCCATATGTTTTCACAGCAGACGTTCTGCCTGGGACGAGAAGTCTTTGGTGAAAATACACGTGTAGGTGCTTTATATAATATGTTGAGAGCTTGTCAAACGACATGAAGTGCAATGAGGTCGTCAAACATTTGAAATTATTAGCCGTGTACTTAGTTGAGTCATGGATGTTTACGACGATAACTTAGGCAGGATTCCTGATGCTGAAATGCTGAAGTTTGTTGACGATATAAACTAAATTTTCTTTACGGTAAAGGAGTTATGGAAAATCGATTACTGGCATTACCATCTTTCCGCCCCAAGAAGTGATTGCCCTAAATCAATTATTATCATATTCGGTAACTATCCTCTCCAGGCTTCCCCTCTCGTGAGGAATTTATCACGAAAATATCTTGCATATCGAGGGCTGTGTATACACTACTACTCAAGTATGCGTACTCCCCATGTTCGTACCACAAGTACCTGGGCAGGATGAAGTCTCACGTCCAATTGTTGTGTAATATGCCTTGACTGATTGGTCTCCCCGTGGTAGCAGAAGATTGGAGAACTTTCAGCCAGAAGGTTCTTGCGCAGACACCGCGTCGAATTCCCGTTGGATAGAATTACAAGGATCAGAAGCCGGTATCCTCTACCGAATCGTTTTAGGCAACGTGTTACAGCACTAGTTCACATTGCGGATGCGCGTTGGCTCTTCAACTCTCTGCAAGTGATTCACCAGCAGTCGGTTACAATGGCGTATCGAGAATGTCTTGTCTCGCCTGTTGACACTTTTTGAAGAGTCTACAATGTGCGGGACATAAGTTTTACACCAAGGGCTCGCATCCAAATGCGTGCTTCCCATGGGAGTACCCCAATGTTGAGATCAGACAGGCAGGGTTATCTGAGTAGAGCGCAAAGATCTTCAAGTCACTCTGTGATGGCCTGTCTGAAACGTATGTGTGGCGGCTACAGGAACGAGAGAGATTTGCGCATGCTCTCGGCGGCAAGACAGTATACACGGGACTTCAATTTCTCGATGGATGTGTTCGATAGCGAATAAAATCTGATACCGATAGAAACGAACGCGGTCAGACCTGCCTGCGCCTCTTTTGTCGATATCTTGGTTTACATGGAAATGAAGAACGGCACTGTAAAGAGTGTCATGGAGAACTGTATTATCAAATGGCCAGTTCCAGCCAGCACGATAACGGATCGGAAATCAGCAATTAATCTTCTGGCCATAGCTTCCAGTTTACTGGCCGGTAAAAAGGCCAAGTCACCACGTCCACGCCAAGTGTAGACCCTGCCAAGGCAAATCATCATTTAACTTTACTATATACAGCAGCATACAAACCCTATCCCTATTCTAGCACTTTATTCGACTGTCATGTTACGAATATGTCATGAACCAAAAAGCCCCACTGTAAATTACAACAATCCACAACCCCGTAGATCCTGAGATCGTAACGACTACCGCAAACAGTAAAAATTACAGCCTCAGGCCGACAAACCCGCAGATCCGCAGGCGTGGCAGGTTCGGGATCTTACCGAGATAGGCTTAGAGGATTTGCCAGGTGAAAGGAGGGGCCAGGGGAGCAAAGCAAAGGCAAAGAATTACGTATCCACAGATGAACTCGGGAGGCCGGTCAAGCTTACTGCAATGAGAAAGCCAAACGACCCGGTGCCATGCATGGAGGATCGACAATGGCGGGAGGGTCTTTTTAGGGCAAACTTTATTGTTTACTGTATGGTATTGTTATTACGTACGTGCTTTTATGGAACTAACTAAACACGGGTTAGACTGCATCAAAATCTCCGAATATAGTTTCAGGCCCCGCCAAGATGCAGAAAAAGAAATATTCGAGATTTTCTTATTGGTTGTCGATGATCGGCTTGCGGTGTGGAAAGTCTAAGACTTGTTACAAGTCTGTAACGTCGTGTGCTATGCTATGTCTGTGTCTATCTGTGGTTACTTTTCGGTCTGTTGCCGAGAACCTCTCAACTCTCGACTTTACCCGATCATCCCCCGGCGTTTTCACCACTCTAACCACAATCGGATAGCAGTTGCCAACATGAGGCGTGCGCACGAGTACAGCACAGTCAACATAGCAGAGTACATCAGAGCATTTCTGGTAGATCCTACTGTAGTCCACAAGTCCACAATAAATCCCTCAGGGCTTGACCGTACCAATCCCGTCAATCAGCCAGTATACCACTACATCATAAGGCAGCGCCGCAGTGGCAGCGGCAGCGGCAGCGGCAGCCTCAGTCATCATTGCCACAGTGCAGAGCACAGGACTACGCAAGCAGGTTGCGGCTTGATAACTATCGTCATCGTCATTTGCTTCTGCTCTGCTCTTCGTAATGTGATGGGATATGTCCAGAGTGCGTCGTTTCAGAGTGCTTTTTTTTTTTTTCTTGAACGGCGCAATAACTGAATTTGGTCTTGCCGTGGTGTTTCTTTTTCTGTATACGAGTGCTTCATACAGGCTGTGTACGCCTACATAGGATGCAAAGTAATGCTTTGTCTCATGTGATGTGATTTTTTTGAGGCAAATGATATCATTATATGCTGGAAGATATCTGTAGATGATCTATGGAGACTGTATACTACGAAAATAAGACGACAGATAGCATGAGAACAGACTATGGATGTAGAATGTTGTCATGGCACGCCTAGTATATATCAAGATGTATATTTCTGTACCATAATCTCATGCAAATAGAACATGCAGTCACAGGATACATATGTACGGAGTATACTTGTAGACAATCCTCTGTGCCCATGCAGAGATCAATAATAACCATTCCCATCCATCCGGTTTCCAAAATCAACCAATGCAGTGCTACATCCTCCCAATCGACATCTCTCGTACGCTCCGTGCATCTCCTCGACAGGCCCTTGCGTCTGACCGTTGTAGTTGGTCCTAGCTCTTTCATCTGTACGAAGTAAATGACAGATCCAATGGACACATTACAAACGGACAACCCTGTACATAGGATGCATATGTGTGCAAGTAAATATGTAAGCATGTACGGAGTAAGTATGAATACCCAAGGCCACTATGTAATCAATCATGAGACGAGATCGTAACAAGACGTAATGCGTCTTTTGTCTCGCCTCCAATACCACCATTACAGGACGTGACGACGGCAGACGGACAGATGGGATTCAGCTTCTGGTCTCTTGCAGATTTAACCCACGCTCCTGGGACTTCGTATCTCTGTGTACAAGTATTGTATGCACATAGTCAAGGAAAACATACTGCTCTGGGTATAGCCAGCATCAGGAAATACCGCAACGCAATCACGCTCCGCGACTACTGCACAAAGAGTAAAGCTCATCCCGACAGACAGGTTTCCTCTCGTCCGCATCGGTCTTGTGTCACCAGTATGGCGAAATTGAATAATAATCCCTGTTGGCGTGGAGTCCCAAGAACGTTCGCATGGGCGGCGAATGGGCGAGACCGGGTCTGTATAGTAAGCATGAACAGTTAATTAAAACGGCCCTTATCATTTCGTCGTCCGGTGCGTTCCCGTGTCCGGGTGAACAACTGCAACAGATGGATGACCAAGTCTCCGGGCTTTTGATTCTAGCCACACTTCGGTACCACAAAGGAGGCATATCAGGTACTGAGGCAGAAGGAAAGCAGTCTTGTGAAACACTACCTTCAAAGGAACCTTTGCCTCGTGTCCATTTCTTTTCCCACTGTTAATGACACCGGTCCACCATGAGACATTATTATTGCTATCTCCATGCGGAGTTGGGAGCCTCCTGTACTCCGTTCAGAGTGTAGGGGGGGGAAGAAAATACATTTCAAAGAGAATATGCCGGGTTGAAACCCGTAGAGTTTTGCTGGTAAGTCATACAAATTTACCAGCATGCATATACATCCAGACTGCGCAGGAAGAGTACCCATCGTAGATTATCGCACCAATCAATATGACATCTCCGCACTGGCGCCGGTGTTGCCGATCCGCAGCTTGTATTCTGCTCAATGACAGCCCATACAAATTCTGGACACCCGGATAATAATAATACACGGTGATAATCCTGTGGCAACGAATATAAACTTCGCGCCTTTTAGTTCTCAAGCGTCGTCGCCCAACGTCGCTTCCGGCACGAGTACAACATGATTGGTACGCAAAACTCCCGAAATCACCAGCCATGCGCTTCCCACGAAGATCCACGACGGAATTGCCCGACGAGGTCCTGCGGCCAGAGACCAGTTACAGGCCTCGAATCAGCCTCTGGAGATCAGATCATCCTCTTTCATCGCGCAGTGCCGATATATGTATGTACGCAATTGCAGGGCCAGCTTTTCTCTGTGATCGATTGTTGCAGCAGTAATACTTTGTAGTAATACTCCGATTTCGTGTTATGTAGCGGTAGTCGCCGCGACTGGCCATGGATCACAATCCTTTTTTTTTTGTTGCGCTGCCTCAAGAAACTCAGTGCCAGTGTACATATACGCCGTATTGGCTGACTGCGAGGCATATTCAAAGAGTCACACCGTACCTGATGTATTTGTATGGAGCAGCATTCCTTTAGCCCACGAAGTACGGAGTACACCGAACGGACATTTCGCACATCCTTACCCATCCACCGAAGCCTTCCTTCATTTTAATAATAGTAGAGGCTTACTATACCTGCACACCGGAGATGATCTTCCTTCTGGGATAAGTTGCATTTCTCCCAAGCCATCCAGCCCAATCCATGGCTCGCTCCGTGTCGCGTGTCGGCGATGAATGAAACTTTGGCCCCCATATCTACATGCGGCTTTCCAAAGTTCGAATGAGCAAACCATCTTCCCCCCTTCTCGATCAATAGTAATTTCCATCTGAGCGTTCCTCTCCCGCTCTCTACTCCGTACTCCGTACTCTTGTTTTTGGGTTTCTCCAACATTTCCTCCTTTCCATGTGCCCAAGAAATGTACCAGCGGGAGTAACCGCCGGCGATGACGAGGGATTCCCGGCCCCCTCTGCGACCCTGGAGAGAGCGCGTGCACAGACTCAAAGTGGCGTGGCATGCATTATCTGTCCTTGTATTCCCCCGAACTCGTGGACAGCACTGACAACTGGTTGGTCTTACCGCTGCGGCTCTCCTGTCAGGCTAGGTGGTATGATGATATCGGGGTTGGAAGCATAAGTGAGAGAACGAGGCATATACGGCAGTACGGCCTTGATTCCTTGTAACCAACGCTAGTAGCACCGCCATCGCCGTCGCCGTTGCTGTCGCTATCGCCCGCCGATTGTAGTAGCAACCGTAATCCAAACTTCGCAGCCGTGTGAACCTAGTTATCGTACTCCGTGCTGTTCGTATTGACGGTTTAACTGGCCGAGTTGTTATACGGGGTACTCTGTTATGCTGTGCGTCGTAACATAACGCATCCCACTGCGTATCAGCCGAAAAGACTCGGATTGGGTATTTTGTGTTTGTCCTAGTGCACATCGGCTGAGGCTGAGCATCTCTGTACCACCAGGTGACCTTTGAGTCATGGAATAATACATAATGGCAGGGGTTAGAGGGAAGTTTCTTCTGCTGAAGTTATACTCAGGTGACAAACAAACAAATTGACCACGTGAGATTACGCCTGATCTGCCCATGTTTGTATGCCGGATGACTGTTATTTGGAACAGAAGGACTTGGTCAGTATTCCGGATATCAGCAGCTTTTAGTGTGAGGATAGAGTCGAGACTTATTGTAAAAAGTAAGTTGAAAAAGAGTTGACAGCGTATGTGTTTATATATCCCTAGTCATCCACAAAATAACTGGATCCGATGCGTTGTTATACCCAAGTAGAAGCAGCAGACAACAACCGGCAGCATAATCCCCTGGATGCAAGAAGACACATACTCACCCTTCTGGGTAGCCAGGTCTTCCTTTTTCATCGACCGAACAAAAAGGACAACATGAAAATACTAAAATATGATGTAGTATGTCATGCTATATTCATTGAGCTCGTGTATATAAACTGATTGTTTTTATGCCCCATTCTATCCCTCCCGATTCTGGTCACTGTATATGTCCAAAAAGCAATGCAATCGTACACTCCATCTCACCTGATTTACATATATATAGGGTCGAAGCGGGCTTAATCACGCTTCCAAGTTGAGGTTCTCGAGCAACTGGTCCAACTTTTCCATGAGAATCTCGTAGTTGATTGCATCCTTCGAGAATTCATCGTTCGTAACTTCACCGTCCAATGTTTCGAACACCGGAGCGTCCTGTCCTTCTTGAGGTTGTTTGTGTGCTGCTACTTGAGCAACACCTGCCCCCTTCTCTGCAGTTCTTGGAATTTCAAGCGTTTTGACACCATCCGTGATCTTATTCACGCCCTCAGCAGCATCAGCTTCAACTTCCTTTGATTGGACTTCTCGCTCCATCATTTCCTGGACACCGGCATCGTCAAATCTCAACCGGAAACGCTCTCCAAGGTAAAAGCGGATGTCATCCAGCATTTCAATGGTGTCGGTTTCCTGTCTTCCTTGGACCCTGAAGGCCGATTCTTCAATCAATTCCGCAAACTCAGGAGTGTCGATATGGGCTTCCAGTCGATATGCCAAATATCGAGCCGCGAATTCTTCCAGGCGTTGAACCCGGGTCAGCCAAGCAGCGCGAACTATGGAATAAATATCAAGTTCATCCTCTTCCGCTCCGCCTCGTGTCCTCGCAGCCTCTGCCTGTGACATGTTACCGCTTCCAAGAGTACTGATCACAATCGCAGCCTTTGTCTTCAATTTCTCAATAAATAGCATATCAGCTGCAAACAGAACATCAACCGCAACGTCGAGCGAGAAATCCGTCTTCTCCGTATAAAGGAAGGCAAGGACAATCTCGAGGATTTCCGGAGAACAGTCCACATCAATTATCTTAAGATGATCTGAAACATGCGCCTCGCGGAAACGAGAAGAAAACATGGCGTGAAAGAACTCAGATCGCAGAAGCACCGCTCGATGACAAGGGAATAAGGTCGATTTCTGAATTTTGTCATCTTTCTGACCAGACTGCTGTTCGACATCGTTGGCATCTTCCTCCGATTCCTCCGAAAGCTCATCAGCCCTAAGCAAGACGTCCGCGAAAACCGCATTGTTGCGGTCCCATTTGACCTGATCTATTTTGGACGTTTCCACCACAGTCCGATTCCGAAGAACATTCTCCCGGAACCACTCCTCAAGGTGATCTCGGCCTCGAGAGATCTCAATGGTTCTCCGTTGTCTAGCCATTCTCCGGTCCCCGCTATCGAGCATACTGTCTAGGAGGCTCTGTATTCCAAGGTGTTTCGCAACTTTATCGATTCCTGCAAAGACCTCTGACTCGGTAAACCCTGTTCCTGGCCCACTCCGCAATTCACGAGGGGCTTCTCCCAAATATAGATATTTTATTGCTGCCACAAAGGCTTGTGGTGGAATGTGATTGGGAAGTCGCCATGTTGTACTGTCAGGAGCAGCGGCTAGCTTTTGACGGAAATAAGGAGATCGTGCCGCCAGTATGAACTTATGCAGGTGAAGAGACTCGTCATCCGCAGTGACGACAATATCTGAGGTAACAGGCTGGTCACGAACAAGAAGCGAAGAGATATGCGCAGCGAGCGGTTGAAGCGGGTCGGTCGACTTTGAATAATCGTATTCGAGCAATAAGTTCCGTATACGATCATTTAAAGCGTTATATAGACATCTATTAAGACACCCGTGTTAGTCAATGTCGCTTTTAGAAACTCAAAGAAAGAGAGGGAAGAGAGACCGCAAACCTTTCGCCCTGGAATGTATCTCGCTCACACAACGCACCCGACTCGAGAAGAAGTCGCACCACTTCAAAGTGTCCACAAAGACTGGCCTGTTAAGCACAATTCTGTCAGCTTGAATTCTCATGAGGTTGCCCATGGCATCCGCAACCAGACGCACTGCCACCAGTCAACCACGCAAGGGGACGAGTCAACGTACCAAAATCAATGGAGTATAGTCGTAAGGGTCGCGGGCATTGACATTAACACCCTCTGTTATCTTCTCCTGACACACTTTCAAGTCACCCTGTCGACAAGCATTGCATAATTCCTCGAACGGTTTACTGAGATCTAGTGGGTTGTCGTCCTTGATCGTCCCCTCCTTAATCAGTTTCTTCTCATTGTGCAGGCTTATTTCTAATTGATCCTTTCGAAGCACAGTCGGTTCGTTCTCAGCCATCGTGAAACTGTCGCAACTCTCTTTTGTCGTGTATACTTCGAGGAAGCTAATATAAGTGATAGTCTCCCGGACTTTGCGGCGGAGAGGCGGGATGAGGAAATGCAATCATCTTATCGATAAGAATCACGTGAGGGGGGGTTAGCCATTGTATTGCCACCAGAACGAGGACAGGGGTAACCACGAGATCGAGCTATCAATTGCTACCGAGAAGGGGATCTGCATCGTACACCGTGTCTATATATATTTATTTATCAAACTTCTATTCGCAATGAGATATTCGACTGATCGCACACAACAAAGATGATAGCATCGGCATACTATCAACGTCACGCTTCACCGCCCAAACTCACACCGCCTGCTGCAACCAGCAAGGGCTGAATGGTGCACGTCGTTGCTGGGCAACGGGGTGCAGCTAAACATCCCGTTGCATGGAGACGTTACTTGAACTCTTCTTTCTCTCTGCATCTGCGCTGCACGTTTCTGACACCACTCTCTCGCGATATACTAACCAAACAGGTACTTTAGCAGCTTCGACAACCCTCTGATCTGTCAATGAGCTAGTATCGTCTTCAAATAACTGAAACGCCGCTTGTCTTTTCTTCCATCAATCCCCTTTTTGAGACCTTAACCACCGTGGTTCAACTCTTCGACTGCCACCATGGCAATTGCTTTGGCTGAGGCAGACAAATATGAGGTGCTGGAGAGAATTGGTAATTACCAGCGCGATCCTTTCTGCAATCGCCTGGCCGCTGACCCTGTCTCCAGGTTGTGGTTCCTTTGGAATCATCCGAAAGGTTAAGCGGAAGAACGATGGATTGGTAAGTCCTCAACGCTTTATCTATATAATTGAAGTATAGGGCAACTAAAAATAATATATTTGATATAGATACTCTGTCGCAAAGAGATCAACTACATCAAGATGTCCCAGAAAGAGCGAGAGCAGCTCACGGCCGAATTTAACATCTTGAGCTCCCTCCGTCATCCCAATATCGTCGCTTACTACCATCGTGAACATCTCAAAGCGAGCCAAGACCTATACTTGTATATGGAATACTGCGGCGGTGGAGACCTGAGTGTGGTCATCAAGAACTTGAAGAAAACAAACAAGTTTGCGGAAGAGGAGTTTGTCTGGCGCATCCTAGCACAGCTGGTGACGGCGCTATACCGCTGTCACTATGGTACAGATGCACCGGAAATTGGGTCGAACGTCCTTGGTCCCGCCCCCAAGGCCTCCGGTTTGAAGGGGAAACAGGCACAGATGACCATTCTGCATCGCGACTTGAAGCCCGAGAACATCTTCCTGGGTAACGACAACACAGTCAAGCTTGGTGACTTTGGGTTATCCAAACTGATGCACTCCCACGACTTCGCATCCACCTACGTGGGAACCCCATTCTACATGTCTCCGGAGATCTGCGCTGCAGAGAAGTATACCCTGCGTTCCGACATCTGGGCAGTTGGCTGTATCATGTACGAGCTCTGCCAGAAGGAACCGCCATTCAACGCCCGGACCCATATCCAACTCGTGCAGAAGATTCGGGAGGGGAAGTTCCCCCCTCTACCCGAGTTCTATTCTCCCGAATTGAGAAACGTCATCGCCAGTTGCCTGCGCGTTAACCCCGACAACCGACCCGACACCGCTGCTTTGATCAATCTCCCTATTATCCGTTTGGTCCGAAAAGAGAAAGAGGTTGTCGATATTGGTAGAACATTGCGAAAGCGTGAGGAGGTTGCTTTGCACAAGGTCAGGGACATGGAACATAACGTCGTCAAGATCGAAAAGGAAAAACAGCAGATGAAAGCAGAGATTGAAAGCACTGTCCGCAGAGAATGGGAAGTGAAAGCTAGGCTGGAAATTGACCGTCAAGTGCAGAATGAGCTCGAGAAACTGCGCAAGAGGTTCGAGTTCGAGGTTCACGAGCGAGTTGGTATAGAGTTGGAGAAGCACAAGAGAGACAGCAATGTCCACAACGACAGCGGATTTCAGTCTAGCCACACATCGCAATCCTCTGTTAGTGGTGGGGATAATCAGGATCCTGCGAACACTGATAACAGCCATCTGTCCCAGGAGTCACCATCGGCAAACGGGAACAAAGAAATCAAGAAGGAGACCCGTACTCCACTGTGCCGTTCCAAGACCGTGATTGACTCCCCTGTCGACATACAAATGGCTGAGCCCTCTCCAATGTCGATTGCTTCCCTTTCATTGTCGCCACGTCGTACGGCCGCACAGAATACTGGATCGGGCAGGAATATCTTCGCGGACCCAGAACGACAGAAACCTAAATGGGAACCAGCTCTGGCATACTCCGACGATGAAGACGACACTCCCGACCTGCCTTCTCCGACTCGTCCCAAGGTCAGACCCGACCCGTTCAAGGCCCCTGCTCGACCACTTTTGCGGCAGAACACAGCAGCCTTCATGCAGAAGCTGAGCAATCAGCCTTCGCTTTTTCCAACCAATCAATCGAGATTGCCTCAAGCATCGGGTAATATTCAGAATGAGGCAAGGCCCAAGTCACCTCACCGTCGCTTGTCCAAGATTCCGTCCTCTGCAAATCTTGCTGCCGACGCCGGATCTCCCACGCGCAAGTCTGGCTCCAAGCAGCTCACATCCAAAACAAACAGTGGCGGGGAAGAGATGTTTAAGGCTGTTCTGCAGCGCAACATGGGTGGCAGGACCCTGGTAGAGCTTGCGCAGGCCAGAGCCGGAGGTCGACCCCTCGAGGAGGTGAAGCGGTGCGCCAGTGACTCCCGTACTTCAGGCTCGAATCCCCTCAAGTCATCTGATCGTGAGCCACCAGCAGTGTGGGATCCCGAGAGGGATGAGATGCCCAGTCCCTTCCTGAACCGTGGAAGGAAGGTCGTCCGCAACCTGAGGTGAAAAGGGGGAACTCTCAGTTGCTTTGAACCCTCTATCTGACAAATGGCTGGTACCATACCTTATGTTGTTAGACGATATGTGAACCGACACCCACCTTTCGTTTCGTTCCGTTGCCCCAAGGAAGCCTTGTACAGGCGTTCTTCCTAGAGGCATTTTAGCATACCATCTTCCGACCGATGTCCCTCTTTCATCTTTCGACTGATTTCTTAATAGCTCTTTTGCTTCTTGGTTTCTGGAGTTACGGTGGAGTTATGAGTGCATCTTGAGTAGTGGCATTGACAATGCAAGGCGTGGAAGCCTCATGCATTTTCTTTTATATTATTATTACTACAGCCCTGTGAAAACTCGAGCTTGGACACAGACATCACAGACGATTTGATTTCCTTTGTTTTTATGAAGTGACGTCTACGCTATTTGATTGTTGGATTTTGGAGTTCCTTTTTGTTTTCTTTTCTTGCATCGAACCTTTAGGTTACTTGACTCTCGTCTCATCCCTATCAAGTTGGAGATACGCCTTTCCCTCATACTCTTTTGTCATTTGTTTTTTACTTGCGGTCATCTCTGGCGTGCAAAATAATTGGTGTTCAGGCGTGTGAAGGAGGCTCTGTGTATGTACATACATTTTTTTTTTTTTTTTTTTTTTGGTTTACGATTTCTGTCTAGATATGATATGTGGCAATTAATCCAGCATCTTATCTTGGTTTATTACATTTCTGCATAAAGCGTAGATCCCAAAGGTCATTGCTAAAGGCCATCAGAGCAGCCATGTTGGAGCATATCCAGATTCTATCCATTGATGTACAGGGCTTATTTACGATACCCCATTCCGGTTTTGTCATTCAAGTCAGGCTTCCTCGTCTTCAACCTCCTCTATTTGCACCGAGCGAAGTTCTTGGTTGAAACGCCTCTCTTCCTCTTCCAAGAGTCTCCGCCGTTCTTCATCATCATCAGGGTTACCCGTCGGCTGTCCCTCTGCAGGACCTGCCTGGTAGCCTGCTTTTTCGAGTTTATCCATCTCTTCCGGCTCCAAAAGCTTCCCTTGACCTCTAATAGATTCCTGTTTGACCCTGACAGCAGCCGGAACGAATTTACTGATTGCTTCCCGTCGCAAATCTTTGATATCAGGTTTAGCTTCATAGACTGTCTTAGATTCTGTCACAGGCGGCTTGTTTGGAAGAGTATGTGGCCCACGCACACCCTCAGCAGGTCCTGAATCTCTCTTCTGGTACTGTCTGGGAATCGGCGGAGGAGTATCCCGTGGCATGGGTATTCTTCGTACCTCCTCATCTGTCTCACTGCTGTCACTTTCTTGTCCAAATCGGTTATCACGATCGCCTCCCCGTCTCCTTTTCCCGAGTACCCCATCGCCTGGCCCTCTTGCACCGTCACCACCCCTTTCATTGAACTTGGGTGCCTTATCACCCAAAGCTTCTCGAGCCTTCTGCACAGCGCGCAGGTCTTTTTCCAGTGCCTCTAAGATCTGTTGTTCCCGTGGTCGTAGCTTCTGACCGGACTCTTGCATCTGCTTCAGCTCGTTGATCTGGCGTTGGATGCGATCGGGGTTGCGACGGGCGAGTTTCTCATTTCGGCGGGCCAGCGCATCTGCTTTCCCCTTCTTCATTGATTTTTGCTTGTCGAGTTTGTGCTGCGCGGCAGCCGGATTCATGGAACGTTCTTTAGGCATTGCGGTGGTTACTTTTCTTGTTCATGTATCACTGCGACAAACAATAATCATAGGGTGTGACAGGTTAGCTTTTTTGTGTAACTATAAAGCTCCAGCGTGGAGAGCGCGCGCGCGCGCGCAGAATCTGGCCGGGTGTAGCAAGGGAGCTCTTGCAGCACCTGCAGCTTACTAGAACCGATCAGATCTAGATTGGAGAATACTCACAATATGATAAACAAAATACAAAGCTGCAGATGGATGAAACGTCTTCTCTGGCGCTAAGGTTGATCGGATGGCGGTTATGACGCCTGCAGCTCTGTTGTCTGAGCGGCGTGACGACAATATGCGCGCGGTTGCTGAGAAGGTTGATATATATGTATGCGCAATGAATGTGACGATTCGATCGAGTATTGGGAATACGGCTTGAGAGTGAGTTGTTGGATGGAGGTTCAATATGCGGTTAGGAAGTTGAATGTAAGGTCGAAGCCGGGGCCGGCGGAGGATCCAAGCTCGATGGACCGGACTTTGAGGAACAGAAGATTAATACGACCACGGAGTCAAGCCTAGTCGTTTCATGGAATGACTGTTTGTGTACTGTTTCTACCAGAGCTGGCTCTCACTGGAGCTAGATGCGCGTTTTTATGTTCCTACCATCCCCACCACTATACAGATATGTATCCAGCAGCTACATATAGCGTCAACGGCGGAACAAATAGAGCAATATAGAGAAGTAAAAAGAAAACTAAAAGTCAACTGACGATTGTTCTCTTTCCTAGTTTGGCTTTTCCGCAATCAATCTATTCCATTTGGTGTTGGTCTGATCACCAAACCTTCGTTTTTTCTGCCCCTCTTTCCTCATTCTTCTTTTCCTCTCACCCTCTCCCCCCGGTCCCCTCAGGACCTGACTCTTTTTCGAATTTCGATCTTCTTTCTCACCGTTTAAGCCAACGACCAACGAAGAGAAACGCCGTGATTGCTTTTTTGCCGCCGACAATATCGACGGTCCATCTTGTCGACAGTCGCGGGCTATCCATCCTTCTGCCTCGGCCTCTACCCTTCTGTTCCCAATGACACCACTGGCTTCGACAATAGAAGGTGATAAGGAGCTTTAATATCCCTAGTTTCAGCGGCTGTTTTTGTGCCTGATTTCATCTGGTGCTTGAGTTACAAATTGCGGCGCTTTCTATTATCCTACCTCTCACCATTCTTTCCGGTGCCCGCATTCTTCTCTTCTCCCGGTCACCACCATGAACCTATGCCCGTTTTGTTTTCTTACATCGAGATCGATTAGCGCTTCCTAGACTCTCGTCGCGGTTGGAGCATGTCTCTGCCGGGACCAAATGTCCGTATCAGCCTCGATTCCCGACACCTCGCTTGGTCTTACCTCCTCCGAAATTCAAATCCTCCGACAACAACAGCAGCTCGTACTTCAGGGTGGTCATACCGGCGGTGGGGTTACCAGAGGCAGAGGGACTGGAAGGACCAGCAACGCTAGTTCGCGCGCTGCCAGTGCGGCCAGCAGTCATGGTCGATTGCTGCTTGATCCGATGAGTCTCAGAGCGCTTTCGCATCAATTGGATAATCTACAGGAACAGATCCGGAACCGTCTCGACTATGTATGTTCCTTTTTTTTTCCTTCTTGTCAAGATTCCTATCACTGCTTCACTTCCGGTCTCATTCCCACGCCAACCTCTAGACATAGAATAAAAGGGGTGATGGATAGGCAGTTTTGTGGAGCTTTTCATCTTTTGCACGCCTCACATACACCGCACATTCGCCATGATGTTCGTTTCATTAAGCTCTAACATGAAAATAGTTGGAAGAACAAATGCAACTCTCCTTACAGAATAGCACCGATCGCGCGGGAAATGTCATCCACAATGCAGACGCCGAGATCGCACGTACCCGTTCAATTCTTACTTCGATTGACGACCTTGAAACAGAGTTCGCCAAAATTGCGAATATAAGAGAAATCGTCAAACAGTACCGCGCAAGAATTGAAGGACTCGATCAGCGTCTTGACCAAGCTGCCCGGCGGAAGCGCTGACCTGTTTCACTTTTAATTTTCTTCCTACACCATTCATTTGAGATGATCCGGACGATATCTTCAGATGCCCTGGTGGCTTTTTCGTATCGGTTTTTATGTACTTCTTTGACTGCCGGATGGTTATATTGGCTTCTTTCACCACCTCTGACCTTCCTTCAACACCATCACCACACGACAAACCACACCACTAAAAAGCAAAAAGAAAACATTGAAAAAAAAAAAAAAGATGAATGTGCTTATGCCTCGATCTGTCCTATACGGACATTGTATCGTTATGACTTTTAGCAGCTTATAGCTGTTACGTTCCATGTGCCAAACGACCTTTCATGGAGAATCTTCGTACATATTTCGACAACTTTTTGTGCATTCGGAGGAAATCACTGGGTAAAGATTGGGACACGGCCTCGCGGCTCTTTTATTTTCATATATGAAAACGTCTTATGACAGTCAATATCCACAGGGATGGCAGGATGCTATAGCGCGGAGTTTTATCAAGCAATGATTTAAGGGATAATGATGGGCTCTGATGGTTTTGTTTGTCTTTTATGATACGAGATTTTTGCAGCTGATTATATTGCACAAGGGTCATGGTCTATGTGTTCGACTTCATGAATACTGGTTTTTCGTTGTCTGTTGTTGCAGCGCTGTGATTCCCCCGTTTGCACCTCTCCCTAATATATTCTGTTTTGGTTAATGTCTTTGAAGAAGTATTATGCTTTGTCGTGACCGCCATATCAAGTATCTATTTGTTTCTCTTTTTTTTTTTTTTTTTTTTTTTTTTTTTTTTTTTTTGTGCAGCGCGAGTAGAAACTGATTATGGAAGGATCAGCTGCTTGGAGCCATTGCCTTCCATGCTTTGTTCATTTTTAATCTCTTGGGGTTCTATGATCCTTAGGACCCGACTCCATTAATAGACTGTGACTTAAGACACGAGCTTTCTGGTGAAACTTCTAGACCGCTTCTAAGCTCCTGAGCCAGACGTCTAAGCCTTCTAAAGATGGCCTGTTTGAGGTCGACACCATCGGAGAATTACCTCCCTCCTAGGACCCCTAGCCACGGACAGCAGTATCCGGGTCCTCGCATGTAGACATACCACGGACGAGATCGCCACTCGCGTATAGGGCCCATAACCGAAGCTGATCCTTCTATGAGCATGTGTGATGCCACACAAAGATCCCCCAAATGTAAGCCAGAATCTGAAAGAAAACCAGACAAAGGTGAAAGATTCAAGTTTCTGCAATTTGCCTTCCCCTTTGTTCCTGTTCTTTCTTCCGTTCTGCAAGCTTCTTGCTCCGATTTTCCGCCTGAGGATATTGTTTCTCTGTACCACAAGTTGTGCAACGCACGACTCGAACATCAGCCCATGGCTTCTTACCCTCGCGACTCGTGTTCCTAATCTCCCGCATGCAGCTGACCCCAGGCACAAGCAAAGTATCACACCGCTTGCAGAATGACCGCTTCACTTCTTGGGGTAGCCGAAGTTGTGTCTTCAATGATATTCCGCGGAGCTGTGAAATATAAGCTCGAGATAGATTGGGTAGACGGTCAAGGTTCGGCTCCTGTTTTTGGTTGACGCTACCGGATGCTTCTTCGACAGCAACAGCAGTAGAACCAGGACTCAAGATTTGTGGCACAGTCCGGTTTGAGCCGGCTCCGACCTCGCACTTCCCATCACTAGCATTGTTTTCGGTCTTGCTCTGTTGGGTCTGTTGCTGCTTGGAGGCTATCGTTGTGGAGTGAAGATAGGCGGCGGCTTTGTGCAGGTAATCTAGTCTCGCACGTAAGTGGCTGTTAACATTTTTCCCCTTTCCCTTTGCCATTGGGAGGATCTTGTTTGCGATGAGTCGAGAAAGGGAGGTGAAGAAGGACAACAAAAAAAAAAAAGAAAACGCGGTATCGACAAATCACACAGAATGACCGAATCGGTGGCTCAACTGCAGTTGGCGGTGAGTGGTTTGGTCACATGATCCTGGCAGTTCCCGGAACTTCTCATCCCTCGCGACGCCCTTCTCTCTATTTCCATCACCTCTCCCTCGCCTCTCATATTTCCTCTGTCTCAATTCATCCTGAGTGAGTTGGGAATAATACTTGCTTTATCTGAGCGTTTTATTTACCTATATTAACCCCACGTTTTCCTTTTATTTATCTTCGACATCCTACCTCTCTAGCTGTCTAGGGATTACGCGCCGCGACATCAGCTTTTAGCCACCCATCTTTTTCCTCACTACCAGCACCACCACCCATCACCATGTCTCACGAGGAGGATCTCATCGACTACTCCGACGAGGAGCTCCAGACCACCGACGCGGCGGCGACCACTGCTGCTCCCGCTGCGAATGGAGCCGAAGAGAAGAAGGGCGACTTGACGGTCACGGGCGGCCGCCCGGACAAGAAGGGAAGCTACGTCGGTATTCACTCGACCGGTTTCCGCGACTTTTTGCTCAAAGGAGAACTTCTACGTGCCATCACCGATTGCGGTTTCGAACATCCATCGGAGGGTTAGTTGATAACATTTTTCTCCCACAAGCCTCTCCATTACTCCATGTTCCAACGTCCGTCCATCTCCGCGGGGGAAACAAGGAAGAAAGAAAAGAAAATCTAGTCGCTTCTTTCCTTACATTTGCCCTTTATCTTTTCTGAGGCGCCAAATCAGTCTTCGAGCTTGCAGCCGACATGAGGATGTCTCGATGGATATCAACAGGGAATAATAAGAGGAGAAATCCGTGTAGCGCATAATAGCGCATTGCCCCGTATGGCTACTACTTGTTGCTCATTGATCCAGCGATCCAGTTGGAGAAATATGAGACTTTCTTTGTAAAGAAGAAAGATACTTTCACGGTCTGAAGAAAACCTGAGGACGGTTAAGAATTCTTTTTCCTTTTGGGAAGAAAAACCTAGGGTCCCTTCTTTTATTGCCACCAGTGCCTGGCCGATAGGCTCCTCATGTCGACTGCAGAAGAGCTCCTGACGTGAATGTTGTTTCATCGTTCATTGTACACGGAATCTTCTTTTGTTTCCTCGTTTGCTTGCGCGGAGAGATTTTCGCAGCAACTAGCTCCTGAATCGGCTACTCCGGGGGATGGACGGACATTGCGACGCGGATTGCTTTTCTCTTTTTCAGTATATGCATCGAATACAAGTCTAACATGCCATCCGCCTCATTACAGTCCAGCAAGTCTGCATTCCGACCGCTATCCTGAACGTCGACGTTCTCTGCCAGGCCAAGTCTGGTCTCGGAAAAACCGCGGTCTTCGTCTTGACTACCCTCCACCAATTGGAAGCTGTTCCTGGGGAATGCTCCATCCTTGTTATGTGTCACACTCGTGAGTTGGCATACCAGATCAAGAACGAGTATGCTCGGTTCAGCAAGTACCTTCCCGATGTGAAGACTGCAGTCTTTTACGGAGGTACTCCAATTCAGAAGGACATCGAAGTCCTTTCCAACAAGGAATCGTTCCCCAACATCGTCGTTGCTACTCCTGGTCGTCTCAACGCTTTGGTCCGTGACAAGAAGCTCTCTCTGCGTAACGTCAAGGCATTCGTTCTTGACGAGTGTGACAAGATGTTGGATCAGATTGGTAGGTGTCTTTTCTTTCGTTTCAGGTGCACAGTTGCTGACCATGACTTTCTGCATAGACATGCGCCGTGACGTCCAGGAAATCTTCCGTGCGACCCCTGCTGACAAGCAGGTTATGATGTTTAGCGCTACGCTCTCGCAGGAAGTCCGACCTATCTGCAAGAAGTTCATGCGGAACCCGCTCGAGGTCTACGTGGATGATGACACCAAGCTCACTCTCCACGGTCTCCAGCAGTACTACGTTAAGCTCAGTGAGGCGGAGAAGAACCGCAAGTTGAACGAACTCTTGGACAGCCTCGAGTTCAACCAGGTCATTATCTTCGTTAAGAGCACGCTCCGTGCTAACGAACTTAACAAGCTCTTGGTTGAGTGCAACTTCCCCAGTATTGCGGTGCACTCTGGTGTCAGCCAGGAAGAACGGTAAGTTTGCCAACCAGCAGATAAAGGAAGATTGAAACTGATGGTTTGTTTAGTATCAAACGGTACAAGGAGTTCAAGGAGTTCAACAAGCGTATCTGTGTCGCTACTGATGTCTTCGGTCGTGGTATTGATATTGAGCGTATCAACCTTGCCATCAACTACGACTTGCCCGCTGATGCCGACTCTTACTTGCACCGCGTTGGTCGTGCTGGTCGTTTCGGTACCAAGGGTCTGTCGATCTCATTTGTCAGCACGGAGGACGATGAAAAGGTTCTCAAGGACATCGAAAAGCGGTTCGAGGTCGCCCTCCCCGAGTATCCCGAGGGTGGTGTGGACTCGAGCACCTACATGGCATAAATTGATGGGTCATAGGCGTCAATGGACAAGCCCTGCGGCTAAATTATTTCCCTATGCTCTTGCTTGTTGAATTTGTTCTACCGCTGTGTACTTTTTGCTCATTTATTTCCGTCTATTTCATTTCTTTTTGGCGTGAGGGCTCGGTTGCAATTTTGTCTCTGGCAGTGTCTTGACTTGCTTCTCTTATGGAGACACGGTGAAATATACGATAACGGGTTAAACAGAGACATCTGGAAAGGGAAAAAAAATTAAGTGTTCATCGATTATAAATCCAGGTTTAATTCGGGCAGCCGTGGATATGCTATGTATCAACTTCTGTAATAGAGCGATGAGTCTTGGCTTGCTTGTAATTCCCGTAGTCCGATCCGATGCATTGGCCTCGGGTGATAGATCCGGAGTGTGTACACCGTACTTTGGCGATCTTCATTGATTAATCCAGGATTGTCTTTGTTACTGCGGAAGAAAGGGTCTATTACAAGTACATAGAGTCTAACCAGCCGAAGAACTTATTCTAAAGCTGGCTGGTTTCTTGGGACTGCCAAGAGGTACGGGGTTTCGCCCGCCAAACAGATGAGTTCGTTGGCGGGCGAAGTGAGTACTCCGGAGTACATGGTACAAAGTACGACGGAATGCCAACTTCGGAGTATGTAGCACTTGACTGGACACCGACAATCACAGAAAGCTAAACCAGTCTAACTCTACGAAACCGACACGAGGTTGGTTGATAGGCATGAACTCAATTTGCCACCTGCGCCACGTAAGCCACAGTATTTTCTATGACATAAAGTCACGTGTGTATTTGAAAACGTACGGCAAACGTATGGATAACATCAGTGTGGAGTACTATTCGTTTATGCTCGTATTACGGAGTAATAAACCCGGGGGTAATTAGCTTCTTCCACATGGAAAGAAAGCTCAGAGCTCAGTCGAGGATATAAAATCCGTACAGAGAAGTCTGTACGGCAAAGAGATAAAGTCCGACTTTGTGATTGGACGGAACTAATGTTCTGGAAATTAGCGAGGGAAGAAAAACCGGATTTACTTGATTGATCGGTGGGGCGGGTTTGATTTGACAGACGGCTCCGTACTCCGTACTCCGTACTCGTAGTGTGTTGCGAGTGCTTTGCTGGTGTACTCTGGAGTAAGTGTATGCACTTGTATGCCAGTTCCATGTCAGGGGATGTTCATCGTTCCGCTTTCGGGTGTGCTCTACGGACGGATATGATTACTTACTGTGCTCTTACTTGTAGGTTGGTTGACAGAGTGGTTCGCACTGGCCGCGGGGACGATCATGATGATCTTCTGTGCTTGTTCTCTGGTCTTATTGTGATCCACGTGACAGTGTCTACACTGTTTTCCGTACAATTGAGTTGCTCTCTCTGAGTGCTCTGTATGGCCCAGAGAGTGTGGCTGAGTAGGTGCTTTTATTCTAACCGTAACTTTATTCCTGTTGGTGATCAGGTACAGAGAATGCCAGCAGGATTATATATTCTGTGACCTGTCCGCACCCGTACAAGTACATACATAATCTATACCGATCTGGAACAAACTATTCCCCAGAGCAGGATTCCTGACATGTAACAATCTATTGTTCGTGCAGAGGTACTTGTGCTACCATGTAACAACTCCGGATCTCCTGATTTGCTGAAACAAAAGAGACCAGAACTCGACGGATGCGGCAGTGGCTGATGGAGGACCCTCAGTGGTCAGATCCTTCGGCCGGGATCCACAGCTGGAGGGTGGAGCATGTTTTGGGAAATGTTGCTGGAAATAGAAGCAGTGGGGCTGTTTTTGGAACCTGGATTCCGCACTGGGATGGCTGGTCTGGTTAGGATATAGAGTGAAGTACAGAATATGGAAGTATGGTGTTGATATAAGACAATTGGTGTATATACTCTACATAGGAGAAATAGACGGGACAGTGTACTCTGTACCAGAGGTCTAGTGAAATGAATGAGAGTTGAAGAGTCCACTCCTGATTCTCGTTCTCGTTCTAGATCGATAGACTTTGACGGACAACTCCACTTGTCTCCTTTTTTAGCACTTGGCCAATCTATATGAACACCGAGCACAGACACACAACCAGAACTCGTAGAATCACTGTCCTCCGTATAACAATTATAAAGCATAAAAATACCCAGTATGCGATCTCTGCAACAGTATGATCTGATTATAGCTCCGGCATGCTGCTCAGACACCGCCTCCCCCTTCACCTCCCCCTTGGAGAGGCCGAGACGGCCGTGATTCCGATATGGGCGGGATTTGGTCCGTACGAATATGCATAAGACAGAAGCAAATATTATGGGCAATAATTATTGGATAGAGCGTTTCCGGGTTCGTCTTCAACACGACACGGTGTGCCACTGCAGAGTAGATACATAGTCACCCCGGACCAGAGTGCTGATTCATCTCCGGAGGTATGTGTGAGGTGCACCATGGTTCCGTGGGAGGTACGAGTAAATAAGGGACTCGTAGCTGATGTAATTATGCTCTACTACAAATTCCATACTCCGTAGTATTACCCTGTACCCTGTACTCCGTATAAGTAATGTCTGGTGGATTGGCCAAGGATCGATCGAGACTAACCTCGCTAATTAACGACACTAGCCTAGTACATAGGACGGCCCTTTGAAGTGGATTCGGTGGATAATCATAGACAGAGCCCGCCGACAAGTCCTCGCGCAATATTTTTTTTTTTCTTCGCTGCTGTCATGTGTAGAAATGATGCGTGGTCTAACGAACACGCTGTACAAAGAACTGCTGCATCGAGGTGAAGAACTCCGGATACGAATCAATTGATGTGTAGAGTAGTAATGTTTACTCTGTAATGAAGAAAATAAATCCATTCTCCGTATTATTGTTATTCGCTTGCGGTGACAATTCGTTTTTTTTGCCTCCTGTTTTCCGGATTCGTCACAGGACGCGGAGAGACAAGAAAGATATCACCACCGTTGGTGGACACAAGAAAAAGTCTTGTGTTTCCTTTACTTTTTTCCATTTGTTTTACTCTTTCGCTTGCTTTTGGGCACAAATTTTTACTCCATAAGCCAAAGACAGCGTGTTGTCCGTATCCTAAACCGACGGTTTTCCACCTAAAAAAAAAAAATACTGGAAAAAAAATAGCAGGGGAGGGAAAAAAAACCTTTCCTCTTTCCTTCCCTCTTTTTACTCTTTCCTCTTTCTTTTTTCCTTTCTCCCTTTGCGGTTTCTCAATCCCTCTCTATCTTTGCTCTGTCTCTCTCCTTTGGCAGTCTCGACTCTCTAGCCTTCCCTTCCTTCCTTCTCCTGCCCTTCGTTTGTCCCTTTCCCCTCCCCTCATTCTCTCTATCTTGATCTCCTTTTTCTTTTTTTTCTTCTTTAATCTCCTAATTACACGCATCCCATCGCCGTTTCCTTCCAAAACGATCCACCGTCCTCCGACTCGTACAAAGACCGATTTCGTGTGTTGTACCTGGGAAGGCAGCGTCAGTCGCGCCTCGGTGGACAACGCCGTCTTTCGTCCTCTCCCCCCGATCGATTCTTTGTTACGATCGGTCAACCAACCCATCGTCTGCGATTTTCATCCTTTTTGACGTCGAATATCGGGATTGGCGGTTTTAATACAATTCGTTTTGGTGTCTGAACAATGGCTCCTTCGCCGCGGCTGCGCATCTTATCAGGTTCGTTTGTACTTGATCTACACCATTACCTCGTCTTTGTGTGCCATGCAGAACGCACGGTTCCAATTTCTCCTGATCCTCTAAATCATCTATCGTGTCCACCTCTGCAAAGGACAAAAGAAAAGAAAATTAAAGGTTTAGACAACTAACTCGATGCTGTTTAGTCGGTAGCAATGCTATCTCGGCCTTCATTTCCTGGAGATTGCAAGCGACCACCTCTTGCGATGTGACCCTCGTCTGGAAATCCAACTTTGACCCCGTGTCGCAATATGGCGTTTCATTCAAGTACGTTTCCCTCAGTTCCTTTAGTTCTGGATTAGATTTCTGACAAATGTTTTCACGATAGATCGAAAGCATTTGGAAATGAACGCTTCAAACCTCGTCATGGTACGTTTTTTTCTCTCGCTCCTCCCCAGAAAAGGAACACAGACATCAGTGCAGATGGCTAACCTGTCCGCCCACTGCAGTCGTCCGTGCCCCAGAAGAAGCATCCTCCCGAGAAAATGCGTACGACTATGTTATTCTGTGCGTCAAGGCCTTGCCTGACGTGTACGACCTAGCCGCCGTCATCGAGTCGGTCGTCACTCCTCAACACACCTGCATCCTCGTGAATACCACAAACTCCATTGGCATCGAGTCCCATCTCGAGCAGCGCTTTCCAACAAACGTGATTTTGTCGCTTGTCTCCGGTGTTGAGATCTCGCAAATCGGTGCCAGCGAGTTTGAACACCTCAGCAGCTCCAAGATTTGGGTCGGTGCAACCAGCAAACAATCCAACATTCCCTCATCAATACAGAATGATATGGCGTCCGCATTGGCCATGACGTTGTCTTCGGGTGGGGTGGACTGCAAGGTCTCGGATAATATCAGGCAAGAGCAGTTTGAACGCATGATTGGGTATGTGCCATTAACTATTCCTATCTCTGCTTTGCTTCCAACTAACATCTGCTGGTAGTCCTATTGCTTTCCAACCTGCAAGCGTTCTTTTTGAAACCTCCAATTACGCACAATTGCTCGAAAAAGTCGGCGTTCGTCAATTAATCTCAGGCATAATTGATGAGCTGCTTGACCTTGCCCGAGCCCATGGCTGCGAGTTCCCGGCTGATTTCTGTCAGTCCACTATTGATAAGATGGCTGCAGTCGAAGCGCCCAGCACCATGTACCAGGACTTCCAAGCGCGGCGCCCCATGGAAGTTGAGACATTTTTGGGTTCCCCCATTAAGCTGGCTATGGAGTCGGATATTAAGGTGCCTCGCATTGAAGCTCTTTACGCCATGCTTCATCACATCAACGCGGCCAATACGAGTAAACCGCCGACGAAGAACTCACCGCCCCCCGCGGCTACGTCAGGACCACCGCCGCGTATGTCGTCCGCTCCGCCGCCGCAGAGAGGACCGATGAATGGTCCTATGCGCCCAGGTCCTGCCCGAACTGCTTCTGGTATAATGATGCCACCCCCGAGACGAGGTATGATGAGACCACCAGGTGCCCATCCTCCTCTGCCTCAGGCGCCTCCTGCTGGCCGACTTCCCCGCGATGCGTCGGTGGAAGGCCTAGAAGAATTCAGTCATCTGGTTTTATACGATGATGCTGAAGGCGGTGCGTCTCCACAAGCCGCGCAGAACGGTGACATGCCTGCTGGTCCCCCTCCCTCTGGTTCCACAGCGGAACTGTCCCTGCGGGAACGCGAACTGGCGCTTCGCCAGCGGGAGCTGCAGGTCCGAGAACAGGAGATGAGCATGCGCCGCGGTGGCGGCCGGAGACGGGGACCGTCTCGGCCCGCTCTTGACGAAGAAGACGAGGACGACTATTTCGACCCCATGGACACTCTTGGCATTCCACAGGTTGATCCCGACAGTGTCGATATGATGAGTCTGACTTCACGAAAGAACCGCAAAGGTCCCTCTGCGAGCCAGTTCCGCAAGAATCCGGAAGTGAGTCTTAACAACGGCGGCAGTAACAGCCGACCTGCCTCGTCGTTTAGCCGCTACTTTGGCGGTGGTCGGAAGCGCGCGAGCGAACGCATCATGCAGGAAATTCCAGGCCTGCATGACTCCCTTTTCGATAACCCCATGATGAGCTACTCGTCCAACAGGTATGGTGCCGTCGACCGGAATCAGATGCAGGCGGATTCGCGCGCCAATTCGATGACGACCAGTCGAATGGGTGATTTCCCTCCGCACCCCTATCCTACGAGTCGCCGGAACAGCCATTCCCCTGCCACGCCCTATGGTGGTCCCCCCGGGCCCGGGCCACGGATGGGCCGACCGATGACGGCTCAAGACCCGCAGAACCTCGGCCCTCCTGGTCATTCCCACGGCGGTAATCCCTCTTCTCCCGTCGTGCGAGCACCGGTTCCCAAGCACCCTCCGGGGCATGGCAACGCGGTAGGACCGCAGCAAGTTGAGCAACATTATGGGGTGAGCAACAACCAAATTCCCGCCAAGCGCGCCCCAAAACATAGAAGTCTGACCGGAAGTGCGAGCGCCAGCGCGAAGAGTGGTGATAGTGCGGCCAGTGCGAATCTGGAGTCCGAGAACTCGGCCCACAGCAGCCAGATCAGTCTTGGTGCTCAGCAAGCCACGGCGCCGGTGCGATAGATAACATCGCCGTTTCCTCTCCTTTGCCCTCGTATCACCCGCGTTCATGATTGATCCTTGATATCTCGGTCGAAACGAGCTCGAACCCATAGCCTTTACCCACCGTTTCCTTACCTCGCCGTTTATACATTGCATTCCCCGTCTGTTTGCCATCGATTATTTCCTCCCTTATTTCCATATAGACGAGATTCTGGGCATTGAGCAAGTACGAGGGAAAGAAACCGACACGATAAAGAGAAGAGAAGCATAACTAATACTGTTTTGTTCAACATATACATAAGGGACATGGGGGTCATTTCTTTTTCATGCTTTGTTTTCATTTTGCCTCGGAGTGGTCGGGTCGGGCGTGTGTATGTGTTTTTTCCATTCATTTTCTTTTCCTTTTCTTTCATCTCCTATATCTGCATTGTTTATCCTAATGAAGCCGAGAACACGAGCACTTGGCCTGGGAAATACTCCTTGTCTTTCGATCTTCTACAATTATACCACCGAACACTGGCATCGATTCTTTTTCTCGTTGTCAACCATGCATTTCGTTTTTTCCAGATTGTACACTACCTGCGTGGGAACATGTTTTTCGTGAACCCGTATATGTTTGTTTTTGCCAAATTTTTCCGTTTTTACTGTGACATGGATGCTTCTCCTTTGTGTCTCTTCTCTTTCTCCATCGCTTTCCCATGCGTGTTTCAATGTCCTGTGAGGTGAAAATATTCGATGGCTGAGTGATCTCTACTTTTCTTTACTTCATGGTCTGTGGTTCCCGGCGCATAAAAGGAGCAGGGATTTGATTTATTCTAATTGGCTTCGATTTGACTGGATTCGCGTTGTCAAACGAGAAAATTAATGACAGAAGTCCGCAACAGCCGTTGTAATTTGTTTAATTTGATGCAAGTACAAATCCTACTCGAGATGTGTATCTGTAGGGTTTTTGTAGTAGCTTATATAATCAACGAATGGAAATCAATCTCAGTTACTTACCCTGACAACCAACGACCACAACAAATCAACACATCAACTCTCCCGAGGACAACAATCAACGCAAAGCAGAGCAGTGTTTCTAACTCGACAAAATGCCTTCGCACTACCACAACCCCTCCCAATCTTCTTTCCGCCCCTCCATCCTCCCTACCCCCGCCCCAGCGTCAACCAGCGCCTCATCCACATCTACGACCAAATCGCGCCAATACACCCACCTTCACTCGCAACTGGCACAGCTTAACACGCACCTCGCAGACACGGAGAATCTGCTGCGGATGACGGCTGTGCAGGCGGAGGATATGCGGTTCTTGGGTGGCTATGTTGGGGGTTTGTTTATGGGGTCTGCGAAGGTGTTGGGGGAGGAGGGAGTTGTTAAGGAGAGTCAGGGAGAAGCGGAAAGGAGAATTAAGGAGGAGTTAGAGTCGTGATTTGATATGATGGCATGGTGAGGATTTTATATAGTGGGTTTATTTGGGATTTGTGCGGTGTTCATCTTCTATCATGTGTGTATGAAACATCGTCTAACTAATTAAGAATTCTGCATAGACTCCCTTAGTTTACGCCCACATGATACGATTAATCCACCACGAATCCTCCTCCGAGAATAATCGCCGGCTCATCGATGTTATGATGTTCGTAACTGGATTCTGTCAGCGCCATTCACGATATGAATTGTCTTATCTGTCGTCTTACCTGAGAGTACCAACTCCACCGGCTTCCAGAATCAGTGATGTTTCAGTCAATGGCTTTCCGGTCCAGCGCATGGCAAAAGCGCGGAGGATATGGCCGTGCGCGACGATAAGGACGTCTCCGGAGGCATTGGGATCTTCAAAGCACTTGCGGTGGTGGTTTTCTCTGATGTCTGCAATGACTGCGTCGAGACGACGGACGACGTCTTCGGGGGTTCTGTTCTAGTTAGCTATCACATCTCTGGCGGAAATTCAGAATCAATGTTGATGTTGACTTGACTCACTCTCCACCCGGACATCCCTGCCTCCAAATATCCCACGGCTCCTCACCATTCTTCGCCCGCTGCTCCTTGATTTGCTTGCTCGTCAAGCCTTCGTAGTCACCATAGTCCCATTCGCGAACGGCCTCGGTGAGCACCACCTTGGCCTCTGTCCGAATCGGCTCGTCTTCCTCGGGTTTCCGGCTCTCTTTCCAGGGGAGTCTCTCTTTGCAACCGATCTCCAGTAACTCGAGCGTTCGTTGCGCGCGGGTGCGGGGGGAGACGTAACTATAACCCGTCAATCTCCATATCTATCAAATCATCCCTGAAGAGGTGGGGAGGGGGGAAGGACATACACATGAGACAACTTCTTAGGGACAATCAACCTGTCATCACCCACGAGACCCTTACCAGTTGCTGCGATACGTTTCTCGCCGTTGGCTGTGAGCGGGAGGTCACTGATACCCGTGTGTCGGCCATTGAGGGACCATTCGGTTTCGCCGTGGCGGATGATGAAGCAACGAGGGGCTGGCATTCTGTCTTTCTAAAGTGGCGTTTTAAACAGAATGGTGTTGTTATAAGGATATAGTGTTTCTCTAGGGGGTAATTGGGACTGGAATTGGAGCTGTACTTGTACTTGCTGGCGGGGCGGGTAGAGCGGATAACGTCATTGGAGTTGGATACTTGCTTTGCTCGACCAGGGATTGTTGGCTTCCTCTAATACCCCTGCTGCAGGGGATAAATACTGCGAATTTTACCAATTAAGCTACATGGCGTCCAAGAAACTACAGAGTATCAATTGCAAAGCCAAACTAGAGTTGAATCTAGAACCTCATCTTTTAATCATGCCTCAGGCTACATATGATCACGTGATTATAATTATCGTAAAGAGATCGAATCTGCTACTCGTACCCTCTGAATAACTAACTACACTCTGTGATTCGCTTCAGTTATATATCAAGGGAACCAGGCTCGACAAGTTCACAATACAACAAGCATGGTCCGAGTCAAACAAGCTCCCCGCGATCAGTCCAAGCTTACTGGGAAACCACTCTCAGATACCCTTGAGCCCTCACCACTCCACATCCTCAAGGGCACCAAAACAAACGACGGTGAAGAAGAAAAATGGAGTACCTCACCAGATCTGTTAGAGGGAAATCTGTCATTTACGCCAGAAGTCATCGATAACCTGACGCTGTACCTGCTAGCGAATCCGAACCGGATGTCGAGCCATTTGTTCCGGGCTGATATTCTTCATGATAGTTATGGTATCTTGAGGACGCCGGCGGAGAGAGAGAAGTTGTTCGCTGATGCTACTGGCAAAGTTGCCTCGTCGGAAGACTCTGGTGTTGCCGGTAAAGACAACGTGCCGCCGATTCCTGCGAGAGAGATCGCGGGATTCGAGTTGACTCGGACGGTGGTAAGGAGGCTGATTCCTAGGAAACCACAATTGGATCCGCCTTTGGAACAAACTTGTCATTTTTATGGGGCAGATGCTGGTGACTGTCGACGCTTGCTTGTTGTCTATTCGCCGCATATAGCGTTCAAGGAGGACCTGCCTTTTTACCATCCGCTTCTGCAGTCTTGGGCGTTGTTGTATGATCATCACAAGCCAAGAGCTACATCCTTGGAAGAGGAGGAGGGCGGGGCAGGACAATTGTCGCTGCATTTCATGCTTTACTCCGATGAACCGATTCAGAATCGCCTCGAGAGGACATTGCATGCACTGCTCAACACACAGATTCGACTGGCTCGGGGCTCGGATATCACCACGATGATTCCTGAAGGTGGTAACTACAAGCCAAACAAAGATAATGTGCTCCCACGACATCTGGTACAGGACACATATTCGCGGTTGAAGCAGAAGTATGCCTCGTGGTTGTGTCAGAACTGGGTAGAGGATACGGAGCCGTCGAAGCATGTTTTTGAGGACCTATCGATTACTGCATTTCTCATTGAGCTATGGAGGAGCATGTATGGCGCCGTTCCTACGGAGGAGAAGGAAACGGAGGGCTATGATCCAAATTTTCCCGGTTTTGTGGACGTTGCATGTGGGAATGGTGTACTTGTCTACGTGCTCTTGATGGAAGGCTACCAGGGTTGGGGTTTTGATGCTCGTTCCCGAAAGACATGGAAAATATTCCCGGAGATGGTGCGAGAACGACTAAGCGAGGAGGTCTATATCCCCAAACCTTTTGCGGATGTGCTCAGTGGTTCGGGAGTAAATCCAGACGCGCTTGATGTTGGGACAAAGACACACACTGGCATATTCCCGAAAGATACCTTCATTATGTCAAACCATGCCGATGAACTTACCGTCTGGACTCCGTTGATGGCTGCACTTGCTAATCCGCAATCACCACTGCCTTTTATGGCGATTCCATGCTGCTCACACGCGCTTTCTGGAGCGCGTTACCGTTATCCTCCGCCTAAGGACAATAGGTTTGATGGCGACGACAAAGAAGAAGAATACAAGACAGATGAAGTCGAGCAGAACCCGCAACCGGCCACCGGCGACCTAAAAGCGCTTCGGACCGCCAAGATCGACTCTCACACCGATGCCGGAGCGAACAAGTCAATGTATGGCTGTCTTACCGCAAAGGCCATGAGTGTTGCCGAAGAAATCGGGTACGATGTGGAAAAGACCATGCTGCGGATCCCGAGTACGAGAAACATGGCCGTTATTGGTGGACGGCAACGTGTAACTCTAGAGCGGAACAATCAGAAGCAAAAGACTTCCATGCAGACCGAGCACCCCGATGCTGATGCGGATGCAGACTCCGGGGATGAGACTCTTGAGCTGATTGAGGAAGTTGTCCGACGGGAATGTGCCCGAGAAGGAGGCGTGCAAGAAGCGGCCAGGGTTTGGAAGGAGCGAGCTAAAGGCATCCACAGCGGCTGGGGACAAAGCCAACGGCATTGATGACAGTACATGCAGAGTACATACTCCGGTAATTCTCCGGTTGAGAACTTTTTAGCTTTTCTCTTGCTGCTGCTGCTGCTGCTGCTGCCATAATGCCGAAATGCGGGGTGGAACTATGAGGATCTGCAAAAATATACTCATATTCCTCCGCTAGATACAGGAGCAGACCCCATATTACTGCTGTTATGCTTAACTTGCTGGGCGTTTGTTTTGCTGGCCCGTTTCTTAAGTTCACCGGTTTGCAAGTCGAGCGAAGTGGTCCGCCTCTTCATGGCTTTCCCCCGGACATTGTACTCCGTTCTCCGTGTCCCATACAATCGCGGGAAAAAGCCGCAGAGAGGGTTGTTGATATGCATGTGCTCCTTGCTGGGAAGCTATGTTTGTCTTTGCGGGAAATTATATGTAGCCATTGGATCGTGGGTGATGTGAAATCTATTTCTTTTCTTTTCCTTTCCTTCAAGCCATTGGGTCTGTCTTTATTCTGTCTCCAAACAAATCAAGATGAGAGATTTCTCTCCTCCCCTCCTAACAGGTGTACTTTACAACTCAGGTGCCAATGCGTTGGAGAATGGACTGGCTTTGAAGCCACAGTTGAGACTGGTACGCCTTTCAATTATGTGCATTATCCCCCATGTATGCTGATTATCCCCAGAACACTTGGAACTCCTCCCCAATACCTTGCGCACGACAAGAAGAGGTTCCCCAATGGCATTGCACACATCACTGACAAGATACATGAGTTGGAATTGAAAGTTGGAATTTACTCTAGTGCTCGTGCGCGATATGAGGGGTCGTCGGGATATGAGCAGAAGGATGCGGATGTCTGGGCTAGTTGGGGGTGTTAGTCTCACCCTCCAAAAGGCCAATCCTACAATTGTTGATCTTATACTAGATTGACTAGCTAAATAAGATAACTGCTACAACGAAGGCCAAGAAGGAAACCCCAAACTATCCTTTGACCGTTACAACGCCATGAGCAAGGCTCTCAACTCCACCGGCCGACCCATTGTCTACTCCATGTGCAACTGGGGCGTCGACGGTCCCTGGAACTTTGCGCCTACGATCTCTAATTACCGAAGAACTCCTGGAAACTTGATTAACTTTGTAAGTTCAAATCATCTCTATAAACAATCAAACCGTGAGAAGAAAAGGAAAATCTACCAACGCAAAAAAGAAGTCGGAAACGGCAGCCTAACAGACAATGAATCCATCTCAGTCTCTAGGCAACTGTAAAGTCCCCCTAATGCCTAATGAAGAGCAACAGCATGACCCAAATCGACCCTCCAAACCCTCTCCATCTCCCAAAACCTATCAACCAAGACCCTGCGTCCGCTCTCGCCATCCGCCGCTGGTGCAAGTACCTCGACGACGAAATCTACGAATACGGCAAGAAGGGCAATGTCCAGCTCTACAGTGGTTTACTCAGTGGTGATGACCAGGTCATCCTGCTTCTGAAACCAGGTACCAAGACCTCTGAGATGACCGCCTCCCTCGCAGAAATCCTCTGGGACAAGGCATTAAAAGAACTGCGACGCAAGCCGCTAGCTCTTGGGACATTTACGATCTCTGGGCGAACTGGATGAGCAACGCGACTGCTTCTGCGATTGTTAGTGGTGGGGGTAAGAACGTGACTGGTCCGTCTTTGGGGTACTTTAATTTCACTGCTCATGGCGGCGCGGAGAAGATCTATTAGGATGTGCGTCCTCGTCGTCTAAGCATTGATGGTTCCAAATATTGGGTTTGTTGGTCCGAGGGGGACTTTGAAGGCGACGGTGAGACCTCATGGTGTGATCTTGTATAGGTTCCGGGAGCATAAGCGTGATAAGTTGTAAAAACGTTGAGCATCTGTGCCGTGCATAAACATGAGTTTTATTGCGCCGAAGAGTAGAATGATAGTATAATTTTAAAGAAAGAAGACTTGCATCATGATAATAAGTCGCGGAAACCACTGCACTAAATTACTGACAATCTACGCATCATCACAACACCAGATTCTCAGCACTGCAAATATCCCTCTCTGCAATGATTTTGAAACTGAGTATAATCTTCAGCCTCTCCACCATGGCAAAAAATGACTGCCCGCAGACAGTACCCCTATCGAAGAACGCGACTTAAACGTCCTCGTGGTGACAGGTGAATCGCCTCAAAGCACAAGAAAACTCCTCGTGTCGTCCAAAGTGCTTGCGCTCGCATCTCCGGTATTCGCGACGCTTTTCTCGCGCAGGTTCTCCGAAAGAAGCAAGATAATCAAAAGCATCCGTCCTGAGATCATGCTCAATGATGACTATTCAGATGCGATGCGGATAATACTGGGGGTGTTCCATTTCAGGGAGCTTGAGAAGGTGGATGTGCAGATGCTGGCCGAGATAGCGGTTCTTTATGACAAGTATGATTGTACCAAAGCACACATGCCTTGGATGAAAATATGGTCTGAGAGGACCATCGCGTCAATCAAAATTGCGACCGCCCATGGATATAACTTTTTGCTTGCTGCGGCGCATTTCTTTCGAGATCAAGAGCTGTTCTCACAGGAGTCTCTGGAGATTCTCAGGGGTTGCACTACGCAATAATTAAATATGATTTGGGGTAGAAGCGATGAGCTATACTTAAGAGCTACCTCAGGCTGCCAAGTGTATGCAATAAACCGTTTTGACATGTGATGCAAAGTGTCTTATATTTTTCTGCGGATAGTCTGACATACGGTATCAGAACCCTACAGAAGCGCTTGGATGCTGCAATACAACATGTCGGGCTTTAATTGTAAAAAGTGCATAATTACGCTCAATTGCTTAATCGAGCTGATAAGGTGCAAATCGTGTTGGAATAGCAAAGGCTTTCACCTTAAGCGCTGTATTGTGGACACTAGGATCCTAAGTTATTACGAAGCTATTAGGTAAATGGGATTTAGTTCTCCATTTGTTCGATAAAAGATGTTCCAGTATCAGATCTGGTATCTCACATCTCTGGTATGAATGTCAACAACCGACACATTTATGATGGAAAAGATGAATGTCCTCTCAGGAAGGCTGAATGCCTTAGTCGAAACAGCGCAAGGTATTTCTCATAGGGCTTCAGGGTTACCTCTTTATCCTCTGCACTGAGATTGTGATTGATATACTTTTTTGATATTCTCACATGAAGCCCACATTATAATACGTCAAATGGAAAAGTCAGAAATCCTAAAAATCCTCAAGTCCTAAATGGCGTATAACGCAAAGCCAACCCCATTCACTAGTCCTCCAAATCTCAAGGGATTTCGCACCACATAATCGAGAACAAGGGTTATAACCGGCACTACAATTCTGTCTTTTTCGAACAGAACACCAGCCCACGTGAATTGCGTCATGCGTGAGGCTGCTGTATAGGGCACTTATAACCGCTAGACGAACATATCGACGTCTTACTTGATGCTGGGTTTCGAGAGTTAAGGCTGGGTCAAACTGCTGGTCGATATAGTTTGGCAATAACGAAAGCTATCGCAGCTGACACCGGAATTGTCTTCTTCAATCGTTTCCTGCGCGGCCTCAATGTAGAAAGATATGTTTTTGTGCCTTAGTCATACGTATAAAGGCTTATACCGAACCAAATAAACCCACTGCCAATGACATGGCCGAGAAAACCAGAACAGCTCTGAATCCTGGCTCGTAACACACGTGAAAGTCAGACATATCCCATGTGTAAAACTTCTATCATCTTGTCTTCCTCTGGCGCTCAAAGCGCTCCATCTGTGTTGGCCATGCATTTGAGAATGTAGACTGCTCGGGAACTTTCCGGGGTGACTTTCTGGACTTGTGTGTCCCTCTGATAGGGATTTCGTAGCTCCTCTAGGTGTATGGTCATGAGAAGTGCTCATGGTATCCATCTGAGGGGGGCGTCCTCTGCATAACAGCGCTCAAGTCTCCATAGTTGTTTTAGGGCTTCGTAATTTGTATGTGCACGCCTCGTGATACCCGGTTTTAGACAGGCTAGTGTCTTACACTCGTCTGATGAACTCATCCTCGTTTTCTCATTATATTAGATCTATATTCAATTGGCACGGCTTGACAGAGTGCCAGGGTAACGATATGGAATAAAGACTCAGGGGCAAGGGATGGAAAAGAAATGAAGTAGATTAGGGTTAAAGAAGCATTTATGACCTGGAAATTAAACCATATAATAGAATGTAATCAGTGAATGATGGACATCCCATAGGGCTGAGGACCAGTGAAGGGAATCCGAAGGAATCATGATATTTTCTTGTATAGGCACATACATACAGTACATACATACAAGGAGATTCATTAATGCCAATTATCCCGTAGCTTCCTCAGAGATCGAGGCCAAACCAAATCAGGTTAGGTCATTTTCTCTGTTACTTCGAATTCTCAAATTCAAAGCGTAACTGAATGGAAAGGAGATGGGAGCTCTAATCATACAGTCATGAAGGTAGCGTGACTCGCAAGTGAGAGAAGATTATAATAACAATGCTATGCTACCCCCACTTACCGATCATATTTAAAAACCCCAAATCTAACGCCTTCTATAATCGAGTGACTCCAAACAAGAAGAAATGAGAAGGAAAGGTATGTAGCTTTTGTCAAACAATTTGCCCAGGTTCATGATGGGCAATGCCTTTGATGTTGTGATGGTTTGCACGATGGTATCACAAATTAAAGGTAAAGAGAGGAAGTAGACAATCTCTCAAGAAGAGCAACCCTTGTGATCTCTGTCACGAGAGGGATAGTACTCCGTCGACCCGTTCGTCGAGGCATCTTCGCGGACACGTCTCGTGTACTCCATCTTATTCATAATATCCGACGCTTTAGTCGCTGTCGCATCAGACGCAGCTGATTTAGCAGCAGTCGCAGCGGCACCTTCCTTAAGACGCTTAATTCTTTCAACCCGTCCTTCACCGGGGTAGCTGCCCCAGACCGGTTCGATCGAGTCAGCCCGCCAGTTGGACCGATGGCCGACACTGCTGGCGAGAGGTGCGATGGGGGCTCCCCCAACGCCAGATTCACCCCACATCCGGACACGTTGAAGCTTGCGGAGCTTGTGGAGTCCGTAGACGCAGACGACTGCAGTGATGGCGAAGCAGGTCACGGAGACACCGCCAAAACCGAAGTCGGATTCTTCGATGAAGTTCTTCAAGTTCATTCCGTAGAGACCGGCATAGAGGGTTCCAGTGGCCAGACCGAGTGTACCAATGCTGAACTTGAGATCGAGCAGCATGAGGGAGTTGCGGTTTGCGTCAAGAATAGCTTTGACACTGCATCGGGTTAGATTCGATATGCGCTTAGGTTGATATGGGTCAAACTTACACTTCCTCAGTGTTTCGAATACCAGTCACTAAGTTGCCGCTAGCCTGGACAATTTCATCGCAGACCTTGTGGTATGACTCGAGCAACATCTCAACTTCTTGGTGATCATCATCTGTTCGCTGCATTCCCTGAGATCTCTCAGTCAAATACATGGAAGTCAAATCATCGTCTGCCTCCAGGAGGTCATCTATAGCATCTCGGACCAATCTGGCCTTCTGTTCGAAGGTACCCAGCCTCTTGGAATAGATCAGAAGATGTCGCAGCTTGTCCCGATCAATATCCTCTTCCAGAGCTCGAAGAACACGCACAACCGGATCTCTGACGCCATTAAACTCTTCTTCCAACCCGGCGGTAACGCTGATCAATACCGCTTCCAGGGCGCGGAACTCATAAGGTAGGGCACCGGCACTTTGAGCCTGCTTCTGTCGAAGTTTCCCCTCCAGGTCGTAAACGAATAACGATTGCATGTAAGAGTCTGTCGATCCATAGGCGTCAAACACAAGAACCCGATCAGCTTTAATCAGGACTCGAAGATGCAAGAGGTTGATGAGGATAGCGCTCGGCCGGACAAGAATGTGGGGCAAGGTCGAAGAATCGATTTTGCGAAGATCGCGAGGAAGTAAACCGTACTATCATTCGGCATTCTGGTCAGCGATTTACTTTCTCGTGGTATCAGTTAAAATAGCCCGGAAATAGCTGATAGACAAACCTTCGCGATCAATTCACTTTTCCTGAACTCCCCGTTGACAAGCGTGACATTCCCATTATTATCAAACTCGGTGCATCGCAATCGCAATTCATTTGTCGCCTTTGATACTAATCCACGCCCAATATTGAAACTCGACTCTGTCCCGTCATCGATCAGCGCAGGCCCAGACCGGTTGGGTTTCCCTTTGGCGTCGGATTCTTTGCTACGCCTCAGATCAAAAAGCCTGCGCAGTAGCGGACGGCTCTTTGTCGACGCAGCTCGTGAGGACGAAAGATTAAGAGGTGAAAGCGATAGTTGGATTGGTTCTTCCTTGTCGAGTGCGCATCGACCTCGCGAAGACGTATGCTTTTTGGTCGAGAGATTCGGGATGGCGAAAAGGTTTGCTTCGGCTGTTGCTCTGCATGGCGCAGGGTCAAGCTTTGTCCAATTTGATGTTCTCCAGGCGCGCGACGGTCGGCCTTCGGAACATGTTGTAGAACCGAAGCTTGTCGACGGATTGGCTGTGAAATAATCGGATTGAGAGCGCAGGAATCGGAGGAGTGACGCTGATGGAGCGGAGGGCTTCAACGGCGAGGGAGACAGCATATCTGTCTTTCCTAATAGTGCCGCACACCCAGCAGCCGTTAATTGATGCTGTCTTTTGTTTCACTCAATGAATTAATGCCGTCAGTTCTTGTCGGGCCAGTCATGGAAAGCAAACCGGCTCATCTTTTTTTCTATCGGAGTCGCGCGGTGGGCGGCTCAAAGTTGATCCGACATTTCCAAAAACGGCAAACTGTATTCCAGAACTACAGCTATGACTCTACTCCGACATAACAATTGAATGTCTCTCCGCAAGTCGTTCTTTTGTATTTGCATAGACGCAATAAATATGCGCAAAAACCTGTTCTATTCGCTTACTGGATGTATGCCTTGAAACAAAAGCTTTTGACGAATCCGTGAACCACCGCGGAAAGAGACCCATACTCATTACGCAAGGTTTCTCTAACACCAGTCCATGAATTCACCCAATAACCATAAGTCGACAAGTAAAGATACAATGATAGTGATCAAGGCAAGCGACAGTTTACCAGTCGTCATCATCATCCTTCTCATCATCTGTGAATGCAATTAGAACATGCTGTATAAGGCGGTAACACATGGAATAGAATACTTACCACTACCGCTGACCTTCTGCTTTCGCTTTGCCAGTGCATCTTGCAAGGCCCCTGCCAGGCCTCCTTGAGGAGCGCCGCCACCGCTTGGAGTTCCAGATGACGATTCGTTAGCACCTCCAGGCACATGAGCCCCACTCCGATCTTTCTTCTCCGCTTCGCTGACTTTCCGTAAACCACCACCACCCTTTCCTCCTGAAGCTCTAATCGAGGCCAAGAGATCATCCCTCCCACCAGTAGGCTTGGGCAGCGGTGGAGCGCCGGCAGCAGGGGGGGGAGGGGGAGGCGCACCAGCACCCGGTGGTGGTGGGGGCGGTGGGGAAGCACCAGCGCCAACGCCAGGTGCCGGCGGCGGTGGAGGTGGAGGAGCTGGCGGACCGGTACTTGCTGGCGGCGCCGGCGGAGGGGGAGGGGGAGCAGTGTTCACTGGCGGCGGTGGAGGACGTGGAGGAAGACCGCCTGTGGAGGGTGAAGGCGGCGGTGGAAGGTTTGTAACTGGAGGTGGAGGTGGAGGGGCTGGTGGTGCAGCAGTTGTAGGAGGAATGGGCCGACAAGCAGTAGGAACAGGTGGAGGCGGAGGAGGAATTGGATTTCTGGCTGGTGGAGGTGGCCCGTGAGGGACCTTAGGAGGAAGGGGTGGTTGTGCCGCAGGGCTTGTTGTACGGGGTGGAGGCGGCGGAGGCCCTGGAGGTGCCGGGCTTCGACTGGGTGGTGCCGGTGGTGCTGACACCTTACGCTCTCCTTGGAAGGGAGGAGGGACTCCAAACCGATGAGCGCTGTCCTCCATTGGCGTCTTTGGAGGCCGCGGAGGAGGCGGGGGTCCAGGATTCGCTCCAGAGCTTGCTCGTGAACGCGTGCCAGGCGCTGGGCTAGTGCCCTGCGCAAATCTGCCAGCATCTGCAATTGGCGGCGGTGCTCGGAACCTGGGCCGGGGTGGTGACGGTTCACGTGGTGAGGCTGACGCACTATCCTCCTGCGCGTCGGGCCGAGTCCTTCGAGATGGAGGCGGCGGAGGAGGAGCACCTCGTCGACTACCTAAGCTGTTGCCAGTGCTCTGGGGGCTAACCTTGGGGGCAGGAGGTGCGGAGGGGGGAGGCGGAGGAGCTTTTCCTTTCTTCTGGTTTTCATCCTCCGTAGCCTGCTTCTGATCGATATACGCCTTGATAAAGTCCGAATTCTCAGCAATCTGGTCTTCGGTAATTCCCATCTGCATCAGTTCATCCAGAAGGCCTTTCCAAGACGGGTCACTGGTGTTGAAAGGCAATTCTTTGCGTGACGAACTGGCTGATAGAGGGGGAGGAGCGACCTGGATTGAAGGCGCGGAGGTTGCTGCAGGCGCTGGGGGAGGAGGTCCGCTTGGTACTGACGATGACCGATGGCCCAGCAAGCTACCGAAAATTGAGCGTCCTATGCCGCCTTTGCCATTCATCACAGGAGCGGGACCTTGACCACGAGTCGAGGCAAAGGGCGTCTGTCTGGTCTCTTTGCTGGCATTCTTCTCCCGCTCGTGAAACTTCTTGATAAATGTTTTGGCCTCTTTCTCATCGGCGAATGATAGACCGGCCGGGCAGTCTTCGAGCTCGAACGTATGGAAGAATGTCCGGTCTTGGTTGTAATGGAAATTGTCGTATATCTCTTGATCCCAAATAACGCCTCTTCCGGCAGGCTATAGCCCAGAAGAAAAGAGCATCAGTCAGCGATTCTTTGTAAGGGAACGTAGTAGTAGCGCTTACCGAGACATCGACCATCTTCAACCAAAAGGTACGCCCGACGAGATCGTTCGCAAGCACTGCAGCACCCTGCAAACCCGTGTAGACCCATCTCTGAGGATCCGGATAGGCGACATACAGTCGCGCGACTGCTACAGCATGGATTTTGTTCGATGGCTTAGGGACATTTCGTTTGACTGTCTCCTTGTCGGCGTCACTGAGGATGGATGGCATGACGGATCACTGCTCGATGACGCAGAGGGAACGAACACGGGGAGGAGAAGGGGGGAAGTGTCTGAGAAGCCCAAATGGGGCAACGAAGCTGCCGTAGCACTGGTAGAACTGAATTTAAACGAATCTGGGAGGACACATTGCAGAGGCAATCGGCGCAGAGACTCGGGCACCAGGCAGACTCCAAGTGCGCCCAGGCACGGGATTTCCGGGTGTGGCAAAGAAGGGACCTTATGCCCAAATAAGATCAGGGAATAACAATGGAAACGAAACGAAGGTGAGAAGGCAAGGGAGTGGCTATGTTGTTGTCGCTGAGCTTGGGGAAGTGGTGAGGGAGAGGAGAAGGAAGAGAGAGCGAACGAGAGAGAGCGCGGTTTGGTGGGGAACTCCCTTATTACGGAGAACAGCGATAGTCGCTTCTCTAGTAGAACAACTGCGGCTTATTTTTCCACCGTTAATGGTCATAGACTATAAGGAATAATTTGCTGGTCGAAATAATTGCATTGGTTTCAATCGGTCGATATATATATATATATATAATAACTCCTTCTTGGAACCTACATGTTTATCCTCAGGAATCCAATCCAGGGGACAGATTTCACCATTACTATCCATAAACACAGCTAGTTCGGTCGAGAAATCAGATCGAATCGAATGATCCCTCCTAATTGTAGCACTATTCGCTGTATCTGAGTTCCCGGCCTTATAAGGGTTTACTATTAACAACGTCATCCGGGGTGGAATTGCCCCCACTGGCTATATAATATCCTCTACATTTTGTCCGTATTGAATTATAGCGGAGAATAGAGATAGCAGATTTTTTTCAAAACTACTACATTATCGCCACGGAATATTGTATTGTCAATATGTCGGACTCCTGGGACCCTACTAGCTATTTATACGAGCAAGCCGACAAGCGCAGAAGCAGCAGCAGTAGCAGCAGCAATAGCAACGACAACTTATCTCAAAACCAAAGCGCATGGGATTGGCAGGGTCAGTGGCAGTTGGCGACGAAAAGCAATGATGATTCTTCAGGATCTGGAGAGTACGTGATCATTCTGGGTTGGATGAATAACACATTGGCTAAATACTGTGATCCTTAGGTATGCCGCGCAAAGCATCAACAGGGGAGATCAGGGATCGAACGATGATGTTGATGAGACTAGATGGCAACGCTGGTGATTGGATACGAATGTGATAAATAGCAGGGCAGGTCAAGTAGATAATAATATTACTGCTACAATATCATGTGCTTATGATGGAATTGCTCCAGATTCCACTTCAATGGACAGTCTAAATGACTGTATGTAAAGCTATATTTAACTTCATAGACTCATGTAGCCCCTGGGGTTATCGAATGCCCTACATAGTGATCCGTAGCCCTCTGTCGATTGCATCATAGACACGTGATCGCGCGGCGCTCTATCACGGAATAGCTTCAAGAACGCCTTCGCCGCGTCAAGAGGCTCCTCATGCCACCTGAACGCACAAATGTCCCGGTGAAGCTGTCCCTACCGCTGGTATGCCTTGCTATTTCACTGTTTTGTAATATAAGAACCATTATCAAGTGCTGATTGAACCGATTCAAAGCAATATCAGCAGGACATCTTCACCGAACTCCGTGGAGAGGATGAGTTGGTCATCCTGGCTCGCGGCCTTGGGCTGCTACGCTTAGTGACGAATCTATTACACTTTTACGATGCTGCTGGGAATAATCTAGTGCTGGTAGTTGGTGCAGATGATCAAGAGAATGAGTGGATCGGAGAGGGTATGCACAATAATGAGTGGACCCGAGCGATACTAACCGTTTCAAAGCATTGGCAGAACATTATGCCATCAGCAAGACACCTCTTGCTCGAGGACTCAAGGTCATCAACACAGAGAGAGCGACTGTACCGATGCGGTATGTGATTCGTGAGGATTCAATTGGAGCGAAAGGACTAACGAGAGCCCAGAGAGAAACTCTACGCAGAGGGTGGTATTTTGAGTGTAACATCCAGGATACTTGTCGTTGATCTCTTATCGAGTATGTTGATGCCGCACTGTGAAGCAGCACAGCGCGCGCTAACTGCAATCGGTTCAGGACTCCTTAGCCCCGAGAAGATTACCGGGATGGTCATTCTACATGCCGACAAGATCGTGGCCACTTCAACTGAAGCTTTCATCATCCGAATATATCGGCAAGCCAACAAGTTGGGCTTTCTCAAAGCCTTCTCGGACTCCCCAGAGCCTTTCACAACCGGTTTTGCGCCTTTGACCAATTCGTTGCGTAATACTTTTCTGCGCAAGGCTTCCCTATGGCCACGCTTTCATGTCACTGTCGCTGAGTCGTTGGAGGGACGCAGAAAAGCTGAAGTTATCGAGCTGGAAGTCCCGATGACGGACAAGATGCGTGAAATCCAGAATGCTGTTCTTGAGTGTGTGGAGATCAGCATCGGCGAGTTGAAAAAAGCGAACATAGGAATCGACGTGGAAGATTGGACACTCGACAGCGCCTTGCATAGGAGCTTCGACATCGCTATCAGACGTCAACTTGACCACGTTTGGCACCGTGTGAGCTTCAGGACCCGGCAGATTGTTAACGATCTGACAGATCTGCGGGCAATTCTCCAGTACGTTCACTAATAGCAACCGCATATTCTCCCCCTCAGCCCCTTTTATTTTTTATTTTTTCCCCCTAACTTGACCAGCGCTTTGCTTACGTACGATGCCGTTTCGTTTATCAAATATCTTGACACCATAGTCGCTGCCAATTCTCCACCTCCCGGCTCGAGCAGACATAACTTTTCGCCCTGGCTTTTCCTTGACGCTGCCCATGTCCTTTTCCAGACGGCAAAGTCTAGGGTATACCAAGGGAAGATAAGCCACGAAACAAACCACTCGTTTTCGAGCCCTTTCCCTTCCACACTTCAACCCGTTCTAGAAGAGCAACCCAAATGGAGGGTTTTAACAGAAGTGCTGGAAGAGATTGAGCGTGATACTTACTTCAACCCAGCCAGTATGAATGAATCCAACAAAACCACGCTAATCATGTGCAGCGACCAAAGAACCTGTCGGCAGATTCGAGAGTATCTCGGGACGATGCACGCCAAAGTCGATAATGGCCCAGAGGATATCACAAGCGAAGGCATCCAAAGTTCTGCAGAAATAATGATGCGACGAAGACTGCGAGAATATCTGGACTGGAAGCGTTCTCTCTCGAACGTCAATAGAAATCTATCTACCAAAGCCGCCAACGACGAGTCACAGTCGGGCAAGAGCCAGCCTCAATCGGGAACGCCAAGTCAACAAGGAAAAGCTCCCCCAAATAAACGACGCCGGGTGCGTGGTGGTGGCGCTGTTTCCTCGGCTGCAGGTCGTGTACCGAACAGCAGTGTTCAAACTGAGGTCGAACTGCCAGATCAAGTGACCAGCTTACTGGATGAAATCCAACCTACAGAGGTTGAGGAGATCCAAAAGGAGGAGATTATCATCGACGTTCTAGAAGACATGGATGACTTCTACGAACTGTACGATATGAACGATCTAGTCGTAGTGCATCCATACGACGGTGACATGGACGAGCATATCTTGGAAGAGATTCGGCCACGATATATAATCATGTACGAACCAGATCCTGCGTTTATCCGACGAGTCGAGGTTTATCGCAGCTCCCATGTTGGACGAGACGTGAAGGTGTATTTCATATACTATGGAGGATCGGTCGAAGAACAGCGATACCTGAGTGCAGTGAGACGTGAGAAGGACTCTTTCAGTAAGCTCATCAAAGAGAAAGGAGTAAGTTCGCATATTACCAGGACAATATCGGAGGTCTTGCTAATGTTACCACCTCAAGAACATGGCTGTCACCCTCACCCATGACAAGAGCATGGAAGACCCTCAGGAGCAATTCCTCCGAACCGTGAACACGCGCATTGCCGGAGGTGGTCGACTAGCAGCAACGGCGTCGCCACCACGAGTTGTCGTGGACGTTCGAGAATTCCGAAGCGCCCTACCATCCTTGCTCCACGGAAACAGCATGATTATCGTCCCATGCCAACTAACTGTCGGCGACTACGTCCTCACACCAGACATCTGCGTCGAACGAAAATCAGTCCGCGACCTAATCGCCTCCCTACGCAACGGCCGTCTCTACAACCAAGCCGAAACCATGCTCCAACACTATACAAACCCCTTACTCCTAATCGAATTCGACGAGAACAAATCATTCACCTTCGACGCATTCACCTCCACCGCAACACCGGGCACAACCTTCCTAACGAACTATGGCTTTTCATCCTCGGGTGCCATGACGACCTCCGTCTCAGCAAGCAGCTCTCTCGTCAACGCCTCCAGCCCGAAATCCGCACAACATCTCCTCGTCCTCTTAACAATCACCTTCCCCCGCCTGAAAATCATCTGGTCCTCCTCACCCTATCAAACAGCCGAGATCTTCGCAGAGCTCAAAAAGAACAGCTCCGAGCCAGATCCAATAAAAGCCGTCCAGACCGGTCTCGACGTCGATATCGATCCAGATACAGCCCAAGCAGTAGCTCCTGGAGAAGGAGGCGGAAACATGATGGCCGCCGCAGGCATCGAGCACCGCATCTTCAACCTCCTACCGCAGGAAATGCTCCGTGCTGTGCCTGGTGTGACGCCACAAGCGCTGGAGAGGTTGATTCTAGAGACGGGGAATATTAATGAGATTGCGAATATGGATGTGGAGAGGTTGGATCCGTTAATTGGAAAGGAGGCTGCGAGGAAGATTGTTGGTTTTTTTCGGAAGAGTGTGTTTGAGACGTAGTTGGTTCGTGTTTGTTGTCTGGTTTGCATATATTGCATGGGTTACCGGGAATAGGTGATTGTGCAGAGAATCTTGTTATGTCGAAGATCTCGCTACAGAGTACTCCGTAAAGGATACCTAGTCTATATCTGAAAGAAGGTATGATACTACGAGTTCAAAGGTTGAATGGTTTTAAAAATTATATTTCCATACCCTTCTCATCAATCTATCATTATTTTCAAAAACGAAATAAGGAAGAAAAATGAGAAAGACAGAACAAACAATTGCCGACACGAAAACACGCCACATGCAAAATGCAGTCCGTCCTATCCATGCGCATTGCAACTGCTTTTTCTGCATAAATCCTAAGAACGCCGATGCATAACAGAAAATGATCCCGAAAAGTCGTAATCTATAATCCATTTCCGGTCATGGGCGAACATCAGGATCCCCCTATTAATAATTCATGCCCTGGGTATCTTGAAAGAGCAGCCCTGGGTATCGATAAAAAAAAAAAAAGAAGTCGTAAATCGAAGCGTGGCGCGCCGTAGATCCGATCTCGTTGTCACCGTTTCGAAAGATGACCGACATGGTTACATACAATGTCGACTAGAGAAATCATAGCATTCCGAAAGGATTGGTTGTCGTTTTGGATTGGACAACGGTGCAGGGGAAAACCAACGGCGAAAAAGGCTGGTTGTAGGAGAGGTAGAAGCAAGCCCAGTGACTCCTGCAAGGCTGAATAAATAGGGGATTGAGGAAGGTAGTTTAGAGGTCGTCAACATCGATCTCCTTGTCTTCTTCGTCACTCTCACGGTCCTCGTCGAACTCGACGTTGTCCTCGAGTCCTTCTTGGCCGTAGGTGTCGGTCTCGTTGATCTTGGCATTCTCGGGCAACTCGCCGTAGGCCTTGAGACTTCTAGCCTCATCGGCGGTGTACTTCATGATAACGTCGCCCTTTTCGTCTTGGTATTCACGCAGAGAGAGGAGAATAATGTCACCCTGGTTGATCCAGACCTTCTTCCTGAGCTTGCCACGAATATGTGCCAAGCGCTTCTCACCGTCAAAGCAAAGAGCCTCTAGACGGCCGTTACCCAGCATCTTCACGACCTGCGCATATTCCTGGCCTTCCTCCTTGAAGACGAGTTCGCGCTTCTCGTTGTCGTTCTCGTTCTTACCACGTCGGCGGTTCTTACCGCCCTATAGAAAGAGTTAGTGTATGTTCCAGAACGAGGATTTTTCATTATGCCAGCCCCATCCGTTCCATTCTCTCGCCTCTTTCTTTGCCACGTGATTTGCTTCCTTTGGGCGGTGCTGGTGGACATAGAAATCACGGCAAAGTGAAGGCAAAAAAATCGGATAGGTGAGATGGCTAATATTCTTTGTCACGGAAGGGGAAAAATTCGTAAACGCACCTTTCCCTTGTTCTTGGGCATGGCGAATTAACGCTGTGTGGAAAACCAAGTCAATAACCTCTTGGAGATAGGTATAGGGGGTATGTTGTGGTAAGAACGTACCTGTGTCGGTTGAGAATTGAGGAAAGTGGGGGAAAGTGTCGAGAGCGAGCGGAGGATGGAATTTCGAGTTCTTTTAAATGTATAGTGGGGAGCCCGATGTGGCGGGTGGCCTGAATGCTGCCTAAGGCTTGCCACTAATATAAGCCAATGATGCTGTATGAAGATTCACCGCCTACTGTTTTGCCGGCGAAAAGAGAAACCATCCATGGATTTTGATGGAAATCGCAAAGGCACACTTATTACGGAATTACTCCTATTTTAAACCCTATTTGTCAATCTTAAGGGCAGTTCTTCCACTTGCGCATTCTCCTTGCTTCTCTTTCCCCAACTTGCTTCGCCGTTGGGGAGCTGCGAAGTGGCGCTCAATCGGCCGACGAGTGTGCAGTGCTTCGCGAAAACAACGACAGAGATGTGGCTCGTGTCCCTTTTAGGGCACTGAGGAAATAAAGAAATGAAACTAATTGCATCAACAAACCTCTACTCCATACGGTATGATCCGAAGGCCCTCATACCTCCCGTCGCAAAACGGTATCTAGGGGCACCCTTTCATCCACTTCGACCTAAGGTTGCCCATATGTGCGACACCAGAGATCAGAATACATTATGGTGGAGAGTTGCAATATACCCCCTGCAGCCGTATCGCCGCGTGGTTCGTTCGTGGAGTGCTAGGAGAACTCGTCTTGCGTTCGAGCAGGCTTTGGAGGCGCGAGGGTTTGATCGGGAAGGCCGGAGGATATTGGATAATACTCAGGGTTCAAGGAAGACTAAGATGGGCGGGAATCTGACGGGATCATTCGAGATTCTCGTGCGTGAGGCGACCATCAAAGAACAATATCCGACAATTCAAAAAGAGATGAGTTCGGCGCTCGATGCCCTGTTACGAGCAAAAAGACAGCAGAATAGGCCCAGTGGCGATTCGAATAAGCACAAGAAGCGAGGACGCGTGCCGAATACTAGATGATATGGTACTGATCATGGTTCTTTTGTAAATATGTACTTTATATGTGTATAATGATGTGCTGTCAGGGCTATATATGTAGCATGTGACTCGGTGAAGTTGGATATATATATACACCACGTAACCTCGATTGGCTCAACTAAGAAATGACCCGTCCACTGTACTTGTACATAAACGTAGTAATCGTAATTATGAACATCATTGCTGTACTAAACATAGACGGGACATTGTCGCATTCCCTGGTGCTCTCTTGGCGCCTATTCGCCAACGGCCGATCAGGAACAATAATCACCTCCCTCTTTCTCCAGACAACGGACGGCCAAACAAAACTATCTCAATAAACTCAACTTTGACACCTTGCGGTCTTTTTTTTTTTTTCCATTCCATATCTCTTCTTCAGACTATTGATCTCACAGACTCAAATATCCAATATGTTGGTCTCCTTGACCGTTGGCAAGGTAGACGCTGGAGTCGCCGTGCTCCTGACCCAAGACAACCGCCTCGTAAGCTCATGTTTCCCCTTTGCGCAGCGATTGATCGCGAGACCAGCCTTGCTTCTGCACGTCTTTTTCGAGAATTTACTGGAGATTACATGGAATGAAATGAAGCATGTATCGAATTAATTGTGAACAACCGCTAATTGACTTGGCTTCTCCCCTTGGCTAGATCGAATTCCCCTCCGTCCTCCTACCCAACAACATCGCCTCCGGCAGCATCGTCGACATCACAGTAGCGCGCAATCATGCCGCTGAAGCCACCAGCGCATCCGATTTCCAGTCTCTTCAAAAACGTATTTTGAACACCTATGGTATCAAAACCCCGTCGCCGCCCATCCTCCGCCTCCGAAATGCCACGCAGACATCGCTGGTCCTGGAATGGGATCCTATCGATCTAGCAACAGCGTCGCTCAAGTCATTGTCTCTCTACCGCAATGGCTCTAAAGCTGGCTCGATACCAAGGCCTACTGAGACTCGGAGCACCAAGATCAGCGGACTTGCTATCCATACCGAATACACCTTCCACCTAGTGCTGCGCACGACCGCCGGTACCTACCAGTCGGAGAAGTTGACCTGTCGGACACACAAGATGACGGATCTGTCTGGAATCACGGTCACACCGGGCATCCTCCCCCCGCAGCAGAAGGAGGCACTCGCAACCGCACTGGACCGCATTGGAGGCAAGCTGATCGATACCGTTCGCATCGACACAACCCACTTTGTCTGCACGGAAGGACGAGGCCCACTGTGGCAGAAGGCAGTGGAGATGAACATTCCCGTGGTGTTGCCGGAGTGGGTCGATGCCTGTGAGGCGGAGGGCACGATTGTGAGTGTCCGGGGCTACTACCTGAATGCGGACCCCAAGACCCGACAGCTAGGACCGATTCACGGATCGTCGCAGCACCAGCACAATGCCTCTACGGCTTCGATAGCAACCACTGCCCAGAACCAGGCTCCATCCCAGAACCAGACGCAAACCAACCTTCAGACCCTGCCTTCGCGCGAACGCGGCCAGTCTGCTGCAAGTGAACAGCCGTTGACTCCTTTCCCGGGCCAACCCACAAATGGTCAACCTAAGGCAGAGGAGGGGGAAGAGGAGTCAGAAAATGAGCAATCGCCGCCCCTGCCCCCTCCAAAGGATGACGCTCCAGAGGAAGAAAAACTGAAGGAAGAATCCCCGGAGCCTAGCAGCCAGCCCGAACAAAACGGTGAATTTGTGCCATCAGAGACCGTATCTCCAGACGAGAAGGAAGAGCTTAAGGAAGAAAAGCCCGAGCAGAACGGAGCCACGAAGGGGCCGGAAAACGCCTCGCCAGAGGCTAAATCCGAAAACGAAGAAACTACCGGTGACGGAGATGGAGAGAAAAAGCTCAAGGGGAAGCAAAGCGAAGGAGACTTTAACGAAGTTCCTCTCTAGCCTCAATGATGGATGATGGCCACTGAGTAGACGGAGTGCGTCGGATTGCTTTCTTGTTTCCCTTTTTATTTTCTATACTTCATTTCTTCCTATGAATGGTTTATGTTGTCTGGCGTCTTATGACTTTTTATATCCGGTAGTATTGTGTGTCATGGGCATTCCTGCTTAATCCATAGAATAACTGTCGAGTGGCAACCATTCCGGGATGTCCTTTCTGTTGCTTTATGTGTTCAATGGTATGTGTATAGTACATGGTATAAGGCTATCAGCATTTTACTTCAGATGCTGACGTTTCTGAAGCTTCAATACAATTTTTAAATATGTCAAATGCCTGAAGTAACCGAATAAATCACATATCTATTTCTTTGTACATGGCTTTTGAATTATTGACAAACGTATCCAAAACAGGTGCCACCTATCCATCATATCATGCATCAATATCCATATCCAATCATAGTATCATCAGTCATCTAGTTCACATTCCGGACAACATCGTCAAAAGCTTTGGCGACGTAGGCGACATTATTCGTGCTCACTAAAAGAAAAATTAGTATTTGTGTCAAGGACAACTGGGTAGATGGACTTACAGCCACTGATGGAAGCTCTGCCGGACTTGAGCAAGTAGACGTGGTACTTTTCCTTCAAGGCTTGGACTTGCTCGGAGGTCAGACCGGTGTAGGAGAACATTCCGTTCTGTCTCGTGTTAGTGATTTTGTATCTCATACAGAGAGATAAAGGTGGTATACCTGCTGCACGATATGTTCCCAGGTACCCGGGGTTCCAAGTCGCACGAGCTCGTCATAGAGAGCACGACGCATCGACTGGATCCGAGAAGCCATCTCTCTCATGTTCTCGTGCCACTGAGCAGTCAAGTTCTCGTCTGTCAGGACCTTCTTGACGATACTGCATCCCCCAGAGGGACCCATGGAGAACTCGCCACGAATCAAGTGGCATAGGTTGTCGACGACGGTGCGGTTCAATTGCTTTTCAGAGTTGCTGAGGACATAGTGGAATGCACCAACACGCTGACCATAAAGACCGAAGTTCTTAGAGAAACTCTGTGCGACGCACATCTCCAGATGCGGCTTCTCGTTGAAGAAGTACCGCACAGCCCACGAGTCCTCCTCGAGCGAACCCGAGGCGAAACCTTGGTACGCCGAGTCGAAGAACGGGAAGATCCTCTTGCGCTCACATAGGTCCGCGATAACTTTCCACTGTTCCTTGGTGGGGTCCAGACCAGTGGGGTTATGCGCAGACGCATGCAGAAGGATGACATCGCCCTCTTGCCCCTCATTCTCCAACACGGCCATCATACCCTCAAAGTCAAACAGGCGGGTGGCAGGGTTGTAGTACGGGTACTTCGCACGCGGCACACCCGCCTGATCCCAGATAGTGTCATGGTTCGCCCACGACGGATCCGATAACCACACTTTACTCGGCTTCATATTGTGCGCGAGAAAGATCGCACCGAGGTGGTTAGCGCCCGTCCCCGCGACAGTCTGCACAGAGGCGATCCGCTCCTTTTCCGCCTTCTGCGCATCTGAGTCCTCTTTGCCGTGGAAGTTGAACAGGACGTCCCGCGCGAGACGCACGAAGGCCATGTCGCCTTCGATGGCCGTGTACTCATGGCGGGAGAGGCTTTGCTCGTCGAAGAGGCGCTGCTCTGCTTCGCGTACTACGGGGAGAGGCCATGGCTTTCCTTCGTTGGTGCGGAAGACGCCCACGCCTAGACTGGCCTTCTCGGGGTAAGTGTCGTTGAAGAATTCACGGTTAAGGTCGAAGATCTCATCCGTGGCCACTGGGCCCATTTTGTTGAGGATCGTCATGGTGCGTGCGTTTGTCTGATATACGGATCCACCAGGGAAGAATGACGGTTTATATGAGTGGTAATTTCTTGAATTGTAAGAGTATGCTGAAGAGTTGAAGATGGGCCAAAGGCGGATGACTAAACCGCCGCCTCTTTTGTGCTGTGGGTCGATCCAGATCGTAAAGTGAATGAGAATCAGGGCAGGAAAGAAGCAGAATTTTGTTCCTGGTTGCTACCGAAATATCAGTGACCCTTGAGGTGTTGACACGCTAGATTATTCCATGGAAAACCCGTCAATATCAAAATGTGGGGTTTGATCTATGACATCAACGGATATTAAATCGACCTCAACAGAATAATGGAGCAGTAGAGCAGCTATTACTCTAGCATTTTTCTGTGCTAATACTACATCTAGGATAAATTGTGCCAATGGGCATGCGTTACGATAATATGCCTAGAGTCCTCGATCTCTTTGTTTCTCTTCCGGTAATGCCCTAAAGACGCATCCGGCTAGCATATTATGTGTCCGCAGGATAGCGATGTCCCAATTCCATGGATAGCATTTATCCTCAGGTCTTGTATGCTAACATGAACTACCACTCCTGTAGACGAAACCGTGCATTCAACTGACGATGCTCTCGAGTTGCAGCCCGCCACAGCATGTTATACCGAGGACAAGGCCGTGGTAAATTGTTCTATCATCAACAGATATTCTGGCAGTTATTTAAACCCCCATATAATTCATTCCCAGGTCCAGGCTGAGCACAGCAGACCCGGACGAGTGGAACTGAGCCTATGTCTTGTCCTTGTCTGACGGGAATGTATTGCTTTCTAAAGGAGTCTGACCCAGGGATACAATGAGCTCTCAGCAACTATGGCCCAAGAGCCCACCTTCCATGATCAAATAGTTTGTGCGACACAACAAGAGTGCTTTGTAGGAGAGAAGGTAGGAGAGATGAAGATTACCTAAATAGGAAGAAGGTGGCCGGAGAAGATCTTTACCATACGATACGGTAATACCGGCACTTGCACACAGTAGACGCATAGAAAGAGCGTCATGCCGATACCGGGCCGGGTGTATTCGGCAGAACAGTCGGAGGAGACAAGCCTTATTAACCTCACCTTGCAGTCTTTCCTCAGATTGTTGTCGCTGTCGCTTCCAGATTCACATTCATTCTCCAATTCCATTCTGGAAAGGAATCCATTGGCCGGTCATCATCATGGTCTCCCCCGCTCTCTCCTCCCGAGCTGCCGTGCGCTCTGTGGCTTCTGTGACGCGCTCCTCCCCCGCAGTTGCCCGCGCTGCTGTGGCTTTCGTTCCTCGTACCCCCGCTTCTCTCAGTAGCCGTCGCGCTCTCTGCTCCAATACCCGATCCCTCCAGCAGTTCCCTCGTCTCCAGTCCTTCAACAATCTTTCCAAGAGGACCTTTGTTTCTACCGGCAGAATGGTATGTGCGCTGTGCGCCTGGAGGTCTAGCGAAGAGCGGAGAGAAAAATACTGGGAGTACCATTGCTAACGCAGTTGCGCATGGTATAGGCTGCTGAAACTCGGACAGAGAGCGATGCTTTCGGTGAGATCCAGGTAAGTTACCCATATTTCGCAACTGTCGCTTGTATAGACTCTAATTGCGTTTCTAAACAGGTCCCCGGGGACAAGTACTGGGGTGCCCAGACCCAGCGGTAAGCGCCAATCTGATCAGACAAATTGCAGCTATATGTATGATGGATAGTGGATGCTGATACAAAGGCAGCTCCTTGGGCAACTTCGACATCAACCAGCCCCAGGACCGTATGCCTGAGGCCGTCATCAAGGCCTTCGGTACCCTGAAGTGCGCTGCTGCTACCGTGAACATGAAATTTGGCCTTGGTAAGAACAATCCCCACCGGATAATTGCGATAGGGCAGCATTAACCAACTCGCTCAAGATCCCAAGATTGGTGAGGCCATCAAGCAGGCTGCCACTGAGGTCGCAGAGGGCAAGTTGCTGGATCACTTCCCTCTTGTCGTTTGGCAGACCGGCTCCGGCACCCAGTCTAACATGAACTCCAACGAGGTCATCTCGAACCGTGCCATTGAGATTCTCGGTGGCACCATGGGTACCAAGAAGCCCGTCCACCCCAACGATCACGTCAACATGTCGGCCTCTTCCAACGACTCCTTCCCCACTGCCATGCATATTGCTGCCGTCGTCGAGCTCGAGAACACCCTGCTGCCTTCTCTGAGAAGCCTGCGCAACGCTCTTCAGGTGAAGGTAGAGAACTTCAGCGACATCATCAAGATTGGTCGTACTCACTTGCAGGATGCTACCCCCTTGACCCTCGGTCAGGAGTTCTCCGGATATGTTGCTCAACTCGACCGCAACATTGAGCGCGTTGAAGCCAGCATTCCCCACCTCCGCTACCTTGCTCAGGGTGGTACTGCTGTCGGCACCGGTCTGAACACTTTCAAGGGCTTCGACGAGGCTATTGCTGCCGAGGTTTCCAAGCTCACCGGTACCGAGTTCAAGACCGCTCCTAACAAGTTCGAGGTTCTGGCTGCCCATGATGCCGTCGTCGAGGCCTCCGGTTCCCTCAACACTCTTGCCGGTTCGCTCTTCAAGATTGCTCAGGACGTTCGTTACCTCGGATCTGGTCCCCGCTGCGGTCTGAACGAGCTGATTCTCCCTGAGAACGAGCCTGGCTCGTCGATCATGCCTGGCAAGGTTAACCCTACCCAGTGCGAGTCCCTCACCATGGTTTGCTCCCAGGTTATGGGTAACCACGTCGCCGCCACCATTGGTGGTATGAACGGCCAGTTCGAGCTTAACGTCTTCAAGCCTTCCATTATCCGTAACCTGCTCCACAGCGTACGCATCTTGGCCGACGGCATGGCCAGCTTTGAGAAGAACCTGGTTCATGGTCTCCAGGCTAACGAGGACAGAATCAGCACTCTCCTCCATGAGAGGTAAGTTTCTTTGTCTTATATTGGACGTCCCCATTCCATACTGATTTGTATCAGTCTGATGCTTGTTACCTGCTTGAACCCCGTTATTGGTTATGACATGGCCTCCAAGGTGGCCAAGAACGCCCACAAGAAGGGCATCACTCTCAAGGAGAGTGCTATGGAGCTCAAGGCTCTGTCCGAGGAGGACTTTGAGAAATACGTCCGCCCCGAGCTGATGTTGGCCCCTAAGGAGAAGAAATAAGCGGGTAGTCTGGAATATGATGAGCCCGAGATGCGAAATGGGGCATGATGAGTCGATGCTACAATTTTGCTAAACCCGTTTTCATATTTGGATAAAGCCATGCGGTCAGAATTAGCATGTTACCTGTATACTTGAAAGGAATTACATTGTACTATTTACTTGGTTCTGCATACCGACTTCTTCCCGCGGTTTCGCTGTCAGCACAACCAAAAATAGCACAACTATATCCATACTTGTACCTCGGAAAAAAAAAAAAAAAAAAAAAAAAAAAAAAAAAAAAGGCAATTTTGCTACGGAGTCAAAAAGTAACTATTTTTGCTGCAGTTTCTCATTGGTTTTGCGCCGTTGTTCGGTCTGGTAGCCTTTCGTGTCCGAGGTAAGACAGTTCCAGTAAGTGTCCATACCGCCGTTGTGCTTCGCCCTCCTGCGGAAGTCACTCCATCACCCCTTCGTTCTTTCCAGCATTGCTCCAGTCTCTGCGTCGATTGCTATTTATTTCTCTGATAGAGACATTTATCTGATCCTTTGTTGTTTTCTCTTTGCATAACTTCTCCTTTTCTCTACAGCAAACTTTTCTTCCGGTTCCTGTTCCTGACCTCCTTCTCCGACAAAGTCAAGCCTCTGAACCACCCAATTTCTCCTCCGTGGCCTCTACAACCAATTCTCCGTCACTCAATCCCCCAAAAAAAGACCTCCAAAATGACAAACGCCGCACTCGCAGCCACCACCATCCCCGCGGCCACCAAGCCCGTCCCTTCCGCGCAGAACGGCGTTGAAACCCCTCTCTTCTCTACAAACCTAATCTCCCCCGAAGTTCTCGCCGTCCTCCCCCCCGGCTACACAATCCGTCCCCTCCAGCGCTCCGACTTTCAACGCGGCTACCTCGACGTCCTGCGCGTGCTGACGACCGTGGGCGACGTGGATGAAGACAAGTGGAACCAGCGATACGACTGGATCTCTTCGCGCAACGACGAGTACTACCTGCTGGTTGTGTGTGACGATGCGGAGCGGATTGTGGGTACGGGTAGTTTGATCGTGGAGCGCAAGTTTATTCACTCGTTGGGGCTTGTTGGCCATATTGAGGATATTGCGGTGGAGAAGGGGCAGCAGGGGAAGAAGTTGGGGTTGAGGATTATTCAGGCGCTGGATTTTGTGGCGGCGAGGGTTGGGTGCTATAAGGTATTTCTTTTTCTTCTTCTCTGCCTCTGTTATTTATTGGACTATGCATGTGGCTAACGTTTTGCAGAGCATTCTCGATTGCTCAGAGGCCAACGAGGGTTTCTACGTCAAGTGCGGTTTCAAGCGTGCTGGACTCGAGATGGCGCATTACTACTGAGATTCTTCATAATGACTTCACGGATCATTGTCTGTCGAATGTTTATCCTGGCGTTTCCTAAAATTACATATTGAGAGCGACTAGATAGATTTCGAGTCTTCGTTTCGATTGAGATCCTGAAAGCGAGACGAACCCGACTAGATGTGCTGGTATTGCATTAAGATCAACGCATTGATGGCTCCATGATCAAATGCGACTCGTCTTTATATAGCGGGACATTAATGGACTATAGAGTTACGGTTTCTATTCATGGCGAATCGTGTGATTAGTTATCCCCGCGAGCAAAACTTTTTAGGGTATAATACATGTTACCTTCATTGATTGTTCATAGACTATCTTTCGGAGATACGGCTGGCCTCATAAGCGAACAGCCTCCTAAGAGGATCAAGGGAGTTACCGAACGAACGAGTACGTAAATGGACTACCATGGCGGATTATTGGCGCATCATAATGCTGCAAACCAAATAGATGCATTCGCTATTTGATTTCATTTCCAAAGGGCATAGCTTTTCGGAAGGCAACCAGCCAACATCCAATATCCGGTGTTAAGCAGAGTCAAAAGAAAACGAAACACTGAAATTCCCTCATGCTGATTGTTTCAAAAGCCCACGGAAATCATGAACCCATTTCATTAACTCTCAAACCAGAAACCAAGCCCCTTATAAAACAAAGTAGGATATCCCATGGTATTCCCGAATAAAAAAAGCGTTGGCCCGGCGAGTAATAGATTGACAAATTCAATTTTTCCCCACCAACATAAACCCCCCGAATTCTCAGATGATGCTGTTTTGTAGGTTGTCTTGTCGTCGGTCGGATATTTCCCGCTCGAAGTCATCATCTTAGTTTTTCACCGTATCGGAAGAGGTTCGACTAGTTTATGCGCCAGGGTTGGGGTTCATCTATTGTCGATGTCGTCAGCTCGTGTTCCGATCCATTTTATCAACGCTTCGGATCCATTCAGTGGGATGGTCGAAGCTGGAAGATAAAGCTAGAATGCTCGAGCCACGGAGCCGATCGGGCCCCCGCTACGAAATGCGAACAATCTCAGAGTATCTCCCAAACTTCATTCCATCCCACGAACATCCGGAGTCGTCATCCTTTTATCGAATTCAACGTACCTTCCGCTTGCCACCGGTCATGGTAACGTTGACGAAACGGCGGGTGTACTTGAGACGCTTCATAGCGCGGCCCTTAGGCTGCTTCTTCTTCTCTTGTGCCTCGACCTGTAATCATCGAATATTGATCAGCATTTAAATCCCCATCAAAAACCATTAGTATATCGCGAGCGAAATCCCCCTAATCCTCCTTTTGTCGTCAAGACAAAACCCTATCCCTCCTCTTGCCCCGTCGGTGGCAACATTCCATGCAACATTTCTCATCTCGTTTCGCTCGCAGATAACCACTGAAAACCAAAGAAAAAAGGAATAACCCACCTTAGGAGTCGCAGACTTGACCTTACCCGCACGGGCGAGAGATCCGTGAACCTTACCCATGGCTGCTGGTGGTGTTGTATAACTTGTCGGATCGAAATGGGGGAGGAGTTGTCAGAAAGGCTGCTTTGAGAGGGGGCGGCGGAAAGGGATCTGTGGGCAAAAACCGCGTTACACCGCCCGGTAAGCGAGATGGCGAGTTAGGTCGCGTAACGTGACGGGTATTTATGCCTGAGGCTGGCAAGATTCTCTTCTCAGAGAATAGAGTGGATTTATTTGGGGGGGGGGGGTTAAGAGTGATATTCTGGAAATTTATATTTCCTATTTCCTATTCTTTATTGTATTTTGTACAACGTTTGACTTGAGATATGACTGTATATACAAACATTGCTTTGATTCGGGGTCCCAAAAGGGTTTAGCGTAGGTTTGTGCCCTACGCTTGTTGATTAGGGTCGGGAGTATGGTATTGTCATGATTTATTACAGGTCATGTGATACGCCGCGATAAGCCTGATCGCCATGACGCTGTGCTCCGTATGCTGTATGGCGCTAAGTACGGAGAGATCCTGGAGACTCCGCCAATGTCTAGTTATACTAGCCGGTAGACAAAACGATGGTGGCTGACATTATTGCAGAAGATACGATTCTACTCTTGCAACTGATCTTATGTCGCATAGTACTACAGGCCCAGATGATAACAGATATTATCACATTTTCTTTTCCATTTCTTGGCTATAAACCATGGCGTAGTGATAGAAACAGCCTGAAAGCCGAGCGGGAAGTTTCATCAAAGAAACCCTTCGCTCATATCGTACGCTGAATTGTTGGAAACGATCTTGTTTAGGAAAACAAATCCCAGCTCCGGGGAGAAGTATCATAGAATTCCAACCACATGAGATTCTCTTGTACTAAAATGGAAAAAAGAACACCCAGCCCAAGCCTAAACCGTTTTTTAAGTACGCTTCTTACCACCCTGCTTAGCACCACCCTTGGCGGCACCGGCGGCGGACTTGGCCTTGTCAGCCTTCTTAGCGCTCTCGGAAGCGGCCTTCTTCTCCTTGGCCTGCTTGATAGCGTCCTGGCGAGCGGCGGCACGGGCCTCGGGGCGCTGGTTGCGGCGCTCCTTGATCACATCGAGAGAGGCACCGACAATGGCACGCTGGGACTTCACGACACGGCGAGTGCGCTTCTTAGCAACTTCCTGTTCGAGTTGAAAAATCACCGGTCAGCATCTTGTTTCCATATTGCGTAGTTTCGTAATTTCCCCTCTATTCCAATCAAATATCATATCTTCATCCATGCCGGTGTAAAACGGTTCGATGCGTTTGTCGAAATACTTCGTATCCCCCTCTTCCAGAAACAACTCGAAACACTTAAACCAAAAGGGATTGGGCGGTACTGACTTCAGAGATGCCCTTCTTGTGCTGGCGACGGTAGAGGACAGTCCAGGATATCCGGCGAGGGTTCTTGCGCTGGAGGAAAAGCGACTCGGACTTTCCGTTCTGGAAGCGGAAGATCTTGCTGTCGCCACGGACGAACAGCTTACCCTATAATTCAGAAAGAAAAAATCCCGTTAACCAGCCATTCTCATATAAACGTATAGGTAGGCGGCGAATTCGTTGTCTCGATTCGATATGCAGGATCGTGGCGGGTCATCGATAATGACTTCGACAGGCCTGCCTGCCCAGGGGGGCAACAAACACACCTTTCCAGGGTAGATCTTCTGACCGCTGAAAGAATCGTCGTAGGTACGCATCTTGGTTGTCGGTGATGCGCAGCCGGTCGAGTGTTGTCGGTTGGCGTTGGGTGGTTGAGTCGAATCGCTGCGGCGACCTGGTCGTGAGACTGACACAATTGTGGTGCGGCGGTGCGGAGCCTCGCTAAAGTGTGACACGTGATCTCGGCTGCCCTTGGTTGGCCGAATCGTCTCCCGGAGCGGCAACCATGAATGTAAAGGGGTTGGATATCAATTATTTTCTACGATTAGATTTAACTGAGAATAAGGTACACTTATTATGGCTACTTGACGTCGAAATTCATTTACTGCTGGGATATGTTTCTTGTGCGCCTTGTAGGACAGATACATGTGTTGTTTCGGTAGCCGTCACTCGTCTCCCTCTTCAGTATTACAATTGCGTTCTCCTTCCATTTTTCCTCGCTTTATCATTAAGCGGCCAGACAGATTCTATCTATCATAGAAATGCGATGCATTCATTATGCCAGTCGCAAGGACCCCAAGGATCGGTTTTACATTCCTATACGACCAAGTCAATATCATATCAAATGATAGCAGATACGATAAAGAACCCATTGTATTTACCTTGCACTGAACATCCTGACAAGCCACATTGAGACAGATCCCACAACACTCCGGACAGACATATCGTCCGCAGCCTCCGCCCAAAGTACACATAATGAATGTCGTGTTATCCCGAACATGCGAACCTAAGGCCTCAATATTCGAAACGATCCTCTCAGCCTGAGCGGCTTTGAAAGCGCAGTTTCTAGGATCTTTCTTCGCGCGACAGCCAGCTTCGTACATGCAGCACGCAGTATTGCAAACTGCGCAGGATCCCATGCAGGAGGCGCATCTTAGATTCTTCGTGTGCCACATTCTAGGGTCGTTGGGTCGCTGTGGGGAGTCGGGGTCTTCTTCGATGCGGAGATCGACCTGCGTTCCGGTGATTTCGCGGATATGCTTGAGCTGTTGGAGTTAATGAGGCTGGTTGGTTGGCATGGTATGAGTGTAGTTTTACCTTCTTTTGGAAAGAAATCGCCTGCTCGTCCTCTGTTTTACCTAGCAGGGCATCAGTGTATCAAAACCAACGGATCGGCAACTCACTGGTACTCACCCTCTTTCAAGGATTGACCGGGACCAAATACGGCTTCTGAGAAGTCGAGGTTGGGAAAGGCAGTGTCTCCTGGAAGAACCAAACCCTGTCAGCCAAAACCGCTTATCTAGACAGAGAATACAGTTTGACACACCGCTAAACGAATTGATGTACTTCGAAAACTTTCCATGAGAACCAGACGATTTATGTGTTGCATCACTCTTTTCGGTAGCCTGAGAGCTGACAGAACTGGCCAAGGAAAACCGCCGAAAGTCTCCAAAACCAGTGAGCGAGTACAGACTGGATCGCTGAGAATTAACTGCTGTTTGTCCCGGGATCCCAGCAAATACGGTAAATCTCTTCAGAAAGGAATCGCGCTTTCTTGAGCTGTGGCCCCCGGAACTTTTCGGGCTACTTGGAGGCGATAGGCTGTCGTTGTTCTCGTCTTTCGAGTGAGGAGCGTCCTCGAGTGGTTTAGCTGTGACGTCGGAAGAACTGTCCAGCCCTAGGTTGGAATTCGTCTCGTTCGTATCGGCCGTAGGCCTGAAAACCCGTTCTCTTAGCTTGGGACTATCTTTTTGGAAGTAGTAGGGAATTGCTTACTTTCGTGTCTCCTCTATGTCCTGGTCGTCATCGCTGTTAGAATCTGAAAATGCCGAAGACTCAATCGTAATTTCCAGTGTCTGTTTACCAGAATCTTTACTTTCTGCGTCCCCAACGTCGATGGGAGCCTTCAAGCTCATCGTTGAGAATCTGGGAGTAGATGGCTGTTAAGTAGAGGTATTAATCGTCTGGATGGTTCTTGAAGAGTTCTAATATGCTCATTGCAAACTTTTCAAAAGGTGAGCTTGGTGAATTAATGGGAATAGTGAATAACCAGGTTAGATGCAACCGCATTCACTCTATATCAGGACTTGCGATACTAGCAGGGAATTTATCATATCTACTCACGATAATTCTGTCAATGTTGATTAGAAAATTGCAGCCATTTCATGAAGGACCAATTGTCCTGTTAATCTATAACAGAAATTCAATCGTCAACAACAAAGACATTGAAATGAGAGCCCTGGATCTGCTGTATGCTATGGAATAGTTGTTAGGGACGCTATATACAAGATAGAGGATAAGGAATGCTCCCCAGTCCAAAAGAAGACCGAGAGCGCGGGTAGCACGGCAGCTTGCCTGCCAAAAAGCAAAAGAATAAGTCTATGGCCATGTTAATCGCCCCGTCATAATCACTTCGTCACTGAGTAATTCGTATTTTCGTCATAACAGGTTTGATTGAACTTTTGCTTCCAACAATTCAAGTCATAGCATGTGTTCTCGTCCACTCCTTTGCAGTTTGAATAGCAGCTGGTTCATCCTCCTTCCAGCGTTGAGCAACGTCGTTGGCGAGAGGGTCGTCCGGGTTCGGTGCACCAAGCAAAGCTTGGATCGAGAGCAAGATTGTGCGGATTTGTAGAGCAGGCGACCAGTTGTCTGTAAACGGATGTTAATAAATTATATATCGAGCTATATTCAAGCCAATTTATAAAGGGAATTTACTCTTCAAGACATCCAAGCAGATACGTCCAAGGCGGTCGATGTTGGGGTGGTAGATCTTGGTCAAAAATCGAATCTTGGGAGGAGTCATAGGGTAATCATCCGGCAGGAACAGCTCGAGGCGAAAAATGCCACCTGTTTCAAGAAAGTGTTATAAGACATTCCAGCAGCAATATGCCATAGCGGAGGCCTCCTACCCTCATATGGAGATTGCACAGGTCCGTGAATCGAAACATCAAAGTATCTCAGGTTCTCTTCGTGAGGCACGGCGTTGATACCAGGGACCCTAAGGGGTGATTCATCAGCAATCGCCATAGCAAAGAAACCGGGGGTGCAAATAGCTCACGGTTCTGCCATAAGACGCTCGGTCTCCTTTATAATTCTCTTTGGCAACGCCATCTTATCGTCCGCGAGGGTGGGATGTATGGTTTCTTTCGCTGCTGAGTTCTGGTGGAATCCCCTTCCTTTTGACGCAAGCAAAGAAATACAGAAATATACAAGCCACGAATCGCTGGCGTCTTTCTAACAAAGTCGTGTGTTAAATCGCCAAAACGACCAAGGCAAAGTCTAAGTTACCATTGGGGTGCTCTTCGACGTCGCCTTATGTAACCAGAGGGGCACTGCGTCAGGATTCCTCACCGCCTGCCATAGCTTGTACGGCGAGCGATATGAACCTCGACTGCAGCCTGTGATCCTTTCTTTTTCTCCAGCTCTCTCCACAGCAACTTAGGTTCGTTTCGGCGGAGAGATCCATAATCTATTCTCCGTATAGATCATCTGCACAGACGTCGAATTCATTGTGGAGGTAAGTTGTTAGATCCCCAATGGAGCTTGCACTATATATACGGACAACCCTTCCTTATCTATATGTACTGGCTAACATTGGATTGTCTTTGCATTAGCTGCACTCCCGCGCTTGGAAGTAATTAATCCCTCCCGGTCTAGTTCTTATCCGATTGATTTCTCGAATCCGCAATGCGCGCAAGCGACAGCGTCGGGTCCTTGCATTTCACATAGTCAACAACAATTCCATGGGTATCATTGAAATGAGAGCATCGTTCATTTCCTTAAATCATCCTCCTCCACCATCCCGTTATATAATATTTGGAGAGGCCCGGCCATCCTCCGGGGAACTCCTGGACAACAGTTGAACGGCAGGGTGTGGAGGAATTCGTCAAGGAAAACCGTGGATTCCCATCAATAGCTATGTCCAATTCAATGGAGGCCAGGCCTCTGACATCGGCCTTTGAGAGTCCAACTTTTGGCGAGGACAGCACCTTCCATGTGGAACAGCCCGTTGGTTCTATGTCCATATCGCCATGTGGACGAGATGTAGTATTGGCATCAAAGGAGGGTCTCCATATCATCGATCTCGATTCTCCGTACTCGCCGCCTCGGTATCTCCCACACCATACGCCATGGGAAGTCGCAGACGTTCAGTGGTCGCCGTTTGCCGCTCGCGATTACTGGGTTGTGAGCACGTCGAATCAGAAAGCTTTGGTGTGGAACTTGGCTATGAATACTTCGCAAAATTCCATTGAACATGTATTGCATGCCCATTCCCGAGCTATAACCGATATCAACTTCTCAGCTCACCATCCGGACGTTATCGCAACATGCTCTGTCGATAGTTTTGTTCACAGCTGGGATTTACGAACACCCTCACGGCCGGCTATCACGTTTTCCGACTGGTTTGCTGGGGCTACCCAGGTTAAGTGGAATCGACAAGACCCCCATGTCATCGCAAGTTCACACGATAGATTCCTTCGAATATGGGATGATAGAATGGGGGCAATTCCGATTCGATCTATTGAAGCGCACAGTACCAAAATCTACGGCGTTGACTGGAACCGCGTACGTCCCGGCGCTTTAGTGACTTGCTCGCTGGACAGGACTGTCAAGTTCTGGGACTATACCGCGGAACGCGACATACCGGAGAAGTTAATCAGAACTCCATTTCCTGTGTGGCGTGCAAGGAATACCCCGTTTGGATGGGGCGTGCTGGCCATGCCCCAAAGGGGCAATAGCGACCTCCATCTGTATAGTCGCAGATCCGGAGAAGAACCCGGTCCGACGACCGATGAACTCCCTTTGGTACATAGCTTTCCAGGACACAAGGGTCAGGTTAAAGAATTTCTTTGGAGACCTCGAGGCGGGGTAGTAAACGAGACCGATCACCGGGAATTCCAGCTTGTTTCTTGGGGGTCAGATAAGGAGCTTCGCTTACACAGGGTGCAGCCCGATGTCTTGCGGCGTGTTGGCTACGAGAAAGGGAAATCATTCATTCACAACTTGAATGTCACTCGTTCAGGTGCAGTCTACAAGACTTTTCGTGATGGTCCGGAAGATCTTGATGGCACATGTTTTGGTCTATCAGCCGGCTCGCAGCCGCGTTTCCCCGATGGCGCTGGGGTGAATAACACCATCTCAATGCCATATTCTCGTACTTGGGGCGGTAATGTGGACTCAAGAGTAGGCATGCGGGGTAAAACTAATATCAGAACTGAGACCAATCCCATTGCGTGGATGCGCGGCGTCAAGATAGCGGGATGGGACATTGAAACATTAGGAGACGAAATTTCGCATGTCGGGGAAAAGTTTACCAAAGTCGTCTTCGAATCGGTTGATGTGAGGCAGCGGAAAGCAACAATATCGTTGCATGGACCGTGGGGTACAGACAGTACATCCCTTTTCTTGAAAGCGGATATAAAGTTTCCGGTCGAGTACCCTAGGGCGTCGATACCGGTTTTTAACATCCAAAAAACAGCAGCCGTTACAGATCAGCTCGCTGCCAGGTTGATCTCAGATTTGAAAACCATTGCAGAATCCTATCTATCTCGTAAGAGAGGATGTCTCGAAGGAGCCGTCCGTTACCTTCTGGGCGAAAGTACTTTGGAAGAAAGCATTGCATGGATTCAAGGAGAAACTGCCGAGACAATGAAATCGCCTGTTAATGGTGGGCTGGGAGGCGATGACTCGAGCGATGAAGACGAAGTCGGGCTGTCGCATAGCCAGGATCTGGGAATGAGCTCAGAGCTCCTTAGGCCGGTTAACGCCAACGTGATGGTGCCAGTTGCCAAAGCCTGTGGTGCGCTCTGGGCAAATGACGGTCGCTTGGTATGCTTTTTTCCACCAAAGAAGGACAAGTCGGCAACCATGCTCGAGACCCTCGGGTTTAAGGAGATGACAAGGCTATCTAGATCTGATAAGGTTTTCGAGGGATTTGGTCGCCTTCAGACCGCATCTCCCGGGCCTCGAATAACGGGCACCATAGCCAGCACTGATGATGGCGTCTCGGAATATTCCGACGAGTCAGACGCCGAATCATCAAGTTCTTCGGGCTCATCTGACATGTTATCGTCGGGATTGCCAGCCCGTTTCCCGGCTCCTCAAACCTGGCGCAGTGCAGGTAGTCTTGGATTCCATCGACCCAGATCAACGGACAATTCACAGAGATCAATTGGTGGTAGTGGACATATTAAACCTTCCGAAGCTTCGCAGACCGTGGTGTCAATACATGATCTTAGCGGTCTCTTACCAGCGAAACGCGAGTTGGCGAGTAAATACCGGATATGCGGCAAGAGCGTGGATGTCTGTGCCCACAATGCTTCGGTGGCCCTTGATTCCGGATATCATGAGTTGGCCCAGATTTGGGGCCTCGTCAAACTTATATTGCTCAATCAACAAAGCCCAGGGTTCCAATTTGGACACGGAGTCTTCCAGCGCCGTCCCTTCAGGTCCACGCAAAAAAAAGATAGCGCTGTTAACATGAGCTTCGACGCCCCAAACCCGATCCAGTTTCTCAACGGAGCAGCGGGGAAAGGCCTTCAATGGGGCAATCACCCTTTCGGTCGGTCTTGGCTTATCCCAGCTCTGTTCGATCATTTCGAGCGCATTGGTGATGTACAGATGGTTGCTATGCTCTCTTGTGTCCTTCATGAATCTAATAGCGAGGGAAACCTTACTCGTGATCAACGTGGGTACGGTGGATCAACTCCCAGGCACATGGAGCCTCTTTTTTCGTTGGATGCTCCTTCTGAGACTGCAGCAGCGCAGAATAAATCCCAAGAAGCAGTTACGCCTGTCGGTTCAGCGTCAAAGGAAAGCCACATGTTATCCGCGGCACAGAGCTCTGGACGTTCGTCAAGCGAAACTTGGCGCGGTACCTCTCCACCCTATTCGACAGGCACGACTCCTCCTGCAACCTCTCGACCAGGTGCCATATCTGCAGACAGGAAGCATGCAAGTCAGACGGTTTCAATCGCAACATCTCCGGATCAACAATCACAGCCACGCAGTAGCTCCGGTATTGGTTCAGTTTTGGCCTCCTCGCTTTCTCGATCTTTCACGTTTGGTCCGTCATCAGCCTCTCCTCCAACTAGTGCCTTTGGTAGGAGAAAGCAAAGCCCAAGCGGCAGTCCAAATGCGTCCATTGCATGGCCCAATGGCGCGTTCCCAGCGAAGGCTCCGGCGAACAGTACTGACCATCTGATGGTCCCGACTGCACTCAATTCGCAAACACACTCTGATGCAGGGAGCGAAAATACCCAAGCTGTCCCCAAACAGCAAGTGAGGCTTAAAGTTAGCATGAAAAACCAAGGGGCTTTTGATAACTTAGGGCCTTCCCAAGACTCGTTTCTGGATCCCAAGAAGGATTGGCTCTACAGGTCGTACCGTACAGCCTATTCTCGTTTGCTTTCCATTTGGGGACTACCAGTTCAACAGAGCGAAGTTCTCAAAATAGGTGGGGTTATCGAAAGTGATTCCAGTTACCGTCGTGCTAGAGCATCATTCTCATTTCCAACCTTGGTCCGCAGTGACTCGGAATCCGCTGAAGACAACCCGGAAAACCAGGGCCTCGAAATCCAGCGACATTGTTCCAGATGTGGTCATTCTCTCCAGATGTCAATTTTCTCAGTACCACCTTCGATTGAAGCATCAGCGGAAGCAAAACCTTCCGAAGGAACTAATGTCACCTGTCCAAATTGCAGGCCTAAACAGTCGCTCCCCGTCAGTCTCCCTTGTGTAATCTGCGGAGAGGTGATAGAGGGTATGCTCATTCCCTGCCTTAATTGCGGCCATGTTAGTTGCTTTATCTGCCATCAGGCATGGTTCTCGAAAACCTCGAGCCAAAGCAGCGAAGACAAGACTACTACAACACCCGGACAGGAGCAGGAATTTCGATCCTGCCCCAGTGGGTGTGGCTGCATCTGCTCTGAACACATAACGGTCAAAATTCCGGTGCCCTGGACCTCGCCAACCCCAAATCATTCACGTGAAAGGTCTCTAGATAGGCCACGCAGTGGACCGGCTGATTCGTCAAGATTATCCAATGACCTTTTCCCCAGAGATGAACAGCACGAAGGGGATATCGAATTCTGGCGAGCATCGCCTTTTGCGTCCCTTGCACGAGGCCTGGGTGGTGGAATAAGTCGGGGATTTCGCAAGGACGACAGACGCTTGAGATCGAAGTCGACAAGCTCCCACAGTACCTTGGCATTTGTACCGAGGAGGAGTGCGATGAATCAAGTGGAAAACACTTGATTGTGATGGTGTGGCATTCCTGTGGCATAGACTTTACTTTCTTCTATATTTCTTTTCTCGCGCTATTTGATTATACCCCTGTTCTCGAATCGTTTGTTGCATCTGATTATATCCGTGGTTGACAAGCATGGCGTAGGCGTCTGGCGCTGTTTTCTATTGCCTTTCTGAGTAATACATACTCCCCTTCTGATTTACTGGCTTCGGGATGATATATTGATTGATCCCGTAGGTCATGATTTGCGAATAGTATTTTCAGTTACAACCGCAACTTTTCTAATCGGACGTAATTTGACTAAAACATATCGCATGCTTTCTATTCTCAGTTGCAAATATGATAATCTTTGTTCTTCGTCCTAATATGTATGCTTTGAACTTTTCATGCGGTGATATCAGCAGTATCAATGCACCCTAATGGCCTATAGTTCTGAATTATGTATAAAGAAGATAGTAAAAAGCCCCAAGTGCGTTAAGAGCATATTTCCGGTAGTTCTGCGCCCTGAGAAACAAGATCAAATCGGACGATACCCGCCCTCCACCCATGAAGCGAAATATTGGGTATACCAGCATAGCGATGAATCAACCACAACCCAACATCAATACTCCTCCCCAAGCTCCTTAAGCTTCAACTTCTTTGGCACAACAAAAAGCGCACTCGCCTCAACACAAAGTCCACCCAACGGATCCCTAACCTCCCCCGTAACATAAGCCTTCCTCTCCGTAGTCCTCTCCCGATCCAGTCTCGAATGGAAAGTGTAAAAATGACCCGAGTACACGGGGGCGCGGTAATTGAGCTGCAAGTTTGCAGTGACGCCGGTTTTCCCGGGGAAGCTGCGTAGTGCCACGCGGCCTAGGTTTTCGTCGATGACGGTTGCGAGGGCGCCGCCATGAGTGATTGTGGGCCAGCCTTCAGTGCCTTCGCCTAGGAAGACGACGCTGATGGATTCTTGCTCTTTGCGGTTATAGAATACTTTCTGTGCAGTTGGTCAGTCAGAGGCTTGCCATTCTGGAATGGAGTCACAGCATGCGCATGCGTAGAGGAAGAGACCAACCTGCAGCGCCAACCCCCTACTCCCCCTCAATGGCCCCGCCGTCAACCGATGCTTATTCTCCTCCTCCGAATAGTTCTGGTAAACATTCGACTCCTCATAATCCGGATTACTCCTTAACTCCATAACAATCGGAGTAGCCTTCTCATATATCCGGAGCAATTCCTCCATGACAATTTTATCCTCCAGTGACCCCGGCACCGGCGGTGCGGCTACTTTCTCTTCAATCCGCTGTCCCGCGAGCATACCTAGCCCGCCGAATATTGTGGCATAGACTAGACGGCGCAGCCATATTGAGCGTTTGGAGGGTACGTTCGCGTAGGCGATGGTGCTGGTATATCGCGGGAGAGGGGTGGGGGAGCTGGGGATTCGGGATATTGGGCGCGTTGGTGCGCTGAGGACGCGGGATTGGGGCCGTAATGCTGCGCGTGGGCTGAACATGGTGGTTATATAGCAATTGCACGTCGCGATCGAGGGGAGGTTGATGCGACTGAGATACCGAGGTTGGTTCGTGGATGTCACGTGATAGTACTCGCTGGCCTACTTTATACTCTTAACCCACTGGTCCTTTTGTCTTATTCTGTTTTTCTTGTTTTTGGCCTTCGTGTCTCATATACCCCGGTCAAAGATATGCGGAAATCTATCACATTTGAAATTCCCCGGCATGAATGTTCAAGATTGTGGTAAATATATCCGACTTTGTTTTCCAACAAACGAACAGAACTGGTTTGTCCAAGAAGTAAACAAGAATAACATGGGAATCGTGTCTTCTTTCTATGTATTTAAGTATAATAATAGACATATGTCCTAGTTATGTTCGATAGACCCTAACAATAACCATTTGCCGCATAGTCCGTGAACAATCACTCCACAGTGGGCAATTCAACCGCACGATAGAGAAGAATAAGTGCAGAGTGGGATTCACCTAAGAATATATGTTAGCGTAGTTCATCTTCACATGTATATACGGTAACTCACCTCCGCCAGAAAGTGTTTCGATCTTCTCAGCCTCCACTTCAGTGACCTTGTCATCATTGAACCACCACCACTTTCCGTCATCGTTGCTGCCATTGCTCTTTTGCTTCTTCACGTATGCCGTGTAGTGACCACTATCGGCACTGGCACCTTGGTGAGTGATAACACCGCGCAATTCGTAAAGACCAGACTGGTTCGTTCCAGCCTCAGCGGCGACCTTGGGATCGACGAGGGCAGCAAGTTCCTTCTTAGCAGCAAGGATGGATGCAGCCGCTTCTGCTTCGTACTCCGCATCTGTTTTGTACGCTTCTGTCATCTCCGTGTCCTTATCACCTGCCTTTCCGGACTCCTTGCGCTCTTCCGTTGCCTTCTTTTTCTGCATGGGCTCCATGCTGGATGCTCCCACTGCCTGCTTCTCTTCTTCATCTCTATGGGCAATCTTCTGGCGTTTCCGAGCACGCTCCATATCTGTTTCTTCTTTGCGAACTTCGCGTAGCTTGTTCCTGACGGGCACAAGTTGGTTCTTGAGTTCTTCGGTACAGAATTCCACGGCATCAAGTTCAGCGGGGAATGAAACCTTGCGCATAATCTTTGCTTTTTTCTGAGTTTCACGCTTCCAGAAGAACCGAACGAAGTGCACTGTCAGGTACTTGGGAAGTCGCGCGACGCGCGAGCGCTTCGTATAGATCGCGTTACGGTCGAGGGTTGGCGAGTTCTTTTCAATCTTCTCTTCAAGACCATCCATGATTCCATCATGCAAGTGGTTGGTATCTTTGCCGATGTGGCAGTCAAGCTTATAGAAGATATCCGAGCTCTTTGTAGGCTGCTCCCCAACTTGCTTCGCCGCGGCATCATCACATTCGGTTTCCGATTCAAATTGTCCAGCGAGATATTTGTCAATGAAAGATGCTTCAGACCCTTCACCTTCCTTGACCATCAGCTTCTGCCGCAGCTGAGCTAAGATCTGCGACCAAGCCTCTTCAGCATCCTGTTGAGCATAACCATGTCCATTCCTGTCCTTCTGGGCGAATTGGGGGAAAGCGGTTCTCAATGAGTTAAGGAACATGAGCGGCGGGAATCCCTCTTGCGTCTCGGACATTTGCTTGAACAAGTCCCGGAGGGAAGCAGTGAGATCCCCAGAGGCACCCAGGCCGCCTAGACCGAAGCTGCTGAGATCACCAATTCCCGACGATCCACCGGAGCTCGATGGCTGGTAGTTTTGGAGCGCATCCTGAAGCTCGGGAACACCTCTCAGGGTCTGCAGGGTCGAGTTCAGGTAGCAAGTGTTTCCAAGATTCTGCAAACCGGAAGGAGTGGCGCCCTCTGCCCTTGCAGCCTCAGCCTCGGTCATATCCTCCAAGAACTTCAGTGTCTCCTTAGGGCGTCCCAAATCTCTAACGGTCCCATCTCCAGAGGGTGTGCCCATCATCATGAACGTTTGATTCGGCTTGGCGTTGAGAGAAGACAGGGGCGTATCATCCTTGAGCTGACCTCCTTTGACCAAAATCTTCTGTCGTTCAGGTTCAACACCAGTGAGGGAATACAACTGGAACTTGAAGGTTTCGCCGTTCGACGAGGGATCGAGCTCGACCTCGTGGCGTTTACCTTGGTGCTTGACAATGACTTTATCGGAAGCGGTCTAGGTTAGTCACTGAAAGAGAAGCACAATAATCAGTATGGCATACCTGGAATCGAAGCCATTTTGCGGGATAATTGTCTCTCTCAAGAGTGTCTGGAATATTAGCAAGCCGCCACTGGACTTTCGTTGGGTAGAGTAACAGGTACGATACAAGAGGCGATTGATCATCATAGCAGGCGTGGGGCAGGAAATATGCAAACAATGCAAACCAAACAAACAGCATCGACATCACCGCCCCCGAGCGGGACGGCCGTAGTCGGGCTCCTGAAGCTACGTTGATGCATTGATAGCACTATCATCTTACTTTCCAGACTGAACTATCGTGCGGGCTTGCTATTTCTCTGGTGATTGACAGAATACCCTCGGATCCCTACATTTATATCGCATCAGCAGTGTCATCATCACTTCGGCGGAGATAGTTGCAGTACAAAGTACACCGTTGGACCTCCGCATTCCCCTATCATGGTGAGCTTCAGTATCAGGAACCAATAACCATGTTGATGCCAACAACCTCTAGTCTCAATCATTGCGCCCTTACCTCCAATGTGTCCGCTCGTCATTGACCGCGGCTCTTGCGGTTTCTAACTTCGCTTCGCAAACCTCCGAACGACATAACGTGCCGGAAATCGAGGCTGCCACGTCCCCCGAACTCCTCCTCAATCCCCTGACCGTTTCGCGCAACGAGAATGAGAGAGTCCTCATCGAGCCCAGTGTCAACAGTGTCCGTGTGAGCATCAGTATAAAGCAGGCAGATGAAATCGAGCATATCCTTGTCCACAAGTTCACGAGGTTCTTGACGCAACGCGCGGAATCTTTCTTCATCCTGCGGAGAAAGCCAGTAAAGGTTTGTATTGGGCAATCAAATGGGATGCGATAATTTTCGCTGACGAACTGACAGGGCTATGATATTTCTTTCTTGATAACCAACTTCCACACCGAAGCCATGTTGAAGCACAAGCTTGTCGATTTTATTATCCAGTTCATGGAAGAGGTGGATAAGGAAATCTCGGAGATGAAGCTCTTCGTACGTTTCACACCAGGCTCAGATGTTTATGGACAGAATGATGACGCTAACCTACCTCAGTTGAATGCCCGTGCTCGTTATGTTGCCGAATCTTTCCTCGTACCGGTAAGAAGTCATGTCCCAACATATACCAGCTTCTCGCTAATCTACGATCTAGTTCGACTAAAACGCCTACGATCTGCTCTATTCCGTTTTACGAATGATAACTCAGCGTCGATTCTGTTGCTTGCATGCGACTTCTGCGCAAGCGATCTAGGCTGGTAATGGGAACCATACATTCCGCAACAGATTACTATGTTCCCTCTTAGATCCTGAAGTTGTAACCCCGAATTTGCAATTTAACCTGTCCATAATTGTACCAAATCCAACTGGTGACAAGCGTCCTGTCTAATTACAAGCCAGTTAGTTTCGCCGGTTTCCCAGGATAATCCGTATGAAAGAGAATATCTATGTAACTTAATTCCAAGAGCTATTGCAGGCCAGCTTGATTTATGTCAGGTATGTTATTGTATGTGCTCTTTCATAAGAAAACACCTCTTAACAGCTTGTTCCAGAAGAAAAGTAGAACAAAGGACAATCCTATTATTTCTGTTTAGATATCTCTTTTTTTTTTTTTTTTTTTTTTTTGCATTCTACTATTTCTTTCTAATATCCTTTTTCCATCTACCTTCACTCTATCATACTTTGTCCTTTGTCCTGGCCTAAAAGAGGTTCATTTTGCTGAACAGCTATCGAAGCCTGTTTTGCAACAATCAGCAAATGCAAGCCGTTCGCACCATGTCTATCCCACATTTTGATCTGGTAAGCCCTTTGACCTGAATCATTTCTGACTGAGCTTGACTGGGCAAATTAGGATGCTGCCTTATAGAAAGGCTTGGGACTGAGGAAGCTGCGACTATTCAGGCGCTAGTGACAAGACCGCAAGAGGACAATACAATAAAGACAATAGGCGCTACAATAAGAGAACAGTGAATTCGACACATTTCTCCTCGCTATTGTAGCCCCGCGCCATTAAAATACCCTGCGAGACAATATTTTAATGTCACCAGTCCTCGTCGCTTCTACATCCTCGTTTCTCTTGCCATAGCACTCGTCATAAAGTCCTGACTTCTTGCAACGAAGTATCAATTATGGCCTACCAACAAGGAAATGCTCACTTCTCTGAATATGGAGCTCCTTACCCATACTCTCCCTTTATGTCTGGTTATGATTACCAAAAGGACCAGTATCCCGTATCCCCGGATCTACTCTCTCGACCAGAAGATAATTTCTTGAACCCTAACTTTCATCCTATAAGAGGCATGGCTTCTGCGGCGTATCGCCCTCGCCAGCGTCGCTCTACCATCACCCCTCTCCCCGCGCCGGTTCCACGCATGCTAGCCCATGAGCAGCCGTTGATTCTATCTCCTTCGACCCCTCGTGCTTCTGAAAATCCCATGAACAAATTGCTAAAGACTGACTCTCAAGATCTGTCAGCGACCTCAATCATTCAGGCTTCTGGTGGCGTGGCCGCTGTGGACAAGCTTGTTTCGCCCGATGCTATGCCTATTGGAAGTGCGGTTCATTTGCAGCAATCGCGGAAATGGGGAGTGGTCAAGGTTGCGAACGTGGGTAGTTTTCTCGAAAATCACCCAAAGTATATGACTGACGATAGTATAGATCCCCTACTCGATTACAAAGCAGGAAATCATCCAGTTCCTTGGCCGACAGGCCCGTCTCGTTAGCCCCTGTCCCATCCATATTATCATGGAGCGCTCGACAGCTAAGACCATGGACTGCTATGCCGAGTTCGAAACAGTAATGGATGCTCAGGAAGCGGTGACTCGTATTAACAAGGTTGCTGAGACTGGCCGTCCTCCTCGTCTGGGAAACCGTGTCGTCTATGTGGAGCTTAGCAGTCAAGACGAGCTTCTGAAAGATCTATTTCCCCGCGCGAAGTGCGTTTCCTGGCAGGGTGGTATGTCGATTGCTCTCCCGAATAGGGACCCTTATTCCACAGGATTTTCGGGGTTCTTCACTAGCGAGGAGATTCTTGGTGCTATTCGCCATGCTGAGATACCCCATCGTGTAAGTACTGACGCTCCTCGTCTGTTGGCAGCGTGTTGACTGTGGTTTTCAAGTCACCATTCTGTGCAAAGTGCCCTCAACGTACCTATGAGTCCACCATTAGTACGCTTTACAAGGTAAGAGTTCACTAATTAATTTAGGATATTGGTGGATCTTTTTTTACTTACAATATGCTACCGCAGTTCCCTTGGTACGCAACGACGCTCTACACTGTCCACGACCGCAACACCTTGTTTGAAATGGTCAATCGTCACATCAAGTCTCTGGTATTCCGCCTCAAGACCACCAAAACCATCGGACTTGATCAGAGACTGCTGCGCGAGCTCCTCCACGCCGGTCTGAATTGCCCTACATTCAACGAACGACAGAAGTTTACCCTATGCGTCAATTCGGAGGATATTTCTGAGATCCTCAAGTTCCCTGACATGGGCAAGTGGTTCCCGTTTGATACACTGGTCAAGATGCCAAACTTTGACGAGGATACACTTCTAGTAGGTATTCCCTTATTCCGTTAGTCTTGTCTGCATTTGTTCTCACAAAGGATTGTCAAGTTCTACGCGAAATTAATCTCCAAAGGAACCTTGCACGAGCAGAGAACCCCCGAATTGCCCAATAATTTTCCCATGGACGATTTCGGACTCGAATCTCCCTACGGACGCATCTGGTTCGAATGGCCACAGGAAGCCGCAAAGCGCATGCTGTTCGAAGAAGCCGTCCAATGCGAGATGGTCAATCTGTGCAGTCTCGTCTTGACTGGTTGCATCAACCAGGACAAAGAGACCACACTCGGGATAGAACACCTCTCCATTGGATCCACTCCTTTGGGCAGCCAAACCGATGGCAAACGCACCACGACCATTTCAGCCTTCGGTACCGAAAGAAGCGATGTTATCGAAGAAGAGACATCATCGCCCAATGTCGATATATACGCGACTCCGCGCCGCCCGAGGAACCAGCATAGCTACAGCGGCACTTTTTCCAGGAACAGACTGGGCAGTATCGGGGAAAACTGGGGCCAGGAACTGGTCTTGCGTCCTTCTGCTGCGGGCAGGACCGCCAGGCCTGGATTTCTTGGACATCATCGGAACACTTTGTCGTCTCCGTGTTTCTTGTCGAACTTTTCGAACCAGGGCCATTGAGAGGTTTGCATTTTGGATCACCATTTTATTATTATCATCATTTTTCTTCTCTTTATTGTTTCGGGTTTGGCTCTATTCCGGCGTTCACAGACCCGGCAGGAGTGGCCTGTCCATTTTTTGTGGCATTGAGCCAACCTATGCCTTACGGAACCCCTGGTACGGATATGTTACTGCAAATGTTTTTTATTTAGAATCGAGGGATTTTCTGCATATTTAAATCGGATTTACTGAGGTGGGAAATTAATTGGTTCCCGTTGGCCGTTTGGGATGGGGATCAGGTTACATGGAAATGTCTTCTAGGTTAGATACCAATACCATTGCTTTTATTAAATTTCATAACACGACGACTGGCGCCTCGTCAAGACTCGTATCATCTTAAGACCTATTATAACTGGATCGGGTTTCATAAATCGTCTTCCCCCTTCGTGTCATCACTTGCATTCGCCTGGCTCTCCAATAGCTTTTTCCTCATTAACCCTTCAGCTTTCTTCCTTTCTCTCCGTTGTTCAGGGTCTTCCCAGCCAGGAGGCCTAGATTTCGTTTTTGTCTTTGGGCCAGGGGTCTTCTCTGGATAGCACAACTCGAGCAGGCTTGTCCGAAATCTCTCCTTTCGCTCTGTGTTAACCGAGAATCGCTCGTTCGAAATGGCAACCAGCATTTCTAGATATTCCTCTGTAACTAGGCTGTGGATAACCAGCTCACCACCGTCATCTCCGCTGCTATCGTCACAGTAGCCAATGACTGATTCCAGCGAAAGGCCCGATGAGCGGACAGCAACAATTGGACTGATACCTTCGCTATCTTCCAAACAGCGAAGACTCTGCAAGCCGCTTTCTCGGAAACCCGAACTGGATCCAGCTGATAGAACAGGGTTTGCGTGTCGCAGTGTTGCAGTCATGATGTGGAGGATCTATTTTAGACATGTCAGTCTGTACAGAGACCCTTTCAAGGTTGAAACAAAGCATAGACCATAGAAGGAAAAGGAAATTAACACACCATGGGATCAAAATGAAAGCGCACAAGACGTGGGGCTTGGCCCTGTTCGCCCTGCAGCCTCGGTGGTCTCCCATCCCCCGGCACAAGCCCAAATAACCCGTGCAATGATTGACCATGCTTCATCTCTTCTTTCAGCGGCTCATGCGAGACATACAACCATCGTCCGGCACCCTTTCCACCAGATGGTGCGAACTGTCTCTGCTGCTGTTGCTGTTGCTCTTGTTGCGGGGGTTTCTGAGATTGCTTTTTCCTCCCCTCAAGAAACACACTGATCCGCCCAGCACAGCTACTGGTCGTCACTAAGCCGGGCTGTGCATTGACGTCGCGAATTAGATCGCGGATTCCCTCGTCCACGGATCCTTTGGGCGAAAGATCTGTGTACTCTGCGTCTGGGATCGAGAGGTCGGCGAGGATTTGGCGCTTGCGAGTCTCAAAGGCCTCTGGGATGGGTTCCGTGATGTTGGCCATGGTTTTCTTTATGCACAGGCTCATCAAGTAAAAGGAAAATGAATTCCCGGTTTATTCTATATTCGTTCTGGTATCTTTCGTTTTTCTTGTTCAATTTTTTTTTCTTTTTTAAACAGGGTTGACGTCGCTCAAAGAATGCCAGGCCGACAAAGGAATTTCAGGAATCGACACCAAAGAAAACCCTCCTTTGATTTTCTTTTTCTCGAATTATCCCGAATCAACAATCATTGAATATCACGTTGTCCAGCAAAAAGTCCATTCTCGAACGGGGGAAAAAATCGTTTCGGAGCGCACTAGTAAGCGGTTCGGCGAACCGCCCTCTCCCACGCGAAAGTCGCCCCAGAAGTTACCAGCCTCCTGGTCTCTCCCTTTATTCCCCATGTCTTGAATCGCCCGAAACTTTGAATGTCTATTTTCAGATGCCCTGAATACCTTGAAAAGGCCCGGAAAGTTATTAAACGCCGTATTGCCTGTGCACGAACTTCCGATTAGCCAGCGCTTTCTTGTCTCTCGACTTTGTATAGCCGCTTATATCTTGCGAATACCTCTCGGAAAGTACTACAGTGTACACAGGAGATTCAGGGTCTACATTTTACATTATTTATTTTCCACTTCTGTGTCAGAGTGCTACTACTCATGCCTCGACGATCGTCTCGGGCCGTTCCCGCGTCAGCGGCAGCTCCAGCGCCGGCACCAAAAAGGCGCGCGCCTGACACATTCTCCGCCGAAAAGACGGAGTCCAAAAGGCCAAAATACATTTCCAATTCGACTACCGCCGACACAAAGTCGGTCAAAACCACCGCCAAAAAGAGCAAATACTTCAAACAAGAGTCTTCCGAAAACGAAGCTTCTGAATCTAAGCACGGATCTGAGCGGGAGGGCTCTGTGTATGGGTCCGCCCACGAAGATAGTCAGGATGTTTCGGAGATGTCGGGGTTGAAACTCTCCGGCGCTACTTCCACAGACGCTGGAGCGAAGGAGAATCAGTTGGGTATGCAAGCCGAAGGAGAGCAGACAAAGGTTCAAGATCGCAAGTCAAGCACCAAGAACGACGAGGATGAGCGCAGCGATGTCGAAGATGACGCGGTGGCATCATTGGTGGACAAGGAGCTGTGGAGGGAAGGCGTCAAGACGGGTCTGGGTCCTGGCAAAGAGGTTTTCATCAAGAAGCCCAAGGCCAGGGATGCGGGAGATGTGCCGTATCAGGATCACACCGTGCATCCTAATACAATGCTCTTCTTGGAAGACCTTGAAAAGAACAACGAAAGAGCGTGGCTCAAAGGTAATGCGCTGACAAACGTTGACTTGTATACCGATTCATAGCTGATGGGGGACACTGCTAGCACATGATCCCGATTTTCGGGCTGCGAAGAAAGATTGGGAATCTTTCGTTGAGAGTCTCACTGAGAAGTTAATTGAGCGGGATAGCACAATCCCTGAACTACCAGCTAAGGACTTGGTAAGTGATGACCCATCAATATCGGTGTAGGCGTGGAGAATAAGGAGCCACATTAACATCGACGTGTTCGCTTCAGATTTTCCGCATACACAGAGATGTTCGGTTCAGCAAGAATCCTACTCCGTATAAGGTATGTTAACCTTTTTGTTTCTTTGAAGTATTTTGAACTTTCTATGCCGCTTTTGCCGCTTGAATGTCGAACTAAGCTAACAAGGCACAGACGCATTTTTCAGCTGCCTGGTAAGAACGTTTCTTCAGCTATATGCTATTGCAAGTCAGCTAAGTCTCGCAGGTCTCGTACGGGTAAGAAAGGACCTTACGCTGCCTACTATGTTCATATGCAGCCCGGTTCCTGCTTTGTTGGTAAGTCATAGCCAAAACAAGGCACCTTTTTCCTGTGTCAAGGCTAGTCTTGGAGAGCGTACACAATACGTGATGGTCGCTCTTCCGGCGATGCACCCTGTCCCAGAGATCCAGGAGTTTGATATCCACGATTCCGTTCAGTATATCCAGGTCCTGCGAGGCCGACCATTCGCATCGAAAGACTGTCTAACTTGCTCAACACCCTCCCCACCGCACATTATGAAGAAAAAGGCTGACTAGATCTAGGATCCGGACTTTGGAATCCCGAGGCGAATGCCCTCGCAGTCCTTCGTGAGGACATTGACCAAAACTCATCCCGTCTGAAGGCTGTGCTGAAAGAGCCCGAGATGCGGCGCGAAATCCTCAATGGAATACCCGACGACGAAAAGGAAGCTGTGAAAACATTTGTCGACCACAACAAGGAGAGTGCCCTTAAGGTCAAGCCTAAGGTAAGTGTTGGCCCAGCCCAGTTTGTTTCAGCACGCATGATCGCATCCTGTCGCGTCCACTCCAAGCATCCAACACCCTTCATCATTCTTATTATCACGAGGCACGGAAACGGATACGGAGACGGGCATGGAGACGTCAAATCTTGAGAAAGTTTGTTTCTTTCGGGGCGCATGTGTATCGTTAGGGCCTTTATCGTTGGTCTGCTTGTTAGCACTGGAATACCGGAAGAAGCTCCATCTGCGATTATCATTCGAAGAGGCACCAAAAGACATCAAAAGTTATCTGGACGGTTCAAACGAGCTTCCGGCATGTGTTACTCGGCATTGTGGGTGTGTTTTGGGATTGTTTCTCGCCGATAAGCGTCCAAGCTAGGCTTGGGCATCACGAGACCCGGACGAAAATTCGGCGGCCATCGTGCGAAAGGGAAACATCGTGCGAACGGAAAAACATGTATTTCGAAATGATTTCCTGCAATTATAAAGACGTCGCCAATAGCTATCATCGCCTGACGTCTGGTGGAAGCGCAGCCGCGGATCGTTCCGGCCGTGTCAGGACCCCTTTGACCACTCACACTTTCCACGCACGCGCCCCTTGGAAACAGAGACCTTTGTCTCTATGCCTCAAAACTTTGGCAACTCACTTACTGTTCCTTGGGAGTCCGGAAGGGGAAACAGATGACCTCCCGCTGTCCCACTGGGTTTGAAACTATGAAGAGTTTTTTCTGCGCCGTCTCATCTGTTTCCATGGTTCAGCATCTCCTCTACACAGCATAAGCGGGTCGCTTACTCGACTTTGCGCAAATCAGATACTCCCATCTCCATCTTTTATTATTATTATTTTTCCACGGACCATACTGACAAACTTTCCTCTGTTTTTTCTAGGGCTACGATGCTGATAATGAGAATATTCAGCTGCTCCGTTTGCGCAGCTTCACCATCGGGAGACCTCTTTCCGACTCAGAATTCATGGATGCCAATGTGCAGGAGAGAATCGCGGCTCTCATTGGCATCATGGAACCCTTTGTAAGCCATTCCAGCCACCCTTTGTTGTCATTTTGGCTTTCTTTTTGGCCCCCTCCTCCGCCCTGCCCACAATCCGCGTCTATTGGCCTTAGCCACCCCTGCAAAAAAGACACTGTTCCCCTCATCAATCCCTTCCCAGCCACTTCAGCGGTGTGACATCCCTTACCCACTATCGTCGAATCAGTTCTACTGAACGATGGCCGGGAATTCCAGCTCCTCTTCTTGTGATAGGTCTTTGCTAACTGCCATGTGATTGATTGACAGGTGACGTATCTCAATAGCGTCGTCATGCCCGATCCGGTGGGCGAGGAGGAGCCCAGCTCTGAATCGGAAGAAGAGTCCTCAAACGAAAACGAAAGCAGTTGAGCTTTCATTTGGCGCTTAATTACTACGAGTAGATCGTTTATGAAATAGAGTTGAGTTTTTTTTATATTTTTTTTTTGGTCTTTGGCTTTTTTTTTTTTTTTTTTTTTTTTTGGTTTTTGGTTTTTTTTTTTTTTTTTTTTGTCTTGCGGGTATCTTGGCTGAAAGAGTTTGGTGCACTTGCCTGTCCCAACACAGTGCCCCTTTCCCGTACATTCGTTCTGTGTTCTTTTGTTTTGGTACTGAGATTTTACGCTCTAGGCATGGTTTGTTTGTCTGAAACTCGTGTAAGATAATCCGTTTCCCATTTTGGCGTTAGACATCGATGCCATTGACCCTCGTCGATGGTTTCTCATTCCCATAATCTCCCCTCTTTCTTACCGCCAGTTGCGATCCAATGAAGTGAGCAATCTCGAAGCCAACAACTCATCGAGTGGGCAAGGACAAGCCCCCTTGTGAGACCTAACTAACCAAGCCCAAGCCTCCACCGTCCGGCTAGTCCTGACTTGCATCTTGTTTATGGCTTGCTGTCCGCGCGCCGCAGTCGGCCCGTCGGATTTGCCGTCAGCTCCACGGCACGTCTGGCCACACATTCGACCACCAGGGAGGCACACGCTATCCACACCTGCACGCTTGCGAATTCGTCCACGAACTTTGAAGGACATGGGATAGACGCGAGATTTTCTTCTTTCTAAATTCTGCATCCGTGCCCAAAGCGCCCCCCATCCGGTGCATTTATCCATTTCCTATTATGAGAGAGCGCATTTGTTCGGTGGGGAGTGTGGTCTCACTCACAGACAGGACATGCTGTTAACATTTTTTTTTTCCTTTCCCTCTGTCCACACTTCAAATTTTTACCCCATTTTACAGAACGAAAAACCAGAAAACTCTTTTTTTGCAGTCCGGAATACAGATGCACCCCCGCGCACGATACGTGATTTAGTTATGGGCAATCTTGACGAGGAAGTGGAGGAGTCTTTTTCTCTACGTGCATCAGGCCAGTTGTTCTTTCCGGCCCAGCAGACCCTGTACTTGTACAGAATACAGTACAGAGTACAGTACAGACTCCTACTCTGAACACAGTTCTCGCGAGACCCATGGCGTCTGATCTTGGTCTAACCTTGGCCAGAGTTTCCACTTGGACGCGCCTATAATTCGGTAAAAATCCTAATCCTAACCCGTAATGCGTCCGTGGGCGTTGCCGATACGAGGTGAGCCTAAGCCTCATGATACCATTGGTGCTGGCCATGATGCTTTGTACATCGTGTACAGTACGAGTAAATTTTGCGTTTGTATTGTGCTTACGGGGTACGATACTCTCCTGCATTGCATGTTGGATTGTACTAGTGTACCACTCGTACTTCGTGCAGTACGGTGATTAACAGAGATCGACTCATCTCACTTAACCAATACACGAGATGGATGCGGGATATGTCACTAATCATCGTATTAACTAGATTTAGCAGCGCAAAGATTACCTGGTTGGGATTGGGGACCAGAGATCGGAAGGTTCCGTAGTCTGGTTGGCACGGAGTATTATCCGGGCCTATTATGGTCTCGAGGCATTGGGCGTATGTTTACTTCTAATTTTTGACTTAGAAAGTAAACTTGACTGGTAATTGATGGATATTGGGCTGAATATGGTGGTGTGTTGTATTTGCATGCCTTTGGTTTTCTTATGTGATACCGTAGTATATGCGCTACACAAATACCAGCATGCAAGTTTAGCCCTATTGTCAATTCGCACTGGCAATTATCAAATATTTCTATAAAGTCTGCCAGAAGACATACCTTGGACATCTACACATGGTACTCTATATACACTAAATAGAAACACGACGTATAAAAAAATAAACTCTCGCGCTTGTTTCAGTCAATCTACCGATTGCCCTAATATCGAATAGACAGATCAACTATCACTTTTAAATATAGAATCCGCAAAAAGAAGACTTCCCATAACTCCTTTATTCGCGGGCGCCAAACCCGCGCGTATATTATGAGGATCATTACTCCATTCGGAGAACAAAGAGAGACGAACCGGTTCGTCGAAGCCAATCCAGGAAATGAAGAAATAGAAAAACGATGCATCATATTCCAGAGAGAGTACATGGCGCAGTATGGATTGTTAAATCTGGCGCTAACATTGGGCAGTCGGGGTTTTGTCCGTGGCTTGGGGGGTGGGATTGGGATTAGTATGTATCATTTGGGATTGGTAGATCGTGTTAATCTGCTACTCCGGGCGTATGATCTGTTAGTTAATCTAATTGAATGTCATTGAAAATGTGTTTGCTGCTGAAAGTAAACCGGCTCCCTTTGTCTCATTGTTCTTTCATCCTTCCACATGGAACGAACCCTCGTGACACCCGCTCAGCCCGACTGAACCACCAAGTGAAAGAAAGGACAGAAATCCGAGATCTAATGCCAGCGACTAATGCGCGCCATCAACTCCGGAAACAGAAGGAAATAAGAAAACATGTCGGGTGACAGGCCGGTAGACGCGGTGTCATCACACCGCATGTAAGCAAGCAAGTATGAACATGACTCGAGACTGACAGATATTTCTTTTTCTCGGAGGGGTCAAGTCAGTAGCAAATGAATGAGCAGGTTTCTTTGAGGGGAAGTACTAATGAGAATAGTGGGTGGGATCTTCGCCACGTCAACAATAGACGCGCTTGTAGAGTTAGTGGTGGTGTTAGTGTATTCGGCCGAGCACGACCACTTTCGTTTTTTGTACGTATGAAGACAAAGCCAAGGCACAAAGCTGAAAGGAGGGAAGCGGTACATTAATTTATTAAGAAGTTGTTGTTATGTACTCCGTACTCGATTCGACAATTATCGAGCCCCTGACGTGGTGGTAACTACTCCGGAGTACAGATTACTACAAAAGTGGGGGTCACATGACCGAACAGGCCTGCGGGCTGCCGAGAAGGGTGCGGGCCGGGGGGTTACGGACCGCCGTAACGGAAGCTTAGGGTTTGCGGCGTCTAATTGGAGTAAAAAAGATTATTTTGCTTTTTAAGAGTCCAGTGTGAACCATGGTTCAGGGTGCGATTATGAGTGGTAGTTTTTTTAGTGCGTATTCCGACCTCTGTTGCTCCTAGAGATATGCTGGGCTTGCACATGAATTATATTGGCTATATTTACTATATTTTTAGTGTAGTGAGGCATAGTTATAGAGCTGAAATCGTTTTCAGCTGACCTTCAATAGCAAGTTCTTGTACACTGTGAACGCCCGGTATCCACAAGGTGGGTCGGCGGCAACGGAAGACGCGGACGGCAATGCACCGCGCCGACTGGGTAGGAAAACGTGGCGAATTTAAAATATACGATACAGTATTGTATTGTTGTATTCTCATTTTCAGATACGGTACTGTATGCCGCTGTGTACCAAAGGTATACAATCTCGACAGGAGTATACTACAATGATTATACTGTACTCGAATGTGCCCACTGTGAAACATAATACTTACGAGTCCAGGTTGCATTCACTGACTAGGCAAGGTATCATCAGAATTACTCGGAGTCAACAGTAGCAACGATGTACGTACACTCTGTACAAGACCACCAAGACAGGGTTTTTGAACAGGGGTATTGCCAACTCGGTGCTTTAGGCTCCCTGCTACATATGCTCTACATACTCATGCATTAGATCGCGGAATCGGGGCGGCCCGTACTCTCGAAAAAACTGAGCATGTACATACCCTGTAGAACGAGTAGTACATCCTGGTCCAGATGACAGATAACAAATACTACCCCCAAGAAACAACCCTGTATTTGTTGTACCAGACCATCTGCATCGGTGTATTATCACACGTGCATGGCACGAGGACTGACACCTGAGCAGGAGGGTATAACACACGTTGTTATAGTTGACTGGTTTGTCTTACCAGGCGGGGTTCATGTCGGGGCATATCACATATCACATGACCTATCACCTGACAGTAAAAATACCGTTGTAATGACGTATTCCGCAGGGCACGCTAATGCAAGTTACCTGGAAATGCCAACTGATCGGACCAATCAGGATTTTAGAATGCGGCCCAGGGCTGTAGCACTGGAAAGTTAGTGTCCTCCACTCCCAATTTTCTTTTTTCTTTATTGATTTTTTATTGATTTTTTGTTTGGTCGATAGGTATAAAAGGTGCATGTGCAGAAAAGGGCACTTATGCACTCTGATTGGTACGACGTGAAACGCCCTTCGATGTCTTTTCCGTATATGGATCCCTGCATGGTGGCCATATTATTCATCTCATTATTATTATTGCTGCCATTCGCGCTTCATAGAAATTAATATTCGCCCGTTCCTGAGTAGTCTATGATGTCCGACCTTGGAAACTTGCCGAACTACCGGTGGCAAAACGGACAAGTCAATCAGCCATACACAGTGCCTACCATACCACGCCATGGCGTAAACTGTGGCTGTGTAAGGATTCAGCTGGGAATGTACGTTCTTTCTTTGTTTTAGGTTAATCTTCCACCCGTGGAATGACGATGAATGGTGAAATCCTGCAGTGATATTCATTATTCGAGAACTTTTTTTTTTTCTTTCCCGCTTACTTCATAGAAACGCCCATCCCAAGAACCAGGTTTACATTCACCGCCACTGTTCAGCTAGACCTTGATACCTTCCCAATCTAGTTCATTATTCGGGATCCAGCCGGGCGTCGAATTCTCCCGCGTGTAATCCATGGTACGGGGTAGAGGAAGCTGAAAAGGCCCAATTTCCCCGTTCCATGGTTCGGGCTTTCCGAGGAGGGCCGTCGGAACCGAACCTCCACCGATCTAGATTGTTCAGGACGGAATATAATGATTATTGACCTGCATTATATTATATGAAGGTACAATTATATCAACTGTAGGCACGTTAATGTAAGTACTCAGATAGAGATACGGTTCGGGCAGTCAGATTTCCGGACCAATCAGCCCCCACGTCTGAGATGCATCGGGGCTGGCCGAGGTGCTGGGCCGCGGCTGTCGCTTAAGAAGCGGGCTTGTTATTTACAATGTATGTACTGGTACCTAGAACATACATTACAGTATTATATTCGTAATTCTCAAGTCGACTGTTCTGCTGTCTATCGATGGTTTTTCATTCCACCGCAAGAATCTAGGACGTGATGGGTTATCAGGATGATTATTGCCTGTAAGGAGAGATTGATCTAGGCAATGAACTGTACGTGTACATGTATAAGCAAGTACTCTGTACAGTACCCTTGAGCATTCAGATGGTCCTTGCTGACGGGCTGGGCCGTCCTGATATGATCTCCGGATGCAAGGGCGAGATGCAGATAGGGTTATTTTATTCCAAATCATCCATTCATTATTGTGCAAAGTTAATAGCACGAGGGTTGTGTAGGCCACATGAGCATGAAGGGAGAAGGGGGAAAGGGACTGGTACACCGACCGGTACACTAAGCATGATCAAGTGGATTAGAACCAGAAGTAAGCAATCCTTGGTTCTGTTTATGCTAGCGTGTCCCGGGCCTTTGAGATGGGTCGTTTAGCATGCAACTGCGACTCGGTACTCGGGACAAAGAGTCGAGATGAAATCATCGAAGGAATGGGATATTACAATTTTAATCTAATGTTGGTTGAACTTAATCAATTACCGTCACTTTACCTATAAAGAGACGTGAATACTACTCTGTACTACTGGTGCTAACAGACTTTGACCATCCACGGCCCGTTTTCCCCCCTGTTCTGGTGAAGGATTTCGGGCATTACCGTGGACCCAGTGGAAAGTGGGTTTTTGAACAATCAGCGCGGTTTCTAAGCGCGCCCGGTCATATGCATGCAGGGTGTTTAGTTACCGCTTTCGGAGACGTGCATATGGGCAACTAGACATCTTCTCTGCTCTAGTACTACAAGTATAGCCACGCTCCCCATAATAAATTAAAGAATATATATGGTAGTGTATAGATTATTCTAAGCACATTACTGTATGTATACAGAGAGGCAGTACACAGTAGTACACACGTAATGCCCCACGCGCCTTTACCCGTCCGCATTTTCCCACCCGCCGATTGGATCCTGCGGCTGCGGCCCTCCCCTTTAGCATGCGTCTGCTCGGGCCCAACTGACGAATCGCAACACTCAACGGTCGAGTGGAGTGCAGGCTGTATATATTCGGACCTGTGTGTGGTTGCTCATTGGACAGATGGATCCCTGCCTTACTGCCAAACGGCGCCCAACCCGAGAGCATTCAGCTGATCCGCATGGAACCAGACGGCCTTTAGTTGCGTCTTCAGAGGACCCCCGTCCACGTCTATGGGATTCTGCAACAAGTACGCCGTAATTTATAATGGTACTTGTGCATGGCATGAGTATTCTTGTTTAATCTATAAAGTACAGAACGTTGTAATATTTCGAGATCGAGCATCGTATAAATATACTATCGTACAATATTGATCCACGCTTGACGCGCTTGCCCGCAGTTTCTCGGACTGTCCGGTACCTATAGAATATTCCGCCTGAGATGATCAATACAAAATAGAGAAGCACCTCGGTGTTTTCTCCATTAAATACTAATACTGTAATGACGGGTAATCGTATTTGCAATACCACCATACCGCTTGTTCGCGGCTCCAGGACTATCAGTGACGGCCACTCCAACTAGTCCCTCGCTCACGTCATAATATTTTTTAATTTTTTGTGTTTGTCTCTGTTCATTTCTTTTTTCTCTTTCTTCTTTTTTTTCTGTTCATTTTCTCCCCTTTTTATTTATTTTTTCCTTGGTCCACTTACGGTTACCCTATCTTGACTTGCTATCTGAGCCCCAGCCGAACCCGTGGCCTCCGTGTCCTTTCGTTTCCTTTCCTTCTTCTCTTTCTTTCCTTTTTTTCTCTTCTTTCCTAATCCTACTCTATCCTCTTTGTCCAACATCGTCTATTTACCTGCAATTGTTAGACTCCCTGTCAATTCCCCCCTCCCGCAATCGCCTAAACTGACCACGAGGCTATGCTAGCTTTGCAAATCACCCGCCGGGAGCTGCTTTCTGTTTCTGACTTGGTGCATTATTCTCGGTCTTTGTGACCTTGTCTCCTCTACTATACTATACCGTTTTCTATATTATTCTTATTTGCGCTTGTTATTACATACACCCCGTCCCGTGTTTCGCGTACTTCTATTGTTCTCCTTCTGTTGGCCCTTGCCCTCCCTTTTACCCAGAAAATACACAGAAAAAAGAAAGAAAAATACGACTTGACTCGCATTCAACTTGCATCGTGCGTTTTGTGTGTGATTGATTCATTGCCTGGCTCCGTCCGTTCCGTCCCTCTTCGTCCCGTCTTCCCGACGACTATTACGACTATCATTTTTCACTTCCTATAAAGCCGGTCTCGCGCGCATCGTCCTCCCCCAATGTCTAGCAACCCCCACGATTACGTCGACCCTCATCGTCAGGGCCAATATCCTCCACCGCAGTGGTCTCAACCAGAAGACCATCCCGCTGCTGCTGTTGCTGCTGCTGCTGCTCACCACTATCCCCCGGTTTCGCAGTATTCTGTGAGTTGCGCTACTATATACTCTACTGATCTGTGACAATGGCTAACTGTCGCTTTCCAATTATATAGTACCCCCCGGCTTCATATCCTCCCACCCCAGACCATCAATACCCGCCACCTCCGCCTGGCCAATATCCTCCCCCGACCACTATGGCTGCCACTTATCCCCATATCCAAGGTCCTCCTCAGGACCCATATCGTTTGCCTCCTCCGGGTGCCTACCGCCCCGATGTCTACGCTCAGCAAGCCCCTCCACCTCCGCCTCAAGTCGTCTACCAAGCTGCTGCTCCCCGCCAGCGCACAGCTATCGCCTGTCGCTACTGTCGGAGACGGAAGGTACGTGGGGATTGGTTACACTGTGTGCTCGTTCGCACGCGCTGACATGGGATTGATAGATTCGTTGCTCAGGATTTGAGAGTTCGCAAGATGGCCGCTGTAGCAACTGTATTCGCTTCAACCAGGAGTGCATGTTCACACCCGTTTCTTCCCAAGCGCAAGCCTTTGTCCCGGCTCATGCCGCCTACCCTCATCTGCGAAATGCGCAGAGCCAGGGGCGTCCTGGTGGTGTGATGCTCTACGGTGCTCATGGTCAACCCCTACCACCGCAGCAACAGCCGGGCACTGATCTCCCACCGCCACAGGGAATGTATCATCAACCTTATGCTGCAGCCCCGGCGCCCCTTGCGTCATCCATGCCCCCAGACCAGGTAAGTTGCACAGGATGCGAAAGTTTCTCTGTTTCTCTGAGGTAATGCTCATGCGATCTGTTCGTCTAGCGACCGGGTCGACGTGGCTCTGCGTCGGGCTTTGAATATCCGGATCCTACCAACCTGGCCCCTGTTACTCCGGCGACCTCCACCCCTGGATATCAGACGCACACGGCGCCGAGTCCCTACTATCCACCACCACCGCATGACCGACGTCCCTCACCGCAGTCCACATATCCCTACGATAGCCGCCACTCCTCCTCGCCGCACACCTCTCCTTACCCGCCAATGCACCCCCCTCAGGGTGCTATGACTCCTCCACCTACTTCCACGCCGACATCGACGCGGGGTGGTGGCCTGAACGTTCGTGATATGCTTAATCCCAACGACAACCCCGGCCGATCCAGCACGGACAGCGACATGCTCAATGCTCTTAACCGCCGTGGCTTAAGCCAATAGGCCATTATACTTTTCCGATGCGGAGAATGACCGAGTGTGGAAAAGGGGGTTGTTGAATCGTCCATGTGGGAGAATTGTGTGCTGGTCGCACAGCCTTTCTGTCTCGCCAGAATATGCGGGTCCAGTTATTTTTTACCAACATTGCTTCCTCGTGGTAAATTCGTGCGACTAGACTTGGATTGGATCTTCCAATTTTTGCTCCACCAGCACCAGCCTTGGCCTGCGACCCTTTTAATGCGACAGAATGTGACCCACGACACGAATCGGGACGATGATGATCTTATCGACTTTACGTGCACTGGAGTGCACAGAAAAAAAAAATAATAAGAAAAAGAAATCACGACCGCGTTATGCCATGTTATTCGACTACGAGACTATGGGAATGAGAAGCATAATCATCATGAACTGCATGATCTGAACACGGAATTCATCACGCCATACATCACATACTCTACCTCCAATCCATCATCACTGCGTTATAAATTATCCGGGGCGACCCACTAATGCGATTTCCTTACTCTTATTTTCTTCGTTCATCGTTGTTATCGGGGCATTTTGTTGAGGTTGAAGTTCTGTTCTCTTGCGGTATTGTCATGGACATTGTCAGATCGAGTATGATCTGACTGGAACGGCGGTTTCTTGACTGCCAGTTTATTCAAACGGTACAAGAGAGTATTCCATGCGCTCTTTGGATCAAACGACGAATCTCGATTCCAGACCAGGGTGGTTCAACGCTTTATGTTGTCTTTCATTCGCATCCGCAGTCGAGAAACGAAAATATGGTGTGGATTCCTGCTGCATTTTCATCTGCAGACCGGATTTGTGATGGTTATCTTTCTTTCGCGTCGGTGGTTTAGTTTTATCTTTTTTTCCTGCACATTGTTCTTATATCTCGGGTGGTTATCTGTCGTCTTCTTTTTTAAATTTTTTTTTTGTCATTTTCGCGTTCATGCTGATGTCTACATGCTGGGTTCGTTGGCCGGAGGTTTCGTCATATTCTTTTCCATTTATCATTTGCGAAAAGGAGGCCGTCTCATTTCTATTTCTTTCCGGTTTACGCGCGGTGTCCATGTTTTATTGTTTTCTACGTACTTGATATCAAACCTGGGAGGCTGTCTGATTAATTATCTATCTGTTATGTTCTGATTTTACGTCGTCGATGCTTTTTCTTTTTACTGTTTTCGCATTGCATTCGCCAAGTTACTTTTACCTGATTTGATGCGTTTTCCAAGTCGTGTGAGTTTACGAGGTTTTAGTATAGGTTGGTTGGCTGTCTCTTTTTGAGCCTTGAATTTGAATTGCAACGAGCATTACATGACAGTTCGGTCAGGTGATTATCAGGATTCATACCCCTGTCCTTTTAAGAAGTACAGTAGTACAGCAGCAGGATGGCAAAAGTACAATGCATGTTGGGCACGTGATAAGGCTTTGTCTTTGCCCTAATGGCGTCCCTGTAACAACCTTTTTTTTGGCCACTCCGTACTCCGTACGGAGTAAGCAGGCACTTACTTGCCAGGGTTGGGATGATGGATTGGAGAACCACGTGAAATGAAACAGTAATTGGCATTTGCTATATTCTGACAACTATCTAATCCTGCCTCCTCTTTATTTTATGTTTTCTTGTGAATTGAATGTCTCAATGCCAAATCTCCGGTTTGTGCATGCTGTACTCAATCAATTGACAAACCAACAAACCAAATCGGCCAACTGAATGAAGTCAAGTAAAATCAGATTTAATCAAGTACATCTTTCAAATGCGACATGATACACAAAAGAAATGATTGACGGAATGTAATATGAAGTAAAACCGACCCAAACAGTAAACAGGTAGCCACCAAAGGAATAGATATCCCAATAGGTAGGACGAATGCAGTATAAACGAGATTAAGGAGATACAAACCAAGGCATGTAGAATACCAGTGCGATGAGAATGGCTGTGTGAGCAAAACGAGCGTAAGTGTGACTCTGACAATGGAAATCGTATGCAAAATAATAAGTAGGTAGAAGGTTTATGCAACGAGAACCAGAAAGGAAATGTAAGGAATGTCGAATTTGGATGTTGGCGACCACGGGGCGGGGGGAATTGGCCAAGTGCAGAATGAGTATCTCAAACCCAAGAGAGGTCATGTCCAAACCAAAACATCTAATCCGCAAAATCATCAAAAACACTCGCCATCTTCTTTGCCTTCCCCGGATCCTGCACGAGCAACTCCCGCTGCCCCATGACAACGCCCAAGCTATCAACAACCTTCCCAAGCGACGACGCAGCGCCCCTCACCTGCCGAAACCTAACAACACTCAAATTCGCCTCGCACTTATGCTCAAGCACCGTATAGAACTCCGCAGAGAACTCGACGGGTCGTAGGCGCAGGAAGTTTACTTCCCCCACGCGGCCATGGATCACGCTGTTGGTCTTGTCGAGGTAGACGTCTTCAAGGCCGTATTGCTTCCATTCGCGGAGGATGCGGAAGACTTCTTTGCGGCCCTGGAGTTTGGTTGTGTTTAGGGCCATCACTCGCGTGGCGGGTTTGATTTGGAAGACGCGGGCGAACCAGTTTGTGCTCTTGTTGGTGGTGGTACTGCAGCGGGGGCGGCGGGGAAGAGGCTTTTGCTTGTTTTTGTTGAACTTGGTCTTCGCTGGGGAGGAAGGGTGTTCTATTATTGTTACGGTTGGTTTGGGGTCTTGTTGTTCTGATTCTGGACATGGTCAGATGGGGAGACGGGAAGCTAATGGTAGATCAACTCACCTTGACTAGGCCCATTAAGAGCAGTCTTACTTGGCTTACGTTTGATGAGTTTCTTGAAGAGACCCCCAATCGACTCGGCTGATGACTTTCGACTTGTAGTAGGTCGCTCCTCCGGCTGTTTGGTATCGTGAACGATGACCGTCTCGGCGCTGGGTTGAATAGGCCTATCCTTGACGAATTTTGCCATGTTCTCTCTAGATCCGTAAGACCTGTGTCTGAACCAGGACCATTTCTTGTTCTCCTGGGGTCTGCCATCACCATACGCCTGAGGTCCGGGGTGTTCCTCGATAGGATCCAGTCCAGAAACGTTTCGACTCGACCGAGTTGGTGCAGAAACGAATCTCATAGACCGATCTCTGCCGTCGCCTGCCAGTTCGGAGTCAGGTTCTTTGCCTTTCTTGCGAATGTTTAAGGGTTTGACCTCTGCGAGGGAACGCATCGAATCGTGAGGCACCATGCGGATTGTTGTCTTGGGCTCGAGTTTCATACTCGTGCCGAGAGTTCCTATGGCAGGTAATGCCTTGGGCTCTTCAACTCGGCCAGCGGGCGGTTTATTTTTGCTTTCGACGGGGCTATTTATTTCCTCGGAAATGATGGGGAGATGGCCTGGTTCAGCGGAAGAGCTCATGAACGGATCATTTGTCCAAGATGTAAACTCGTTCAGATTCTGCTGTCTCTTGGTTTGCTTGGCTGCAGCGTCCTCCTCAATCAGACGATCCAGTTGATTGATCACACCTGACAAATAAGTAGGAAGTGTGTCAGAAGGTTCCTGTCTTGACTGCTTGATCAACCAGCGACGAGTATCAGCAAGATCTGCGGTGCCCTGGGAAGGTGATGAATTCGGCGTATCGGGCAATACTCTACCCTTGGCCCTATTGGCTGTGATTTGGTGCTGCGAGTTCTCGGGGCTGGCGATGGAAACAGAGGTAGGAGGTGTCTCGGTGCCACCGCAAACGCTAGTCGTGCATCCGGTAGACATAGAGCTGCCGTTGAATGCATCTTCACATATCTTGCTCAATTCTTGAGAAATCTGGCGCGTTTCGTCCTTCCAGATGAAGTCGGTGTCGCGTAGCTTCTTTGGCTGTGGGCAGCTTCGAACTGCTACGCCGGGGCCACGGACAACGGTCGGTTGAGCTGGCAAGGCAGGACTGCCGTGGCGGTCTGGGAAAGCATCATTCGGCACATCGAGGCTGCTGTGGCTCATTTGCCTTCTAGCGGACACCTGCTTCGACGGCGTTTGCTTTGATTTTCCAGAAGCTGAACCTTGGGATCGATGCCGGATGTGGTGGAAAGAAACATTACGGCGGTAACTGGTCGAGCGTGGCGTATGCGTTTGTGCCGTTCCTCGACGGGAGCTCGTTTGTGATGCCCGAGAATGTGAAGTCTTCATAGAACTTCCCCTGGGCTTTTTGTTGCGCACTACTGCAAAAGGTGAGCTTGATAGGCACTCGCTGTCTTCGTCCAAGTCCTCGTCAGGAGTAGGGTTTGCTGGCCTTTCAATCACCCCGGCAGCCGTTCTGATGGTAGCGGCCGATGAATCGCGATGAATCGTGACATGCGCATACTCCGCTTCCGGTATCTGAACATTGCGTGGCGACCGGAACGGGTCGTAGCTGGCGGATGACATGGGCTCCTTGATCGAACCGGCACGACGCTGACCCTGCTTCTTGGTCGAAAACTGCTGTCGTCTCAGAGATCCATATTGGCTATGAGCGCTCGGGGATCGCTTGCTCCTCGCCCGCATAGGCCGTCGTGAAATATGATGATAGTCACTGGCTGAATACTCCAGTGGCTGTCCCTGGAAGTTTTCCAGTTGCTCATCTCGGAACCTCACCAGCGCATTGTAGAACATGCGCTCTTGCGTTGGCTCCAGGCATAGGATTCTGTTCACCAGGGCCTCTGGCTTTGCTCCGTGCCACAAGGTCTGCAGGTTCTGAAGAATCTCTATGTCAATCTCTTGGACACTGCCAACTGGATCACCACACTCGTAAGCAGATAGAGGTGGTGGCGGCCCGACGTGGTGCTTAGACATGGCTTGATGTAGCTTTTCATACTTCTTCAACAGCGGGTGGTCGAATATTTCTTGTACTGTAAGGCGGTGCTCTGGCCTGGGCAGCAAAATCCGCTGTATCAAATCTGCAGCTTCATAGCTGACCTCGTCGGGGATTCTGTACTTGCCCAGTCGCACCTTCTTAAGTGTACTGGGAACGTCATGTCCTTCAAATGGCAGGTACCCCGTCAACAACGCGAAGAGAATAATACCACAGCTCCAGATATCTGCTCGATCACCACGGTATGGGTTCCCGTAGGTGATTTCTGGGGCGGCATAATGAGGGCTTCCGCACGATGTTTTTAGCCAGTGACCAGTCGGTTGCAGTGCCGCCATTCCAAAGTCTGCAAGCTTGATGTTCTGCCATGAGTCCAACAAAATGTTCTCTGGTTTAAGATCTCGATGACAGATATTGAATCGATGGCAGAAGCCAAGACCAGCGATAACCTGGCGAAATAGTCGCACTGCTTCCTCCTCCGGCAGAGCGCCATTGTTAAAGACATGACTAAATAAATCACCGCCCTCGACGTACTCGAGAACAAGATACCTAGCGCCACGTTAGCCTGTGAACAATCTCAAAGTCATTTTTTCCTGCTTCATACGTACAGCTCTCCTCGGTTCTCCCAGATATCGTAGAGACTGATAACATTGGGATGCTCGATTAGTTTCATGATAACCACTTCCCGCTCAATACCGCAGGGCATCGGCCGAGCTGTATTGCCAGCGAAGTTGCTGGCACGACGGTCCATGGCGGCAATACTTTCGCTTTGAACCATCCTAGCAGACTTCTTGGACACGATCTTGACGGCAGCTTCTTGTCCCGTAATAGCATGCTTGGCTAGTCTCACACGCCCCGTAGCACCCTCTCCCAGCGTTCTTCCCAAGTGCCATGGTCCGACGTGTGTCTTTCTCTTCCCTCTGCCGGACAGGACTGTAGATGCTGCCGACACGGCGGAGACTCGCTTGGAAGGCGTCTGCGGGCAGGGGGTCGATGGTAGGAAGTCACTGTAATTATTGTCCTTTGATGGTATTTGGCTTGTCATGATTGACATAGGATCCGATTTCAAGTAATCTCCTTCGGACCCTCCATCATATTCCCAGTTAGAGGACTTGACATTGAGCCTGCTGCTGGCGTCTGTGAACGGCTGTCGGGTGGTCCGATTGGCTGTGAACTCGTCCATTGCCGGACAAACTAGCCTTTCGCGTTGAGATCAGGGAGCACGAGATGGTCTCTCTCCTGTATCTCGTTGTGTCGAGCCTGCATCAGATAAAGAAAAGGGTGTTAGATATCGGTAGCAGCGAATACTAGATTGGATAGAAGACTCACCTATCCACTATATGGGGGAAAGAAAACAATAACAATTGTGTCGAGGATCGTTGGTGTTGACAGTTTTGGCGAGTGGATCACTGGATGAGTGAATGACCGGCGACGTAGAGCGCGCTCCCTGCTTCTGTTAGCAACCTCCAACCGATAAACTGCAGATATCCCCAGCTAGCGACTTGACGAGTCACAATCGAGTTGTTGTGGTGTAGCTGAAAGATAGGGACGGAGAAGTGAAGACAGGATGAGTAGATCTGACAGTCTCCCTCACTCAATCCACCCGTTGCTCTCCCAACAGCCCGCCAGCAATTTGCAGCCTACAACTAGAGGGGAAACAAAACAAGCAAAATCAGCCTTCTCGGTATGCCGCGGGGCCAGGTTGAGTGCATTGGAATGGAAGAATGGTCTGGTGTTTACTTTCTGGATTCTCAAATTCCCCGGCTTGACTGGAATGCACCATCTGTGGTCGGCCATCCTCGATGTCTTACTGCAAGAACTGAAAGATCCAGAGCACATAGCTAAAGCCTTATTACAAAAGGTGAGTCTCTGGAATATTGAAACGTTTGAGAGAAATGCGCATGGTTAATCCTCATTCTGGTAGATCTATCCAAGACCATGGAGAACCATCGATACCGGACGAAATAAAAATTCAACCGACTTGAACGATATGCTCTGGAATCTTGCACGGAACGATAACGCAAGAACGTTGGTTATCTTGCATGGCAATCGAACGAGGTCTGCAGTTTGCTGTCCCGCTTCTTTTGAAGTTGTATACATTCCACAGTCAACCAAGGGAGGGCACCAGGATTACATAACATCGGTTAAATCGTCTTCCCTGGGAATTTTTAGGTGTCAGGCTGGTCTTACTGTTGATCCCGGGGAGAGTACAAGGGAGAGGCATTCGACAGTTGGACTGAACTCAAGTTCTGGTTTTGACATTCCACTACCGTCTATCCTAGTCTTTGAACTACGGAATACGTGTGGGATGGCAGGGCGGCCGCATGGACTGGCAATTTTTATCATGCAGACACGATCGATATACATTTGCGCTTTGTGCGACTTTTAGCTACATTCTCATTCTGACTGTAGGGCTCCGCCATTCTATGGCCTCACACGATGCCCGCACCATTCGCCACACTTTCTCGAGGATAGGGGCATGAAAGGGGCTTGAACATGGGGGAGAAAGGGAGAACACGCCACGATGCAGTGGAAGCATGCAAGGGATGTATGCCATGTCAAGCGCATATCGGGAAAAGGCAAAATAAACGGGGATTTCCTGGTTTCATCCTAACATGCACCATCAACCGATCTAATCTTCTCCAAGACCGCAACTCTTTCATAGTAGTATCCTGTATCTTCATCGTAATGATACTGGTATAGTTTCTGTTGTTGGTTCGTTAGGCTCTCGAATAAAGAAATGGGGGCAGCTTCGTTTCGTCTTCACTGACTTCCTGTCTCTTCCATCCAAGCACTTTTAATACTTTCCTCAAGAGGAACACCACGTTTCGTGCTGCTCTGTTACTCGGGGCATTGAGCCAATGTCTTCATGGCTATGCATAAAGCAGTATAGTGAGGGAAACAAAAGACTGAGATGGAGAAAACGAATTGCAGCAGGTCTTTGTAGTAATGAGAAACTGGATCCCCCCATCGAATTTGTGTTTCCTTCTATCAACACCGTGATATTCCCGTTGCGTTGAAACAGAATGGAGACAGACAGTATCAAAATATCCAAAGAAGCATCAGCACTGTTTGGCAACAAACCCCTTTCGTAACAGTTCAACTGAGCTTGCTCTTAAGGTCAATGGCATGACAGTTGGTTGTTAGTCTCCAGCATCAAGGCACTGTAAGAAGGGCTGTGTAAAGTACCAGACAGCAGCCTGAAAGATTATTATGAGCACGCTGCTCAACTATGACGGCACTGGTTTTGTTTGAATTAGACTGTCCGTCAGATTATACCTTTGTCGACAGCGACGATCATCAATGACCTAGCTTCGCTGTCATAATGCCCGATAACATGAGTAGCTACTCACTGATAGCTATGGAGGTCGGGTTCACGGAGACTAGGGAGAAATTGCTCGAAGATGCAGAGTGACTCCTTAGGGGTCTTGGAATGACCGAACTTGCGGTCTCGGTCAAATTCAACGAAAGATGAGCACAAGAGAAGTAGTACTCTTGAGGTTAATTTAAACATCGACCGGGATAGTTTGGCCAAAGCAATCGAGGTCAAAGCAGCCGAAATGATCGGAGATCTGGACGTACAGGTCATCCTGTCACCCAATCGGCATGATGCCAGGCCCCGCATCTCAATGCTTTCACCAAGCTCCAGACGTGTACTTTGAAATAGACTATCCAACTTCTCAATGAGAAACTGAGAAACTGGCGATGGCGAAGACCCGGAGAATTTTCGGATGGTAAAGAAGGCAGGCTTCGTTAGGTTATAACCATGTTCAAGTTGATGGCGTTAGAAACCTCCATATCAGCGCAATAGATATGGCCACTATTATTAAGCCTCGTGTTCATTCGTAGATCCAGATCAACGATGCTTTGAGATGTATGTAGACATTTAACGAATCGTATCCGGGTATGGATACACCGGAAGCATCAACATCCTTCCGGTTGCGGTAGATGACAACAGCATGTGTCGCGTTTGCGTGAATGTATAAGCTCATTCAATGGGTATTCCGAATTCTGTACAGTTCAGGTCCTTCATGAATAGTTCTATACGCGGTGCCGCACACCCGATGCGGATATATATCGCAGCATCCCACTATCTTTGAACTCAACACAAGCCACCTGCTTGGATCATACAAGACAGCTGTCATGAACTACAACACAAAGAAAATGTCTACCTTGGTGGTCTAAGTTTGATGCACCGGGTACGGAGCAGTAGTCTGTACAAAGTATCTACCCGGGTACTCCGTGATTTGGAATATGTACTTGACACGCGGTCAAGAACAGGCGAATGGACTGTTCTTTTCTGTCATCTATCTGTTCTCCTTATTATGGAGAGAATGATTGATAACGATCAGATAATCGCCTGCTTCTAGAATCCCGTGATCGCTAATCGACGCGGGCTGTGATTGGCGAATGACACGTGGATGTTATCATACCAGAGTACGAGGGGGAGGGGGAGTATCGCTTGATTCGAACCGGAGAAGGAAATCCTTGGTAATAACACGTATGGCAACAGTGGCAAGATACCCCGAGACGCTTCGACCAAATACCGGAATGAGGCAGAATAGCCGTTTTCTTGTCCGAGAAATGAATCCCGATGATCACGTGTAGCTACCGTGGGGCAATGATGTGGGCGGTGAGTACTCTACAGACACCTTTGCCGTCTGTTTACAGGTGTGTTTTGCTCCGTATAGAGCCAATTCTTAGTTTTATTGATTGCTGGAGTAAATAGACCATTCGATAGTACTAATTGACCAAATATACCTGGTCTTGGTGACCGAATTGGATATATATTTGTAACCACGGATGGCGGGGACCGACGGCGGGGCGTCCAGACGGTCTTTCTTGATAATCCCGTCCAACACATTCGGTATCTTTCTGGGGGAGTGGCATGAGCAATCGGGTGTTATTATGAGAGCAGTAATGATCAATGAGAGCATAGTACTAATAATGAATTGAACCTGTACTATGTGGGATTAGATAATGGTGAATAGGCTAGTGGATCCACGCCACGGCTGCCCCTCCTCGGTCTTATATATACCCCATCCTCTCTCTTTTCTTTCTTTCTCCCACTCACTACTTTACCACACTACTCTACTACACTCACACTTCTCTTTCCCACTCAACCACACCACATCAACCTTCACAATGTCTGGCATCAACGCTGGTGACTCTTTCCCCTCTGACGTCGTCTTCTCGTAAGTCTTTTTTCTTTTTTTTTTCTCCCTTCTCTGTCTTGCCCAGAGACTAACAAAACAGGTACATCCCCTGGTCCGAGGACAAGGGCGAGATCACCTCGTGCGGTATCCCCATCAACTACTTCGCCTCCAAGGAGTGGGCCGACAAGAAGGTCGTCCTCTTTGCCCTCCCCGGTGCCTTCACCCCCGTCTGCTCTGCCAACCACGTCCCCGAGTACGTCGAGAAGCTCCCCGAGCTCCGCAAGAAGGGTGTCGACGTTGTTGCCGTCCTTGCCTACAACGATGCTTTCGTCATGAGCGCCTGGGGTAAGGCCAACAAGGTCACCAACGATGACATTCTCTTCCTCTCCGACCCCCAGGCCAAGTTCTCCAAGAGCATTGGCTGGGCTGACGACGAGGGCCGCACTGGCCGTTACGCCATCATCATTGACCACGGCAAGGTCACCTACGCTGCTCGTGAGCCCTCGATGAACCACCTTGAGGTATGTCCTTGTTCTTTATAATGAAGTGAACTTTGCTAACTGTACCAGTTCTCCCGTGCCGAGCACGTCCTCAACCAGCTGTAAATGCTTAATCAATAATTGAATCGGAGGATAATGGCTACGCGTCGATAGATCCAAAGCTTTTCTCATAGAAGAATACAATAACGAAGCTATGAAAATTTTCTATACCTCCCCGATGATGTCAGCCGTAGTGTTAGTTACTCTAGTGTCAAGCTTAACCCCAGACCCCAGTATGTAGCACTAGGATCTACAGTAAGCGCGTTTCACCAGGATTGACTGGATTATCCTATTTAATCAGCGTCGTGACTGCGTGTTTATTCTGACTGTACCGCGCTAAACCCGTTTTGGCCGATCGATTCTTCACCAAACTCAATGCACTCTTAAGTTCTCCAAACCACCACAAATACAGACACCAAAATGTCTTCCAACCTACCCTTCAAACGCAAAAAACCCACACCCCAAACCTCCGCCGACCGCAAACGCGCCAAAACCTACGATGCGCGCACCCTAGCCGCTCAGTCCGCCGACGCCGCCCTCTCCGCGTCCGGCGAGCTCGATGTCGCCGCGTACCTGTCCGCACGCGAATTCGAAATCCAGGCTTTGGAACGGGGTATTCAGCAGTCGAAAGCTGCAGGTACAAGTCGCGCGTTCCAGCAGGTACCACGGTCGCTGAGGAGGCGGACGGCTAGTCATAATGTGAAGAGGGTACCGCAGCGGTTGAGGGCGAGGGCTAAGCGGGAGGTACGCTTATATCTCTAGTGATGTTATAACAAAGAAAATAAACTGATAATGGGACAGATGGTAGAAGACAACACCCCCACGGTAACAGCCCGCCGTCGCAAACCAACCTCCCACCTCCGTCTACGCCTCGAAACCGCCCGCCGTCTCCAAAACCTCAACCGCAAAACAAAATCCAAACGAGCGCACTCCAAAGCTGAGAAATCCCGCGAGACCCGTCTCCAGCTCGAAGCCTCTGGAAGCCATGCGTACAACACCGCGCCCCGCATCCCCAGAGTAAAGAAATACAAGCTCTCTCGTCCCCCGCCGCCAGAGTCGAAATACAGGAAACGTCAACGCTGCAAGACATGGCTACCCACACATCTATACCATGCGAAGCGCGCACATATGACAAGGTCATGGCGCTTTGCTGTACCGCTGTCACCGACGGAGAAGAGTTATCGACCGACGCACCGGGCGCGTGGGCAGCGGGGTGCTGTGGCGTGGGATATGAGTTACGTGTCTACGATACAGATTGAGGGGAGTGAGTCGGGCCTTGAGAGTGTGTTGAGGGGTCTTGGGGCTGAGGGGGTGGAGGTTTGGGGGGTGAAGGGGAGGAAGTGGAGGGGTGGGACGAGGGTGTTGCAAACTTGGGTATTTGAGAGGGAGAAGAAGAGTCCTATTGCGCCGGTTACATTGATACGGGCTGCAGAGGAGAAGGGGGATGCGAAGGAGGTGGAGATGGTTGATGCGGATGCGCCCAAGAGCAGCAAGAAGAAGGATCGGAAGAAGATCTTTATTCGGGTTCATCCATCTGCTTTTTTGCAGCTGTGGAATGAGCTTTTGGAGGTCTCTAAGATGCAGATCCCGCCGGTTATGGTGGAAGATCTGCGGTTCGAGATTGGTAGCATCGAGGTAACTGGACCGGGAGCTACAGAGGCCTTAATCGCGGCTCTACAGCCTGCAGATGGGACGCCAGCTTCTGGCAGTCCAGAAGCTACATGGACGTCATTACTGGGAGTTACGAATCCATCCTCACTACCGCAGAACGCCCTCCTTGCCTTTTCCATCTCCGATCCCCGCCTCCATTTCCCCTCCCGGACTTTACGACCTCCATCGGATGAGACACATATGCAAGACCAGGCCATGCTTCTCGCTTCATGGCCACCAGACCAGTCTCAAAGTACCGCCAAGCTCTTCGACCGACCATCCCGATTGGCTGCTACACAACAACTCCCTAGTCAGAAAGCGATCAACCGACGACGCACTTTAGCCGGACCCGGAAATCGGCCCTTACGTCAGGATTCTGATCCGCACATACCAATTCTGGCCTTTGCGTCTCGGCCGGCGACAACATCCAGAAAGAAGATCAATGATCATGCCGGCAATCTGCCCGGATCTTGGACTGTGCTGCTACCCTGGAAATGCGTGCTTCCCATATGGTACTCGCTCATGTACTATCCGTTGTCCAGCGGCGGTAATCCACGCTTCGGTGGACTACAGGAGCAGCAACAATTGGCCTTCGAGGCGGGGACGCCCTGGTTTCCGGGCGATTTCCCCGGTACACGTGCGGGGTGGGAATGGGAACTGCACGAGCGCGAGCAGCGACAAAAGCAATGGGAGAGCCAACCCAAGGGACGACGGGTGGAATTCGATCGTCTAGACTTGGGCAATGGATGTAGTAGAGGGGAGATCGGTCGTGGATGGGCATGTGACTGGGAGCGATTATTATTAGGTTTGCGGGAAGGACCGCGACAACTACACGCAGAGCACCAAAAAAAGCAACCCGCAGAAGCCCAAAAATTAGATGCTCCTGCAAATGCAGACATACATCTTGCACATCCTCGGGATCTGAGCTCGCCCATCCCCGTCCACCAAATTCCTGCAAGCGAGGCCAAGCAAAAGCTCTCTGCTCAATACGAGATGGACCCCAAGAGCGGGGGTGGTGCCTTGGCGACCGTGCGGATCTGGCTGGTGCGTCGAGGCACGCCTTCACCGCGCGCGCGGATCTATCGCCTGCCTGAGGGGGAGATAGGGCGGCGCTGGCTAGACCTGGAGACCCTACATAAGGCGTCTGCAAAGGAGAGCAAATCCGGGCTGAGCATGGGCATGTCAGCAGAAGACGCGCGCCGGTCGCTAGCGACATCACTAATTTCTGCTCCAAGCTCGGGGTCAGGATCCGGATTGGGTTCAGGTTCAGGGAACGGAGAAGAAGAACTTCCGATTCCTACGGAAGAGGATCTGATTGGATTCGTCACGACGGGAGGATATAACCTTGCTGAAGGGCAGGGGACGGGAATCGGGTCCATAGCGATTGCCCGGGTTATTGCCAGTAGTCGTGCTAGAAAGGGGACAGTGAACAAGTGTATTGTTCGGGGGGCGGGAGAGAGAGTGGGGAGATTAGGATATTGGGATATGATTTGACTTGAATTCAAGGTCTGCACGGAGTATCCGTATCCGTACAGAGTAGGAGACCCAATTCTGGGTAGCATAAACTTTGGCCGTTGATGTTTTCCGGTTCCGCGGTCCTTGCTGTCAGTATTTCGGTGTTTACATTGCTCACATGTATACCAACATTCTCCGTACACACAATTTACTAGCACCATCAATGCCCAGATACATAACCCCAATATCTACGAACATCAGTTCATCACATTTCTCTTTCCTCCCCGGTCTAAGCTCATTTCTCCGATGGACGATGACGATGACGATGAACCAACTCACTGGATCCAGGAGCAATGACCGCATCAAGCAAGATCTCCGAACCCACATCTCCAGTGCATGGATCGCCCGCCCCATTTTTCTTCAGCCACCAACCTACTCAATCCTGCAAAGATGCGAATGAGCAATTGCTCCTCCGTGCCCTGCAAAAGCTAACACTGGACAAACTCTGCGCGATATGGGTCTGCAGTCGTTGCTGTCATGATGTCCGGTGTTTCAGGATGACAAAGTTGGTGTAAATCTTCATTAGCTTGTTAGTTTGGGCGAGTCTATCGGGCGAGTTGCCTCGGGAATGGTTCGGGTTTTGCTTAGGGATTCATATGGGCAGAAGGGATGAACTAGGGCTTTGGGGATGTTGCTCCGAAAGTATGTACTCCGTAAGTATTGAGTACTGCGTATGGAGATATAGACTTTCGTATTGAGAGTGAGATGACAATTTCCCCGGAAGTTTGTTGGAATGGTAATGTACTCTTATGTCGTACTACGATGATATTCAACGGTGGTGGGTTTATGTCAGTCAGTCAGTCAGCCAGGTTGATCCCTTTCTTGTTCTTTTTATTATTATTATTATTTCTATTATTGCTGTTGGGCTCCTTTCATTTATTATTATCACCATCCCTCCGTTCGTTCTTCCCTTTCTTCCCTTCCTTTCCTTTTCTGATTGCCGTTTGTTTCGTTCTCTATACTATTATACCCCGGGTTGTCGTACAAAGTACTACACCCATGCAATAACTAAAATGGCCGACGCTCAGATCATCCCGGCCATGAACCCCCCTCCAGGGAAGACATCCAACTTTGTCGACCCGGAGTACCAGGGGACCAAGTTTATTGTTGTGAATTGCATCTTTCTGCCGTTGGCGGTGCTTGCGCTGGCCGTGCGTACCTGGACCAGAGTGTATATTGTGAGGAACTTCCAGGCTGATGATTGTATGTTTTTATCTGGTACCTGGGACACAATGATGTGGGTGCAGGACTGACGGTGACAGACTTGATGATGATGGCTTTACTATTGTCGATTGTCATGACAGCTGTGACATTGGATATGCTCAATTGGGGTCTGGGGAAGCACATGTGGGATGTTCCTGCTATGCCTAATCTCTCGCCATGGTTTATGAAGGTGCGCTTCCGCCCCTACACTGACATGAGACTTGAATAGACGAGTTAACATCGACGCGACAGGAAAACATGATCGCAGCAATCTTCTACTGCGCCGCCACCGGCTTCTGTAAAGTCTCAGTCCTCGTTTTCTACCTCCGCATCTTCCCCAGCCGCTCCTTCCACTTCGCCGTGTGGTTCGTTGTTTTTGTCGCCGTGGGCTACGAGGTCGCTAGTGTGCTCGCTAATGTCTTCGCGTGCACTCCAATTGCGAAGAGCTGGGATGCGACAATCACGGGTGGAAGCTGTATGAACAGACCGGTGTTTTACTTTGCGAATGCGGGATTGGGTATATTTACGGACTTTGCGACGGTGTTGGTGCCGATTCCGTGGTTGTGGAAGTTGCAGATGCCCATGAGGCAGAAGATTGCTGTTGGAGCGATTCTTACGATGGGGTGTTTGTAAGCTTTCCTCCCCCTGCTATCTTGGTTAGAGTGCATGTTGTTAACAAAACCAGTGTCGGCGTCGTCAGCTGCATCCGCCTCTCAACCTTATACATCCTCATGAACTCCCCCGACCTAACCTGGGCGACCACGGACGCCCTGATGTGGTGCGCCATCGAACTCAACCTCGGCATCGTTGGCGGCTGCGTAACAGCAATGCGCCCTTTCGTCCGCCGCTACTTCCCCAAGCTCCTCGGTCTATCATATGGCGGATACGGCTCGTACTCGCATTCGAGGAAATACGGACACCCGCTCAACTCGATTCCAAGGAGCGACAACCCCAACTTTTCAGGATACTTTCAGCAGTACTCTACGAGTACGTGGAAGGGGGGAACTATGGGGGATCGGAATAGTGAGGAGCAGGTGTTGAAGGAGGCGGCAGCGCCGCCGGGGTTGGGGTCGGGTAAGGCGGATGGAATTGTGAGGACGGTGGAGTTTGATGTTGAGGATGGGTTGCGGAAATGATCTATTTCATTACGATGTTTATTTTGTCTTGATTTGCGGATTCATTTTGTTATTTAGCGCGGTGTTGGGGTTTCTTTAGTTCTCCACGGAGATTTGTACTATGTATGCAAATACAAATAATGCAATAACCACGGACCACGGAAACCTGATTCAGGAATTTAATTAAACCCTCCCCCCCGGGCCTGATCTTCGATTTTAGCTTCGGAAATGAGCCCCTTTAGCGCATCTAGCCTACTATTAGTCTGCGCTTAGGACTAGTCCATTCCGACATTTCCCCCGGCCATGCATTCATTTTTCTTATTTACCGGGATTCCCTAAATCCTTTTTCACTTCTTCATACTATATTAACTCTAATATATATATTTTAAATATATATAAAACAAAGCCACCAAAATGCGCCTTTCCACCGCCCTCGCAGCAGCCACCCTAGCCGTCTCGGCCACCGCCAACTCAGGCTGTCAAACCCTGAAGGACTCCCTCCCGGGCTCTGTATACGCCCCCAACACCAACATCTACAAGTATGAGTCTCAAGAGTTTTGGTCCAATACCGAGATTCTCTCGCCGGGATGTGTGTTCCGGCCGAAGTCGGGGGAGCAGTTGGCGAAGGGGGTGAAGGGGCTGGTTGATGCGCGGGCGCAGTTTGCGGTGCGTGGCGGGGGGCATATGGGGATTAAGGTATGTTTTTGGACCTTGTATAGAGACTGTGTCTACTTTGTGTGGTGTGGATGATTGTGCTGATGGTGATGGCAGGGCGCGAATAACATCAACGACGGCGTGTTGATTGTCATGTCTAACTTGACGACTCTGCGTCTGTCGGAGGATGAGTCCTTGCTCTCCGTTGGTCCGGCATACCGGTATGTCCTTCCACCCCCAACTCAATCATAATCCTCACTAATATAAATGCGTAGCTGGTCCGACGTCTACAAATACCTCGAACCCCACGGCCTCGCCGTCCCCGGCGGCCGCATCGGCCCCGTCGGAGTTCCCGGTCTGCTCCTGGCCGGTGGAGTCAACTTCTATGGCAACGAAGTCGGCTGGGCCGCTGACAGTGTGGTCAACTACGAGATTGTACTTGCGGACGGCTCGCTGACGAACGTGAACAAGACGCATCTTCCTGATTTGTTCTGGGCTTTGAAAGGTGGAAGCAGTAACTTTGGTATTGTTACCCGGTTCGATGTTGAGACTATTAAGTCGCCGAAGATCTGGGGTGGTACTTATACGGTCGAGGCGAAGTATCTTGATCAGTTTTTGGAGGTATGCCTTTTTCCCATTTCAAATTGATTTGGTAGGTTGAATGCTAACTGAATAGGCTGCTGCCACGTTCTCGGCCGATATCTCTGACCCCAAGACCCATGTTGTCCCTGCAGTCGTCCCTGGAAAGACTACCATGGCGTCTGTGATTCTGTTCTACGACAGCGACACGATCAGCTACCCCGATGTCTTCAAGCCATTTACCGATATCCCTGCTGTCAGCAACACGCTCGCCTTCAAGACCGTTGGTGAATTTGCCGATGAGACCGCCGCCATGGTCATTCCTCACATCAAGTACACTTCCCCACTCCCCCCCTTATTCCAATTTACCATACTAATATGACGACAGCGACGTCTTCGTCGCCGGAACCGTAACCGGTACCAACCGCGCCGAACTCCTCCAAGGCATCAGCATCATCAACAGCACCTTCTTCGCTGAACTTCCCAAGCTCTACGCCAAGGTCCCCGCCGCAAACCTCACGACCATCCAGCTGGACTGGCAGCCCATTGGCTCTCTGTGGATAGAAGCCTCTGCCAAGCGCGGCGGTAACGCTCTCGGCCTTGACCCTAAGAAGGTGTACTTGTGCTATGCAGAGGTTGTTGAATGGACGGGGAGCAAGTATGATGATGCTGTTATGGAGTGGGTTGAGCAGACTACGGAGAAGATCAATGCTGCTACGGAGAAGGCTGGTCTGTACGACCCGTTTAACTACATGTGAGTTGCCCTTCCCTATCTGGTTCAATTGGGGGCGTGTGGCGCTAACGAGAATAGGGGCGACGCCGCTGGCTTCCAGGAGATTTTCCCGGGCTACGGGCCTGCGAACCACCAGAAGTTGCAATCGATTGCGCAGAAGTATGACCCGTATGGTGTCTTCCAGACTCTGATGCCTGGTGGTTTCAAGGTCTTCTAAGCTGGGCGCGACCAACATAATATGTCTACGGTACGACTGCCGACAGGGTTGTTTTGTATAGTGTCCCATGGCATGTCTTTTAGAGTTTACAGAGTAGTACATGGCTATTAGCTATGCTAATATAGTAATAATACCGTTACTTATCCACTGTGGTTTGTTATTACGGTCAATCCAGTGCTGTATTCGTTTAGTCTACAGGGTCGGTCTAACAATCATCATTTATACCATTCATCTCACTCCTTCAATTTCTCTAACCTCAGCGAAGTATATACAAATCCCAACCTAAGAGGTGCTTACACCAGAAGCATCCACCAAAAACTTGGCCGCCTCCTCCGCATTCTTCCCATAACTCAAATGCGCCATAACATTCCCCCCATTCAAACAAACCGGATCACCCTGCGCACAGAACTCCTTCCTCTTACTATCATCCAACTTCCCCACACTCTGCGCCTTAAATGGGTCTCCGAACAGCACAGCTCCGGAGATCTGGTCCGCAGACAGCGAGTTGGCTGCGTTGTGCACGACCATGCTGCCTTGCGAGTAGCCGCCGAGCACGACTTTGGTGTTGGGGCATTGCTTTAGGGCTTGTTTGACGAGGGAGGCCATCTTCGGGCCGCCAGAGGAGCCCATAGAGGCGTTACCCTGTTTTATTTATTATTATACTTGCTATAGGGGTGAGGGGAGGGAGGACGTACGGCGGCATCAGCGGGGTAGTCCACACCCTGTACGGTGACCTTGTTGTTGGTTTGGGAGGCTAGTTGCTTGGCAACAGGTGGTCCGACGACAGAGCCCATGTTGCCCATTTCGGTGGTGCCGCGGGCGAAGATGAATGTCAAGGGCTGGCATCCGTCGTTGTCGGTGACACCATTTTCGGTGCTTCCGCCGACTTTATTTTTTCAGCCAGTGTTCATTTAACCAGAGATAAAGGGAGGAGTACCAGAGGAAGATCCACCTAAGAGATCACTAAAGTCACCAAGGGCATCTGTTCCCTGAGCAGAGGTGGTAGTTGAGGTCGACGACGGGGTCGATGCAGCGCCGGACGCGGAGCTGGTGCCAGAGCTGGAGTCGGATCCAGAGGAGCCAGACGATCCGGAACCCCCGCCAAACAAGTCACCGAATCCGGAGCCGGAGCTTGAATCACCAAAGCCGGGGAAGAGGCCACGCTCTTCGCGCTGAGTGGGAGCCGTTAGGGCTGTGCTGGCGAGGGCGATGAGGGTGAGGGAGTACTTCATTTTGAGTGAGTGGGTGGGATAATAAAAGAATGAATAAATTAAGAGACCTGCTCTGATGAAGAATGAATGATTGACAGATGGAAACGTTCGAGAAACGAAGAGAATTTATACTTGGAGCTTACAGATCTGATACAACCTTACAAATATGTTTTAGCAGATATCCTCGGTTCGGCACTTGATCTGATACAGGACCCTAGTCAGATCCCATTAATGGGTGTTACTATAGACTAGGCTGAAGTAGGGCCGATAATTAATCTGAAATGAATCCTCAAATTTGGGATTTCCTATTTGGGTAATCTCCGTTGTATCCATACTCCAGGTACACCAATCGCATGAAAGAACACATAAAAGAGCATACACCGTGAAAATAACAAAGTCATAGAAAGGTCGCATAAGAACATAGAGATATCAAAGGAAATAATGGCCAAGACAACACCAAACACCGCCGCCTGCATCTATAAACCGAACCGAATCGAATGTCTAATCTATTGCTTCATGATGCTGCGCAGCTGCTGGATATCTCCCTGATCGACGTTGGTGTACTTCAAGCTCGAGGAGCCTATATATTATTAGCATCGAATATGTCACCTGAGAGGTTAAAGAGAAACTCACTCATAGGAATAGGACCGTGCGCACCCGGGTTGTCACCCAAGAAAACAGTCGCCAGAGTCATGCAAGTCGCCGGCACATTGCCAATGGTAACAGTGTTGCCATCGAACTTGAAGCTAACCGTGACATCCTTGAGCTGGCCCTTGCACTGGGTGGCCGCGGGCTCGGGCAGACCAGCGAACGGGTCATCGTCACGGGCTTGGAGGTAGGCGTGCTCATCAAAGTGGTCGCCGTCGAGGGTGATCAGGGTACGACGGGAGTTGTTCTGGACTTCATCGTTGATGCTGGAGCCGGCATCGACAGCACCCTTGACCAGACGGACGCCGATTCTGGCGAGGCCACCGATGGGAGCGGGGCAAATTTGGAGGAAAGAGGCGAAGAGGGCGATGACGAGGGCGGCGAAGACGGTCTTCATTTTGATGGTTGTGTTTTGTACTGGGGTGGAGAGAGATAGAAAGATGGATTGAGATTGAGAGTGATGATTATTTGATTCTTTGGTTGATTGATTGATTGAGCTGTTGATGATGATGAGAATTGAGATGATATGTAACCTTCTTTTATAACATTTGGTTGCCATTCGGCCCCATGGCAGTGAATCCAAAATGTGCCTGGGGGGATTGGAATAGATTGGGGCCGATTCCTAATTTGGAAAATACGAGGCTATCCAAGGCACATATTCAAGGCATACTGCTAACGCCCCCAATGTCGCAGTTCGCCTAAACAAAGATATATGGCGATGGATGAAGGATTCGTCTGAATCGCACTGAACCGCAAGCACCATGTTACTTCCAGTATTCTCGTTTCTAATATCCGTGTTTTTCGTGTCTATCGCTCTCCACCACACAACCCGCCTCTGGTCGCTCCCATTCATCCTTCTCCCATCTTACATTTCTCTAATAACCTCCAACCAACTTGAGGACATTGCAGACCTCTGGGCCATTGGTCTCGCTGTGTATTTCATTCATGTCACATCGCTGCTGTATTTCGAGCAATGGGTTGTTCCGCGCCCGTCGCCGGACAAGCGATATGATTTTGCCGCAGCATACAAGCTCTGGAGCAATCCCCAGTTTCTAAAAACAGCACGACAGGTACCCGGTGCGCATACAGTCGATCGTGATTATGACCCTCCACAGAGTCGGGTCCGTTTCACCATCGTGCGCGTGGCACGTATCACACTGCACCTGTCGCTTATGCACCTATGGACAACATACATATTCCCAGGCCCGTTCCTGCCCCTGACGGCCGACGACTTCTCCCCGATTAAGGAAATTTACTTTCGCCGGTTACTGTCAGGTACCATAACCTACCGAGAGACGGCAATCCGCTCCCTCAGCGCAATCGACTGGATTTGGACTGCCTACCTCACCCTGGACTGCTCCCACGACGCCCTCGGCATATTCTTCACCGTTATCCTCCGCCTCGACAACACCACTGACTGGCAAACCCCCCTTTTCGGCTCCCCGGGCAAGGCATACACTCTTCGCGGCTTCTGGGGCCGTTTCTGGCACCGCCTCGTTTACCGGGCGTATACGAACTACGGGCGATGCGTGGGGCAACGGGTTTTGCGGCTGCGGCCGGGTAGCGTGGCGGAGCGGTGGTGGTGCGTGTTTGTGGTTTTTGCGATCAGCGGGTGTTCGCACGCGGTTGTAATGCGGTGGGTTTGGGGGAGTGGTGGGTGGAGGGAGGTATGGTTTTTCGGTGTGAATTTCGTCGGGGGTGCGGTTGAGAGTGTTGTTGTGAAGTGGACCAAGGGGAGGGTGTCGTTCAGGGGATGGGGATGCAGGATCCTTGGGTTCTTGTGGGTCTTTGGGTTCTTTTTCTGGAGTGTACCGAAGCGGGAGTATCCGAATATCCACGCGTTGCTTTCTACAATATGACAGGACAGTTTGCTATGATTCTATACAGTTTTTGATCAACATGCATACCCCGTATTACCAATGCCAATGAATGCCAATGCCTCCGCCACGAATGCCTCTTTTAGTGCCTCGGCAAACACATATTATATCACATTCCGCTCGGACTCTCGACTCAATGAACTTAGACTTCAAAGACTCGTCAGCAAGGCCCGTACTTGTATATCACAGCCTTAGTGACTCGATATGATATCAGGGGAACATCAGGGTACGGGGTGAAGGTGAACCGGGCGTGATCATCAGGCCGATCCATAAACTATCAGCTTACTTACCGGTTCTGGAAGACCGTTCGACTTTATAAATACCGTGTCCTCGCCAGTGTCATATAGAAGAATTCTTTTCGAACAGTATTACCATCAGTATAGCGTATAATCATGGAAAAAGAACAAGAAAACGGAAGAGAGCTCGTCCTCTGCTTCGATGGCACAGGGAACACATTCCGTGCCGACGGAGGTGAAAGCAACATCCTCAAGATCTTCCGCCTCCTAGACCGAAATAAGGAGAATCGCTACTGTTACTATCAGCGTATGCTCCTTCTCCTTCCATCTATCCTCGGCCAGAATGCTAACAAACGAAAAGCCGGCATCGGCACCGAAATCTCCCCCAGCAGCCTCGCAAACCTTGCCCTCCGTCCAACCACGAAACTCAACACCCAGAAAGCCCTCGACCTCGCCCTCGCAACCTCCTTCAACAAACATGTCATCGGCGGATACCGGTTTCTCGCGCGCCGATGGAAACCAGGAGCGAAAATCTACCTCTTCGGCTTCTCGCGGGGTGCGTATACAGCGCGCTTCCTGAACGAGATGCTCGATTATGTCGGGTTGATCAGTGCCGATAATGAAGAATTGATTCCGTTTGTCTGGGAGGCGTTTACGGATTGGAAGTTTGCGCCGCAGTCGCATAGGAGACGGCATCGGGCATATGAGATTTTGCGGATTAGTAGAGAGACGATGTGCCGGCCGATCGACAGAGTCCATTTCCTCGGCCTCTTCGACACGGTCAACAGCGTGGCTGAGTTTGAGAAGAGCAGTGGGAATAGCGGGAGTACGAATTTGAATGCTTGTCAGCCGCGACCGATCATCACTCGCCATGCGGTTAGTATCGACGAGCGACGAATTAAATTCCAGCCTGTGCTATTCGCCAACGAATCGGGCATCAAGCGTCGCCGACCGATCATATACGAGCAAACCGAGGAAGCCTTCGCGGCAGACTCAGACGGTCCCGAGGACGACGCACCAACAGATATCGAAGAGATCTACTTCGCAGGCGATCACAGCGACGTCGGCGGAGGCTGGCGACCGGACAGAGAAAACAACGAGCTATATCCCACATCGCACATCCCGCTCGCCTGGATGGTAAACGAAGCCGCGCGCGCAGGCCTAACCTTCGACGAGAAGAAGATCGAGCAACTAACGCCTGACTTATGGGAGGTGACTTCCCCAGGTCAAACGCCCACATCACCAACAGCCACAGAAACAACACTCTGCCAAGTCCAAGATACAGTCCGGACGGCAGAGACAGCCCAAATCCACGACTCGCTCGATTTCGACTCCGGGAAAGGCCTCACAACGTTCTTCTGGCGACTGTTGGAGTATTTACCGTTTAAGAGACCCGCCGTTCAGCCCAACGGGTCAATTGTCATGACTCGCTGGCACACCCATGGTTTGCGACGGCCGCTCCCGAAGCAGGCCATGGTTCATGGGAGTGTTGTAAGACGCTTGCGCAAGGACCCGGAGTATCGGCCGTATAACTTGGGATTGGGGCTGAAGCCGAATATGCAAGATCGGAGGGAGGAGGACCGGGATATTGGGAAGTGGAAATGTGTTAGTGGGGATGGGTTGAGGGAGTATTGGGTTAGGGGTTGATTGCAACATCGATACTATTATTATGAGCTCTGTATATTATGTACTATTTTGGTTAATATTATGATTAATTTTGGGATACTTGGTGTTATGTACAGCCTCTTTTAGCTAAATATTTATTTGCAAGTCTCACTTAGCCTTGTGGTTAGGCCCCAAATATCAGGAATGGGGCCGAAACCAATCGGGGGCTATACAATTCAGCCTCGTTCGGTGTATGGAGTATGGCTCATGATAAATAGACCCTGAATCCGCTTCGATCGCAAACAACCATTCAAAGAAAATTTACCTACAATAAAGCAATATCTCAAAATGCATTACCAATTCATCCTTATCAGCACCCTCACCACCATCGCCTTCGCGGCCCCTGCTCCCCCGAACCTCCGCTCAACAAGTACGACAACGACCACTACTATCACAAACACAACCCTGAATAAGCCTACTACACACATCGGAACTCCTAAATTTGCACACATCCCTATCTCCATTCCTGATCAGCGTAAGTTACTCCAATTCAACGATCCAAAGTCCACACTAACAGTCACAGGTCCCCCACATCAATTCAGCCCCAACATCCACCCAATCTACACCCCAACTGTCCGTCCCGATGCCAGAACTGAGCCCGGCCGGAACCCACTATTCTCGCGCAGTCGGCGCGAGGACAAGATAAAGCGCGATGACGCCCAGATCCCAGCACTTGCCGCGGCAATACGCGGCGTCGCAGAGAGTCTCAAAAAAAGGCAGCAACAGCAGGAGCATCAAAATACACGACGTGCCGATCTCCCAAATTACCTTCTTCCTGACAATATTCAAACCAGCTACCACCCCGCTGGCTGGCAAGCTGATCCGGAGGAAGTGCTTAACAACCGCGCGGTGGATAACGAGATCTATGTTTCGGAGGATGCTCTTTATGCGTCTGAGCATCCTTTTCAGCGGAACGAACAGCGCGGGGTGGATGTGGATGAGGGCCTTGTCGCGTCTTATAAACATCTTGCTACGGAGGCCAAGAGTGAGGTTGATGCTAGAGGGCTTCCTTTGCAGCAGAGGGGGATTGATGAGGTTGATGATGATGATGAAAAGGAGGAGGAAGAGGAGGAGGAGGAGGGGGAATACAATACCGTTGAGGATGGGTATATGAGCGGCAATGTGCGACGCGATGATGGCTATGATGGTGAGATACAGGATTATTGATGTTATGGGCCAAGATATGCCAGTGCCGGATTATAACTAGTCGGTGATGACAAGGTCAATACGACATGGATGGATTATGGCATTACAGGCGATATGGAGTTCGGGTTGGGTTTCTGTACTAAAATTAGCGCTTTCTTGTTGTTTGATTTAATCGAACCGAATTAACGAATATTTTCTTTCATCTATATTCTATGTAGGCTCCCATGGGTATACGGGGACAAAGTACTTAAATCAAATGCGAATTTGCTTAACACATAGATGAGCAGTCAGAGACAGGGCAAAGATACCCAAAGCACGAGAAAAATTAAATGGTATTCCGTGTTGTTCTAAATGACTATTAGCGGCTGGTACACGAACATCTGGGCTTCATACCTGTTTGTCCGTTCTCATGGGCGGGTAACATACTTTTTATATTCGACCTTATATCCGTTGTCCAACCTAGCGTCATACTTCTGGACGAAGGTCATCGAAGAATAACTTGGAAAGAGCCATTGTTATTGCGAACGAAATTCAACGCGATAGCTTTCATCAGATGATGGAAGGTGTATCTCTCTTAACAGTCTTCCGCATCAAAGATACTGCTCCGCTGCCTCTCCGGATGTATCTTCTGCATTTCCAAGAATGAAATGATGTAGTCAACGGAAATATGGTAGACATCAGTAGGAGTGTAGTTGTTTACGTTGCTTGTCGGATTAATTCGTCCAATTTCTGAGTCAATAATGGCCCTTCAATTGACAAATTCCCGGCTCCATCCAGGCGCAGACTTCCATTATGGTCAAATTTGAGCTTCCAGGGTTCCAGTAAAATAGCCGCCATTTCACCATATAGTATCGCCAGCGTCTTTTTATCAATATCCGGGCTAAGAATAAGCTACTTGTCATCATCTTCTGTCTTCACCACGCGGAGGATTTGTGATATCGGAACCCCTTAACCCAATTAATGATAATAAACGGCCCAAGGCCACTTGGGTTATCCTCTGCCTTCCCATTAGCAATAACTTGTGGCACCTGGGATATTGGTATTCTCTGCAATATACCTCATAAAAGCCACCTCATCCAGCACTTTCTCATCTAAAAAAATGGACTTTCCAGGAATAGGGAACCGAACCAGCCAATCTTCCCTCATGCCGTCCCAATAAAGGAGAAGGCTGAAATTGAAAGAATCAGCGTGTGAAGAGCGATGATTGCAATCGTCACATTTCCGGTATTTATTCGCCAGCTCGGAGTTTCCCTCGTAGTCCTATTGCCTCTGCATATTGCAACGTTTGTCTGCGGAAACCAATGTCGTCGAGTTCCATTGACTTGAGAATTAAGCACCAGTGGAGATAGTACCTTTCGGGACACAAGGATATTGAAAGCAAGCAGCTGGTAGTTAGCCGATACGGTGAAAAACTGATTGGAGGAACGAAGGAGATGGAAAAAGAGTGAAATTCCACCAAAGGCAGTAGCCAGAACAAACAAATAAACAGTAGCCAACACACCAATCACAGTATTTGACGCCAATATAACCCTCGAGGCGAAGAGAATAAATGCTATAACTAAATCGCCAATTAAAAAACAATAATGAAATTGATCCGAAGTGCAGTCACACAATGTGTTCCATTCTAGAAGATTCGCTCAAAGACAGGCACTGCCCCTTTAGCAACAAATGATAAAGGCACAGTTATCTCAATCCTGTTGAAAAGATTAACCTCCCTCTAAGCACAAAATCGTCAAAAGTTGAAGGAGGCAACTAACATGAAGATCGACTCTCCGGGGCAGGAGATGCTCGAGCGCTGCTCCCGTCCTTGAGTCTGTTCCTCTTTGTAGCACATCCAGCCTTGGACAGAAGTTCCATATTTGATTGATCTGATAAGCCATCGGTTATGGCAGCACGGTCCCGAGGGTCGATTTCTTTCGGTTTATCGTCATGCTCGACCGACTGCCTGGGAATTTGGTTGGCTTGCTGATTTAAGCTCATTGGAAGACTCTAAACGAGTTGAGGATATGCTGATATGCCTTGAATCGAATAGCAATAGGTGGAAGACCTGAAGACTGTAAGCGCCGTGGCATATTCGCTACTTATAACACTTAATTACACTTACCGTCCACTTTTGCATATGCCAGATAAATTATCTCAGGAATTCTAAACCTCTTCGCTGGCCATGATTGCCTCGTTATCTGCTAATAATTGGTAATTTTTGTATCAGTCTAGCCGGGTCATTGCTGGCCGTGAATGTAGGAGGCGCTAATCTACCCTGACTTGTTGTACATGCGTCAGTCGTACAGTGCTCAACTTGTGTTACTAGCAAATATGCAGGAACCAGTCAGCCACATGCTCGCTGTGTTTTCCTGGAATTGCAGAGTTGAATACCTGAGGTATGTATTGTCCAGGTCGGTGGGTCTAACCTTAATAGGAATAATCTATGGAAAGCTCCACTTCCGCATCATGGGGATCCACTATTCCTAAAGAGGAATGACAGTTCGCATTCGACGTCCTGGTATGCATAATCCTGTTAATGTTGGTGGACGTTGTATCATATTCACCTCATTAAGCTATTCAGATCTCTTTCTATGGCCTAGCGGTATGTATGGGTTCCACTGATTTCCCGAATAAGTACTATGAAGCTACAATGACCTCAGAACTTTGAGCTTCCTGCATCCAAACAACTTGGGTAGTTCCAGACCTTGCGACCAAGGGCCAATCTGGGGTTAGCTTAGGCATTATGCGGGGTTTTCTATGACATTTTCCAAACTATAATCAGTTGCCAGCGAACGTCAGCCCATGCTCACTCAACCTATAAGTATGGCCCCCCTTAAGGACACTGCTACCTCCCGTTATGATCAATTCATTCTAATTAAACGCATGTTATAACTCACAAAATGACCTCCGTCTCAATTCCCAAGGGAACAATCAAGCTCTCCGGGCTCCTCTTCAAGCCCTCCAAACCCTTCACCCCCAAGACCCCCGCCCTAATCATTGTCCATCCGGGCGGCGGCGTCAAAGAACAAACAGCAAGCACCTATGCCAAAAAGCTCTCTGAAGGACACGGCGTCACAACAGTTGCCTTTGATGCCTCCCATCAAGGTGCCAGCGAGGGCGAGCCCCGCTTCCTCGAAGACCCAAATGCTCGAGTCAGCGATATCTGGAGTGTTGTCGATTACCTCGAGCGCCTTGACACGGTTGATCCAGGGAAAATTGGTATAGTGGGTATCTGTGCTGGAGGTGGGTATGCCGTTGCAGCCGCAAAGGCCGATCACCGGATAAAGTGTGTTGCGACGGTTAGTTTGGTGAACATTGGTGACTCAGGGAGATATGGATGGTATGGACAGGATGCACCCGCGAAGCAGCGTGATATCATTGTAAAGGCTGCAAAGCAGATCAGTGCTGAGGGTAAGGGAGCTGAGTATGAGGTTGTGCCTTATGTGCCATCGAAGCTGGAGGATAGTACGCCTGTCGATCTAAGGGAAGCGCATGAATATTATCTTACGAAGAGGGGACAGCATCCGCGTGCACAAAATAAGATGCTTTTGCGGAGTGTGCCGCGGATTTTGACTTTTGATGCGTTTAGTCTGGCTGACTTGTACTTGAAGCAGCCTGTGTTGTTGATCGCGGGGGAAAAGGCTGGGTCAAGATGGCATACTGAAAAGTTGGATGAGTTGATTTCCTATGTTACTGAGAAAGTCATCGTGCCCGAGGCGAGGCATGTGGACTTTTATGATCAGGATGAGTTTGTTGATCCGGCTGTGTTAAAGGTCGCCCAGTTTATGAAAGCCAGACTTGTTTGATTTGGTATCTGTATACTAGCAAGAATCACGAGCGATCATTCCTTGCGATACATGATATCCGTTCTCATCGTATACTTAACCCCCTGAAAGACAGAATCTCCACTGTGCAGCAGATCTCTATGCTGGAACACCAACACCGACCCAGCCTTGGGAAACACTCGAACCTGCACATCCTGCTGCTCATACCGAGGGAAAAATGAGGTCGCACCGCCCAGAAGCTTCCCATTAATGTCCCGGTTAAACGCACCGTCTCCTTTTTCCTTCCATAAGCTCGCGACCCTCTCCTCCTCCTTCCTCAACTCCTCGAGATCCTGCTCCCCCTCCCCATTCAAATAAAGATGAATCGTATAAAACGACCTCTCCTTCCCATCAGGCGTCTTATACATCGCATCCCAATGCGGACGAAAGTACTCCCCGCCCTCATATCTTAAAAACCGCAACCGCTCATTCAGCCTCGAAAGTCTGTACACTGTCCCTTGTTTCACAAACAGTTTGTCCTCGACCCGGTCAATTCCGAGTCCCTGCAAAAACGGCATTATTCTGTTCACCAGTTTATCGGCCAGTTCGGGGCTGTCGAACAGGATTCGGCCGCAATTTCGCGTGTCTGTTGCTAGTGTTTGTTTGCCGTTGCCTGCGTTGATCATCGCGCGTGCCCATGTTGGTGTTGCAGAAGTGTCATTGGGAGGTAAGGTCGATGCTTCTGCGAGCCGGATGAGCTCATTGCATTCTGCTTCGGTGAGAATGTTGTCGATGACAGCGGCGAAGGAATTGGCGAAGGTGGGGATTGGAGGGTTGGTGGTTGTAAAGTCGATGATGTGGGCTGAGGCGTTTGGAGGGGCCTCAGGAGGGAGAAAATTGTCCATTTTGGATCTATTTTTGTTGAATGCAAGTTGTAGAGTGGTAGAAGTTGCCTAATATAGTACTTGATGAGGCTCAAGTCAGCTGACAGTTGGCAATGAATCATAACATGTAGGTCGTATTTGAGTGGATGTAATTGGTCGGGAGATCCGAATATTTTCCATATCAGGATACAGCATGTCAAGTCCAAATGGAACATACATTCTTGCAGAACCCTTTTTTGGACAGGACTGCGTTGTACAGAATAACGATTCACTATTACAGGCAACCACAGCTTGAGCCACAATGTTCACCTACCATATAGATATCCACACCTTCCACCCACCAAGGAATTATTGATCGTGCATCCACGATAGCCAACATGCATTTCTCGAATCTGCCAGTTGCCATATAATTTGCCATCGCCGAGCAGGTCGGTGAGGAATCGGGCATCAATGTCCTGAGTCATTCAAGCCGCTGCCTCCATCAGATCTTGAATCCGTTCCTGTATCAGTACAATATCCGTTACTACAATGGCTGGGGCATGTGCAGGGCAATCCACCTAGACTGCGAAGCTGCACTGTTGAAGTTTATTGCTCACTGAGCCGATGTGTGGACATTAGAGTGGGTAGATAAACCTTTCGACCGGAGGCATGGCGAATACCCAGACTCGGAAGACGACGACGGCGGCGGTGACGACAATAATCGCCTACCGTCACCCAAGTGGCCGGACCGTTGGCTCAGTAGTCCAGAGCCGGACAGTACGCGACAACAACAACCTCAGGAAAAGCTCCCTCCGCCGTATCGGATTAACCCCGGCCGGCTTATGATTGCATGGATTAAGGGAGACTTTTCCCAGTAACTGCGATCATGCAAACCGCACCGACAGAGATACTTTAGAAAGGGGTCTGGGTTAATCTGTGGACGAGCCAGTAAAAATTTCACCACCTCGGTGTGCCCATATATTGAGCAATCAGTGACAAGGAAAGCTGATAGTGTATGCCATGAGCATTCACTGAGACAGTGCCTATATTGAGTCAAGGCCCACCATCTCTCAATAGCGATGCCATGCTGCCTGTATCAGCAGTGTTTGTTCAATCCAATCTCTGGCGCCTGGGTGAGCTCCGTGTGTGACGGCTTGGTTATTTTGGCTGGCTACCACGTGAGATGCAGTTGTTTGCTTCATTGATGAATATGGCGTTGCCTCCTTTCTTTCTTCCTTCGTCATGTCAATTATTCTCGTCTATAGCTACCTAGCTAGAACCCATGAGAAGGATGTCCCATTACTCTAGCTGAGTTCCGTGACACCGTGCGCGAGAGAATCTTCATAACACTCGCTTCACTCACAAGAATACGGCCACACTCACGAGCGCAGCGAATGAGATTGGCAAAAACAGAAACTTAAGTCGGTGATATATTGGCAGGGAATCCGTAGAAACCGCAGCCAGACTTCCACCCTCGGGTATAGACACAATTGCTCACCCAGAGCCTGCAAATACATTTGCTTCTTTTAGCTACACACCACTGCGTCTTGGCATAACATCATAGGAGCCACAATGCTGTGGCTGAGCAAACAGACTGCCTATTTTAGGAGGGGCAACAGAAATATATTTTCATACAAAACAAACACTCTTCTATCATTCTATTTTTCAACTTTACTGGTTTCATTCTCATAATCTAGAAAAATGACACCAATCACAGTCAACGTCACAGGCTCCTCCACCATCCATCAACCTCCAGAACAAGCCGTATTGTTCTATCACGTTCAATCCGAGGGTTCATCGTCAGACACTGTCTCCAAAGAAGTCACAGCTGCCTCCAACCAGCTACAACAAATATTCAAAGATCTAAAATCAGACTCACTATCCCCAGCCCCAGTGGCAGCATTCTCAACCAGTTCCCTCCGAAGCTGGTCTGGGCGACCCCGAGACCGAGACGGAAACCCTGGTGAACGAGTTCATTACGCCCAGCTGCGGTCCGAAGCTACATTTCGTGAGTTTAAAAAACTAGGCGAAGTGGCTGGTCGGCTCGCAGCATATCCAAATGTTGCCATCTCCAACATTGATTGGCGACTAACGGACGAGACCAAACAAGAGCTCGGGTCCAAAACGAGAAAATTGGCAATGAAAGATGCCATTCAGAAAGCATCTGACTATGCTGAGGTCATTGGGCGAGAGGTGAATCCGGTTGAGATTACGGATATGGAATCTCCAGGGTTGCACTCGCCGAGGTATATGACGGCCATGGCGGCGTGTCCTATGGAGGATGAACGCGAGGAATTGGATCTTACGCCACAGGATGTTGAATTGACTAGTTCCATTCAGGTCAATTTTCGTGGAGAGTAAACAAATTAAGGGGCATTCATTTGGAGTGCTTCACTGCTATCTGCATAAATATTCATGCGTATTCTTGCTTCTGAGCAAAAACAAATCGGTGCATCATATCTCTTTAAATGCTATCGTTTGGCAGCAATATGTTAAGAACTGTGTGTATATAGATGGTTACATGAAGACACGCTGTAATCATCTATCCATTTGGTACACAGGAATGATGTATGCTCTTCTTGCAAACATGCTTTGTTTAGTTATCTATTAAACATGGCCGGCTATCTTTCACGTTCCTTTTGCTATCACTTATACAATAACGTCTCCAAAACCGCTACCCTGAGGAATACTGCACTCTTTTACCGCCTCTGTCGTCTAATTTCCGTACCTTAGGGGCTGTGCCGCTGCTTTTAACGGTAGATTGTCCGTCCGTAGGCGAATGCCCACTAGCGAACCCCGGCTTTTGTATGTTTTTATTGTTCAATTTCTTTTTAACAGGATATCAATCTATATTTCCTTTTACAAAGGAATATTATGTAGTTGGCTTTTCTTTTCTTCTTATTTGCCGGAGATTTATCACAACTTTCGAGTCTCGGTCTGACCATTCTATCGCATCTTAGCCATTGAAGTAAGACTGAATCGTCCCGCCAAGGCTGACATTAGCCCAGATCTCCCCCGACCAGAGCAACGAATTCTTCTTAATCCTCCGGAATCCAATCAAACACTATCATTTCCGATAATCAGTTACCTCCAGCAATGCTTTGATCCCCCGGCAGATAGAGAACCTCATCACCATGTTGACCCTCGTTATCAACCCAGTATACCCAGAGTTCGAAGACAGACCACTCCCTTTGAGATTGTATGACGAATTAGATAGGAAAGAGAACCTCTGGCTTAATCCCAGATTGAAGGCTTTAGTGAAAGGAGATCTGACCCATAGCCAGGCGGCCATCAAGTTCGATACTATGCTAACAGAGGACACTAACCGAAAATATGATAAACTGATAAAACGGGCAGACCCGCGCAACCTCACGCCAGAAGAAGGACAAGGCGCCAACATGTACATAATCATGCCACATCCAAGGATTCATATTGGGCCGATTTTTTCATCATTTGCCCGGCTGTGATCGACATGTCCGTCCTATCACGAAGGGCAAAACCGCATTGTTGGACTCCTTCTGGCACTATGATCGCTTCCACGCCATGAAATCTTCAAAGACCTGCCCTGGAAGACCCTAATGAGCCTTAGTTCTCAAGGCCGCGAGAAAGGGCTACACCAATATCCTCCAACTCCTGCTTGAGAGGCGCGGATCCGGAAATCAGAAACAAAAGAGGCAAGACACCTTTGGATGTGGCACGATCAGAAGAGAATGATGGAGTGGTCAATCATTTGGGGGGCTGTTGCTTAAAGATGGGTGCTAGCAATATATGGCTCAGTTGTCTGTACAAAGGAGCTACCATATGGAAGTAATAATAGGAACATAGGGCAACACATGGAAATTCTATATTCTATATTGGTCTTCAAGAAAACAAAAAAGTCGTGAAATCAGGACAATGAATATTTTGAATACATTGTAATCAACAAACAAGTAATTTGGTTCACTGAATCATGTACTAATTCGCTCTCATTCACTGTCAGTCTTTATACTAGACCTCCGCACCCAACTCACCTTCCTCCACAACGACCAAACGACACAATGTACCCCAGAAAAGACTCCAACCCTGGCACCTCCATGTTCAGCCTCCTCAACGACTCCTACGTCAACCAAATCCGCACTAAATACGCCGAAGAACGTCTCCGCCGTCTCAATCCCAAGGAAAACGCCCAATACTCCGACCCCGACCCCCACTTCGAAACAGAAACAGAATCTTACGCAAGCATCGACGATGACGACTTCCCAGCCTGCGAAGAATACAAGCATGACACTGACAACGTGTCTGAGATTGACCACCAACGCATCATCATCGTGGGTGCTGGGTTTGGGGGCTTGCTGAATGCCGTGAGACTGCTGCAGACGGGGAATTTTGGACCTAAGGATATTTTGTTTCTGGATGCGGCTTCGGGGTTTGGCGGGACGTGGTGTTGGAATGAGTATCCGGGGTTGATGTGTGATATTGAGAGCTATATCTACATGCCTCTGTTGGAAGAGACGGGGTACATGCCCTCTCACAAGTATGTGTCGGGTGTTGAGATCAAGGAGCATGTTTATCGGATTGTTCGCATGTATGGTCTCTACCATCGTGCCTTGTTGTGTACAAGTGTGAACAGTCTGGTCTGGGATGAGGATGAGATGAACTGGACTGTCAAGGCCGTCCAACACCGTCACCAGGGCATCTTCCCCTTGACCTTCACAGCCGACTTTGTTATCCTAACCGCGAACCCGGTGAGTATTCCCAAGCTACCCAATATCGATGGTATTTCGGACTTTCAGGGTAAAAAATTTCACATGGAGCGTTGGGATTACAAAGTCACTGGCGGCTCCGCAGATCTTCCTGTCCTACAGAAGCTGCGCGACAAGAAAGTTGCTATCATTGGTACAGGTGCGACTGCTGTGCAGGTTGTTCCTCATCTCGCAGAGTGGTCTCAGAAGCTGTACGTTTTCCAGCGCACGCCCTCTGCTGTGGACCGACGTGATAATTGTCCGACGGATGCCCAATGGTGGGCGGAGACTGTCTCGCAGGGGCCTGGCTGGCAGACAAAGCGCATGGAAAACTTCAACGACTTCGTCAGCAATGCGCCCAACCTGCCTGACGTCGACCTTGTGAACGATGAATGGAGCCGCGCTCATTCGTACAGCGCTCTATTCGGAGGCCCCCAGAACCGGAACCCAGGCTACCTGAAAGAAATGGAAATGGTGGATCTCCTCCGTCAGGACAAAATCCGCAACCGCGTCTCCCAAGTCGTCGAGCGCAAGAAAACAGCAGACCTCCTGAAACCCTGGTACTCCGGCTGGTGCAAGCGGCCCTGCTTTCATGACGAATACCTCCAAGCCTTCAACAACCCGAACGTGGAGCTCATCGACACCAACGGCAAAGGCGTCGTCTGTGTCACTCAGAAAGGTGTAGTCACTAATCAAATCGAATATGAAGTCGACGTGCTCATCTTCGCGACGGGAAACAACGTCACTGACCGAAAAACCCCTGATGCTCGCTCGGATATGTTTATTTCAGGACGTGGCCAGAAGTCGATGCGCATGGCTTGGAGGGATGGCGTCGCAACGCTGCACGGATTGACGACGCGCGGTTTTCCGAACCTTTTCTTTCCTGGTCCGAACCAAGCCGGCATCACAGCAAACTATACCTACTTTCTCGATCAGATGGCGCAGCATGTTGCCTACATTATCTCGAGCGCTACTAAGGAGCAAGGTCCGTATAAGGTCACGGTCGAACCATCTATTGAGGGTCAAGAGGCGTGGTCTAGGGAGGTTATGATGCGTGCCGATGGTCTGGCTGGGATGGCCAACTGTGCACCTGGATACTTTAATATGGAGGAAGACTTTGATCAGTCCAAGGTTCCAGAGGAGGTGCTCAAGGCGGCGCGAGCGAAGCACTGGGGCGAAGGAGTGATGGACTGGGTGAAGATTCTTGAGGACTGGCGGGAGAAGGGAGGAATGAAGGGGTTGGAGGTAAAAAGATTGAAAAAGATTATCACCAATGAGTGAGCTCGTAACGCCTAATATGTCACTGATAAGGTAGTGTCAATGCACGACTTGTTCTATTTCTGATCCGAAGTATGTCGTGCATATGCATTGCATGCATTAGTGCTTATTGCTTTATAAAGGGAATTATAGCCTAATTCCATCAACAAGGCCGGCTGGCCCAATGGTAAGGCGCTTGACTACGAATCAAGAGATTGCAGGTTCGACCCCTGCGTCGGTCATTTTTTTTGCTTATTTTTTTTTTTGCTTTTTTGCTTTCTTTTTTCCGCTCTACCGTGGACAATTACTCAACTGAACTAAATTCAACCTCCCAAATCCCAGCACAATAGAATTTTCCCAATGACACAAGAATATCATCATAGCCCCCTCTTTTTTGTCCCCCAACGGCATCGGTCCCCAACTCCTCCGCCCTACGGAACATCGGGCACCTGAGCCCCCGTCGCCGCATGCAACACATATGTAACCCCTAGTCCCCTGCGTCCCCGAACCAATTAAAGAAGATCTCACCTCTCTCAAAGAACAAAAAGCAAACACCTACTTTATCCCACATATAGCCTAGAGCAAATCACAACTATGAGCGAGTATCCGACAGCAGTGCGCGTGGCGCAAGCCGTCGGCATCAGTGGGTCCATTTGGCTTTCCGGTATGTGCATAACGCTTATTATGACTTCAACCTGCAACCTATGACCGACCGGATACGATGCAACATGAGATGATGTGATGGCTGACGCATGCTTCAGGAAATATCTGTGGTCTCTCAGCCATCGCCATGCCCGTATTCTTCCGCTCCAGACGAGAGGGCGGGGAGAAAGATGATATCCTGCAGACCAAGCTAGCGCGGCAGTGGCAATACTTCTACGACCACGGACACGCGCAGAACCCACCCATCGCTGCTGTTACTGCATGTGCTTATGCGTATCTGGGCTGGGCAGTTGGTTCGCGGAGCGAGTTATTTTCTCGGCTTGCCGGGGCGAACACGGGACTTTTCTATCGGATCGCGGGGTTCTTGACGGTGGGGATTGTGCCGTGGACATTGGGTTTTATGATGCCAACGAATTATAAGCTCATGGAGATAGCGCAGGGTTTGGAGGGGAAGGAGGTTAGTGATGAGGAATTTGATGGGTTGTTGGGTTACTGGCAGGTAACTAATGCGATTCGGGGGTTGTTTCCGCTTGCTGGGGGGCTTTTGGGACTTTTGACTGCGTTGTTATAATAGGATTGACAGTGATTGATAATTCTATCTCTCCATAATTACTCTACGATACATAAGAATCGAACCAACAGAGCTAAACCAACTCATAGCAGTATCACGCTGCACACCAGGAGTTGGACCGGGCCCGACGAACAGCTCTGGGTGGTACAGCCGGGTTGCAATGATCCTAGTCGCCAAGGTTCCTATCTTCTCAGCCATCTACATTTACTACAACATTCTCATAAAGGGAAACGACCTCTTGATGTATACCCAACGAGTTTGATCCCGTGTTGACCATCCGCCGACAAAGAGACCTGATTCCCTTGATCTTGGCCCTTATTCTTGGAGTAATTCCAACAGGACAACACATGAACTTTGGCCATGATATTGAACATGTTATTCATCCGGCAGTCGGCCCTGGGACTGTTGCGGCTTTCGCAGGTTATCCACTGCAGGCCATGCGCTTTCTTGAATATTCCCGCCCAGTTCTCAATGTCAACTCCCCTGCTCTATATGTGCATCTGTGATGGAACATCCGCAATGGCATTGCTCCCATGGACAATGGTATCCCCCGATATTCACAGCTGTCTTAGCTGTGTCAGTTTGCGGTATTTCCGCCCAATCGTTCATGAAACCGGGTAGTCCAGGGGCTAAGCAATTCTGGCTGCCCTACTTAAATATAGACCGCAGTGGTAGCCGACTGGATGCAGCAGGACAGAGCTTTGGCCATTATAGCAGCGAACTATGATGCCGACTATGATTAAGGTCAGTATGATTTCTTAAGGAGAAAATGGCATTTTGGGTCGGAGCTGACATTGAAAATGCACTTTGCCATAATTACTTCTTAGCAAGGAGAAGCATAAACAAGATGTAGGAAGTTTGTTAAACTTGATCTCTTAGTCGTTAAAGACAGCTGTATTATAGGTCGGATTGGAGTCGAAGTTTTAATTCGCAAACGAATTTATATCGACAGAGAAACATCTTGTCGTTTCGGTATGAGCATGGTGCAATTGGCAGCCTGATATCATGATATTCGAGGTTTGAAGGCAATTGGGTGAACAAAAGAGAAAAAGAGAGGGGTTGCAAGAAGTGAACTAGAAAAGGAAAGTGATGGTTCACACGTGATACATCCATATCCGGTTAGCGCATCCCCACGTTCTGAGGTCATCCAAGATGGTCAACATCTTCATCGCAGCAGCTGATGGTGATGGCCACCGTGCGACGACTGCAGATATTGTTCAGGAATAGGCAGCAGTGCTTTAGGCCCGTTATTAAAGCACGCAACTACACATCCACAGCCAAAGACACCGCATATTCGTTTCCATCGTTTGCCAGCGGAGCCAACGATGAAGTCGCCCGTCTCGCGGCCACTAGGCGTCGGCCATTGACACTAGCAGACCTTCTCAAGTGAGTGACGGAGAAATGTGATTCTATATAGCTGGCTGACTGTTTAGGCACGGACGTCCGCCGTTGTCAGAAGATGCGCTTCTCAGTTCGGCAAATTTCACCCTTTCCCTCCTACCTGCTCGATTGGCGTCTCGGATCCAGGCCTTACGAAATCTCCCCTTCATCGTTGTGTCGAATCCTCATGTAACCAAGATCTATAACAACTACCTGCATTCGTTGTCGACCCTCCTTCCGTACCAGCAGCGGCAAATCACGACCCTAGAAGAAGAGAAACAATTCGCAGACGTACTGGCAGATCTCGTACATACGCATACGAATACAATCCCAATTCTCGCACGCGGGTTCCTCGAATGCAGAAAATATATCGATCCAGCAGAGGTGACGCGATTTTTGGATACTCATCTACGCGCACGGATCGGCACTCGGTTGATTGCGGAGCAGCACCTGGCTTTCAATTTCGCCTCGCAGCCAGCCAAAGATAGCAGCCCAGCACCGAAGGATTCGGTTCCTTCTAACTACGTTGGTGTGATTGACTCGACATTGCAACCGGCACGTATCATCAAATACTGTGAGGATTTTGTGGGCGAGATATGCGAGTTGAAGTATGGCGTACGCCCGGAAGTGGTGATCGGCGGAAAGCCGGACGCTTCGTTTGCATATGTTCCCGTGCATATGGAGTACATCATCACAGAACTGTTAAAGAATTCGTTTAGGGCTGTAATCGAGAATGGCCAAGAACACGCACCTATTGAGGTGACTATTGCGCCTGCGCCGGATGTCCCTGGAAATTACGTTCACGAAGCCTACGACAAACATACCCAAGAACCCCGCGAGTTACAAAACGACACTGACGTGGGATTCAAGGTCGATACAGTCGTTGGTACAGCGGATGCCAACGAATCAGTCCGGCATTCAAGCCCTTCCTCGCAGAGCATCACAATCAGAATCCGTGATCGAGGCGGTGGAATCCCCCCAGAGGTTCTGCCAAACATTTGGTCCTACAGCTTTACCACGTTCTCCGATCTTGATCCCCAAGGCTCGGAGAATGGAAATGTTGATGCACTCAATACCATCTCTGCCAGCAGTGGACATCTGAGTAGCATCGCCGGATTAGGGTATGGGTTGCCTCTGAGCAGAGCATATGCAGAGTACTTTGGAGGTAGCATTGCTATTCAAAGTCTTTGGGGATGGGGGACTGATGTTTACTTGACCTTGCAAGGCGTTGGAAAGATGGGTTGACCATGTTATTTGTGGCGTTGCTGATTTGCATAGTGTTTTAATCTTGGATATACTACATGGCAGGAATTAACAAGTCTGCTGGACGGGCTGGATTTACCCTTTCTCATGTTTCTTCATGCTTTTGTAAATTCTGTGACCAGCCTATAACCTCGCCTCCAGCGCATCTCTCGCAAACAAATCGACAAAATCCGAAATTCCCAAATCATCCATCTTGACAGCCTCAAGAATCCCCTCAATCTCCTCATCCGAAAACAAACCCCTCATATTCCTCCCAAACTTCTCCCTCACAGCATCCCCCGTGGCCGGATTCTTCACATGTCCAATCGGATACTCCACCAACACCTCATTCAACACACTCCCATTTCTCAAATACACAGTCAAACTCGCCCCAATACTCCTTTTCTCCAAATTCAAGTAATCCCTCGTAAGCCCCTCATCCGCCCTAACCTCAATCCTCCCACGCAAAGAATCAACCACCGCACTCGTTGCCCAATAACTCCCATCTGCATAATCCGCCACCTCCGGCGCAGCGCCCTTCAAAAGCGCAACAGCAATGACAAACTGAATACAATGGTCCCGATCCGCCGCATTCCTCAAAACACCCTTCTTATTAATAATCAAATCCGCCGCAGCAGTAGCCCTCACCTCAACCCTAACAACATCCCCCTCAACACTCAACCCCCTTTCCCTAATTCGCAACCTCTGCGCCAATGCCGCCTCCACAGCAGCAATCCCATGCCCTTCAACAGGCATCACCTTAAACAACACATTCTGCACCACCCAATCCCTAAACCCCTCCATCACAAACCCCTGGTTACCAAACGTCCTCTCCAAAAACCCATATGGAACAGCACTCAACGCTCCGCCCGCACCCACCTGTCCTGCCCTCACAAGCAACGCAAGATGCACAGCCCTCATGCACGCATCGCCCGCCGCCCAACCTTTTCTCGGGATCGTATTAGACCCAGACCGATAAACGCGACTCGGATGCCCGTCCATCCACACATGCGAGATTGTAGCCATTGCTTGCGTCTCCGAGAGACCGAGGAGCCATGAGCATACAGCGGCGGAGGCGAGTTTGACGAGGATAACGTGGTCGATGCCGTGGGCGTTGAAGGCGTTATGGAGTTGGTGGATGCCTTGGATTTCGTAGGCTTTTGTTATTGCGATCAATAAGGTTTGGAGGGTTAGGGGTGGGCCGGTGTGTTTGCTGGTTTTGGTGGTTCGGGAGAGCCAGTCCGAGACGGATAGGATAGCGGCGATGTTATCTACCACACACACACCATCAGCCATAACCAACCTTCGATGCAGCGCAACCCAAATACAGGGAAAGTACCAGAAGGATGTCCCCACTCCCTCCCCCACAACGCATCATTATAATCCAAATACCGAATCAACACGCCCATATCAAACGCCCCCTTCACCGGATCCAACCGATATCTCGTCCCGGGTAGTCTGAACCCATCCGGCACAACCGTTCCATCGACAATAGGTCCAACGAGTTCACGAGCCTCTGCACTGCTGGAGATTGTTTGGATGGCGCAGCCTAGGGTGTCCAGGAGGGCGGTTCGGGCTGCGGAGAGGGCGGATTTGGTGGTGGGGGAGGAGGGGTCGAGGGGTTGGTTGTAGATGTAGTTTGTTACGTCGATTATGGGTTGGTCGTAGTGGGTCATTGTGGTGGTATCTTTGCTTGCTTTGAGGGAGATTTGTTGGGTTGAATTCGGTTTATATTCATTTTATGGTAGACAGAACGGAGTATGTGTCCGAGGTGGTCATACATGTCTAACGGTACTATATCGACTGCAACCCAGTGTTATCACATACAGTTAATCATTATATTGAGGATATCATGAAGTATATATAGATACAAGCAAGAAATTTCCGTGCAATAATTCAAAATCCACCAGCACCCCTCACTCTCTGCACCGCCCCAACAATCCCCTTGGCCCAGCTGAATCTTCCGGGGTTGATCCCAATAGAGCCCTTGGGAAGCTTCCCGGTCTCAGGATCGTGCCAGCATCCATCTTCGCTGCTTACCGCGCCATACAAAGCAGTGTTCTGGTTTCTATTGATAGTGTCGAGCCACGAGCGGCAGACTGTGGGTGAATCATAGAGTATGTTGATTTCTTGGCTGTGGTAGAAAGATTGAGTGTCGAGGTTGCCGTTTCCTGTGCATTGTTAGCTATATGAACATTAAGATAGACGGGACAACATGCATACCCTGAATGGCCACGCTCTCATCAATGATCATGAGCTTGATGTGACAACTCCGGCGCTTGAAGCAGTTATGGATTGGTTTCGTCTGATCCTTGCCAATATAATCAAATATCCGTAGCCTGGATCGCTCTTCGTCTGTATGGAGAGACTTGTATAGTCGGCTTGAAATCATCTCGTTTGTTCCGTTCTGGAGAGGAAGAAGCTGGCCTGCATCGTTGTATCCCAGACAGAGGTAGCAGTTTACGATGACACCACGCCGGACTGCATCCAGAAGAGGCTCGAGGATTGGCTCTGCGTTCATGTTGGGTGTCTGGATAAAAATGGAATGCTTTGCGTGTTTAATGGCGGAGAGGAAGGCCGAATTTTGGGGGGTATAGATGCTGCTGTGGTTAGGAGCTGGACTGCTGTTAGTCTTATTCTGAGAATGGGGAATAAATTTCTACTTACATCCCCATGGCTCTCGATTGACAAGTGCCATTGGAAATGGTTCATGCGGTGGCGACAGAACGTAGGGCTTCATCCGGAGATCTTGGTCACTGTTCGGGGCATCTCCTGTAGTTCTAGGCTGGAGCGTCGTGTCTGTCTAGGTCAGATGTGCTTTCTAGTTGGTAATAGGCTGTTGACGTACTGAGATGACGAGTTACTGCTTCAGTCTGTGACATTCCGGGTAAGGGCTCAAGGCTTCCATTGACTCTCTGCGTCTCTTGCTGCATGTCGACATCGTAATGAGGGTGGTCTGCAGTGAGTTGCGGTGGTGAAGCCTCTGCTCCACTACCATCTGAAGAGCTCTCGGGCTCACTCGCTGACCACTCCCAAGCAGGTGTTGAACTGGCAGGTGACGTGAGCAATGGAAGAGGCTCTCCCAATAGCCGACCCCACGACACCAGTGCACTATCGTAGAGCGAGTCAACAATTGGTCCCTCAACACGGACCATCATCTCGAGGTTATCGTTGTCCTGGATATTATTACTCTGAAGCAAAGCAATTCTCCGATCGACAATCATGAATTTCGCGTGGAAGGTACCGAATATGGGCCGGTGGTAATTGACGACCTGAAGGTCGACATTGGGAATCTCCTCTGGAGACGGCAATTTGACCTGTCCACCAGCATATCGCTTCTCGTTGACCAGGAGATGATTCTGGAATATCTGTCGCGGATCTCCCCGATCGTATAACATCTTGACAACCACCTTGGTACCGCGCTTTCTGGCCCGTCTCGACAGCTCTCTGAAGGAATTAGTTATCAATGTTGACGCATCCGAATGGATCCAGAAATTGGTCGCCAGGAAAACCTCCGTTTCAGCTCGTACGATGCAATTCGCCATATGTCGACAGATATCGGGTAGAGGTGCTACAATCGTCAAGGGAGCGACTCCGTGGCTACCCATTAGTGGCGGAGAGACGACGCCTGCCATCGGGTTCTTTTCCAACGTACACAGGGCATCGTGATAAATCTGTTTGCCATAAAGTGTTAGCAAGTCGATTGGCATCCTTCATAATTCCTGGTCCGTTGTTCTATGTATGCTTACCTTCAGGAACAGAGTACTAGGCCTTGCAGAGCCCCAACGCCCGCAGGCGTACGCTCTCTGCAGACTGTTCTGGGCATCATGATCTGACTTTTCTCGTGCTGGTGAGTTCGTTTTCCTGCACTTCTGGCCACCAAATAAACGGTGAAAAATCCTAAGCGGGTGTTGAGTTGGATCGCGGGCGAGTTCCGAGGTGACAGTTCGGTCACTGGCGCAGAGACGGCGCACGTTCTCCGGGACCATCTCAGAACACGTTCGATTCTTACTCTTGGCTGGACGAAGCACCAAGAAAACAGTAGCGGCTAGAATAAGGAAAGCGGTGGATTTTAAGAGAAAATAAGGGGCCGTGAAATTGAACAAGTCCCGTGATATGACCGGCATGCCGAGGGATGACGTATGGGCTGTGTAGGGATATCAGTGAGAATCTGAGTAGGATCTGAGTAGAAATTGGATCTGACTAGAGATATAAGTCTCCAATATGCAGGTTGATCATCATCTCGTTTTCTTTCTGCCTAGAAGGATCATGACACAAGTGGGTTTTGTTTGTGTTGTTTGGAGAAAGAGTCTCCAATTCCGGTTATCTTCAGCCCTACAAGGCTGATGTCATTGTGCACGGCACAACTTTATGCACATTCCACATCTCATACATTGTATGGCGGATCTACATGGTTTACAATTTCTGCCAATTATAGAGAGTAAGTCCTATTCGCATACGATAATGTTATTTCTTCATACCTTTTGTCGTGTTTCCAATGAATAATGAAGTCGGATACTGTGATCCTTATTCGACTGTCCTGTCGTGTACCGCTGCTTCAGAAAAAAGGCTATGCTAAGCACCATAACGTAAGTCTAGTATCATGTATTCACCCTGACTCATCCGTCAATAATAAATAGCAACACCTGATGAGTTATCAAAGCCGGACAGAAGATGATAACCCGGATCAAATTGGATAGGGTACTTGCCCTCAACGAGTGGTGTAAGGGTCGACCCGAGAGATCAAAGCACCGAAGCAGACGAGATCCATGTCCTCGCAGAACTTTCTCTAATAGCCAACTGGCCAGAGAAAAGGCTGCACAATTGAGAAGTGGAAGAAAGCTTTCTGTCAACCTATGGGATGAGCTTGAATATCTGTGAAACCCGGAATCTGGTAACGACCGACCGCAGGATCATCCTCCTGCTCAACATCTCAACGAGTATACGGGTCTCGACCGGGTCGCGAAGCCACAACTCTGCTTTTGGGATTTTTACAAATTGACAGAAACTCCTCGAACTGTGGTTGTATGCCCTAATACCCTTTTCACGCCATATTCGGACTTCCTGGATCTTTACGGAGAGACGCTGGATCTCTTTGTGGGCGAAGTGTTGTGAAGGATATCTTAATTGCGTTTTGCTCAAGATAAGAGAAGTAGAATATTAGAATAGGAATTACTTTCGTTTTAGGGATCACCACCGCTTTTCTGTAGACCACAATGTTCATTATCCACTTGTAACTTCGTCTTCAATGGCTGCTCACTGACATAAGGAGCCGGCTCTGACCATCACACGCTGCCACCCCTCGTTCTGGTACTAACAAGTGTTATCTCTCACTTCCATCCCCCTTGTCTGGGCAATCAATGGATGGTACCGGCTTGCTACAGAACTTAGTCATGACACTGAATGTACGATTGGTGGCGCTGGCTAGAGAAATACGTTGATTTCAAGATAAATAATGCCAGTCTCCATCATCAGGCCCAGGATGCAGCGAAATTGAATGTTCTTAACCATATCTGCACACCCGCGGCATAAAGGGTGGTGGCATTTCGTCAGGCGCCTGTTCGATTCCTTCACCTTGGAACATGTCTCTGGAGGTCACCTTTAGATCCTCACGAGAACCATTGTGGCTATACCAGGATAGGTCCGTCGGTTCTCCCCTCAAGATGCTCCATGTCATACCCCAGATGTATTTTCACGGACTAGATTATCTCGTCGCGTTTGATCTCGATTCCGTATTGGTGGTTCAACCGCATTCTCAGCGCCCTTCGTACGAGTTTTGTGCGAGTTCGACGAGCTGGAATCGTGAGCTCTCGCCATAGCAGCCATTTGAGCTTTATGTTTCATCAAGGCGTCATGTTTAGAAACCCGGTCGGCATCGATGGATTTTCTCGCCCCAATGTATGCACCACCACCAGCTAGGCGATCAAACCATTAGCCCATGCGATAGCAGGTTGGAGAAATCAGTGATGTTTTACCAATGCAAAGGACTCCCCAGCCTAACCTGTTTCATCTGTTTAGTTTTCTTTTCTTTGACTCGGCCCTTTTCACGCTTACCATGTAGATCGTATCTGCAGTATCGATTAGTGACCTTCTGATTATAAGGAGACATAGAGAGGTATGAATGGAAAAATTGTGGATAAGTACATACCGTATTCATTGTTGCTCAAAATTGAAGGGTACGACGGCAGGGTTCTGCCAACGGGGATTCCGAAATGGAAAAGGAGCGCAGGAAGTAAGGACCAAGTATGCACAGAGAATACTCGGTTCCGGAGACTTAGGCGGAGGGCGGAAGATGTTATTACAAAGCTCTGACAGATAACTAAAGTAATGAAGCGATGCACTATTCTAGCTACGTATATACATAGTCGACTTGGGTTAAACTCCTCGCCGGAATCGATCGACGAAAAGGTTTCTGGAGTCTCGGAGCCGACTCGGCCGTGTAGACTTAAGCTCTTCGGCTCCGAAATATGAGCTAGTTGAGTGGGGATACTTAATGGACCTATCAACAACCTGAAACATACATAATGCCCCCCCCGATCAACGGTTCGTGCACCCCTGTTTGGGTGCCAAGCTACCTTTGACTCGTGTACGGGATGTTCCGTAGACGAGTACAAGTATGGTCTTCAGCTATAAAGGCTGCTTCAGATGCAAGGTGTGGTAGGCCGTTACAGTCTTGTTTGAATGACTCCGGACCATCCCGAGCATATTAGTCAAAAGCTAGTACGTAGTAGCATCTACGTGCCGAGGATCCGGTTTAGACAGCGTATGAGGATGGCGCCTCAGCATCGCCATTCCAATCCATGAGGAACGGCCAACGAACAATCGAAGTAATCTGGAAGTTGTTCTAAAACGCCAATGTCAAATTGAAACAAGTATACTTCTAAAGGTCTTGCACATAAGTGAAACAATTGATGCACGCTCTATCCCCTATGCACTCTGGAGTACTCCTTCTATTAGCTAATGCTCTTTCCTCCGGTCAACCGCTCATTCCCGAACCCCCCTGGGCTGCGCAAAGCCAACTGTTTCAATCTTATGAAGAAGCCGGAGATGCTCCTTCTTCAACGCCTCGAAATCATCGTCCAACTGCTTGTGCCATGGATAGAGAACAAAGACTTGGAATGCCAGGGCAGACGAGGCCACGGCGAAGTTGGTCAGGGATATTCCTCGGGTGATGATCATGGCGGCAAGGGTGATAATGTTGCACGCTTGCGCTTTGCCAGTCAGCTTTTGCGGACGAGTACAAAGGATGGGAGTTTGTAGTAACCTACGTAGAACACAGACGGTATGTCTATTCTGACGTGCTCGAAGGTGGCGCCGTTAACAGGGTCTTGAGATAATGAGAACTTGCTCTAAGGATGCAAAGGGAGAAGAGATATGACCAGTACTGTAAGAGCAGGATGTAGAGACGAAATGCCAGTGGAACGGCCTGGTTATAAGTGGCTGGTTCGGGATTAGTTGCCACTGTGGGTTGGCTACTGTCCGGGTTGTTCCGCATGTGAAAGTAATCTCTTGAGACTTAAATAGCTCAGGATCCTCTATCCTGCGCTAGATTTACTGCCTATTGTCAGGTGAATCTGGGCTCTTTTCACTAACTGCGCGAGTACGTCAATATAATGATTCTTCTTCGAGCATTTCTCAGATATCTCTCTCATCTCAATTCATAGGCCACTATCGCTTTGGCACTATGTACAAACAAGTGTTCGTATTTGATATACCCGCAAGACAAGAGATGTTGCCGGGTGGGTTTTACATCTCCAGGAACAAAGCACAGTGAGAATCGCAAAACTGCTCAACCACCCATATCTATATGCGGACCTTGCACAACCTTTCTATCCATTCTGTACACACATTGTCATTGCAAGATAGAGAAAACTTGAACGATAGTTGTACCCAGGAGGACCTGGTTAATAATGCAGTGTGGGGAACCCCGCCTGATATCGGACATAATGCCGAGTTCCGGGGTATATCAACAGAACAATTGGCAGTCGGACGCTGTTTTTTTCTTTCTCTTTTCGTTATTCTCTCGCTGTTCTGTCTCAATTTGATCCTGGGTAGTGCTAATATGTACGTGAATCCCCAGATTCGTGTGCCTCTTGCTCGAAAGACATACTGACGGAACGCATTTTGCAGGGTTTATACTGCGTCGTTCGCCTTTTTCGAAGCCCTTTGGGAGGTAATTGAGCCCCATTATACAGAAATCCTGCCATAAAGATACTGACCAGCCAGGCCGGGGTCAGTCATGTCTTCGTCAACCTAGGATCGGACCACCCCTCCATCCTCGAGGCCATGGTCAAGGGCCAGAAAGAGAAGAGAGATGCGTTTCCCAAGATTATCACCTGTCCCAACGAGGTAAATACCAAATATTGTCCCCTTTGTGTACCGGCGTTGGGATATTCCCGTTCTTTTTCAAGTTGGCTCACCCCGCATTGCCCCACTCAACAGATGGTCGCCCTCTCCATGGCCGATGGCTACGCTCGTTTGACCGGAAAACCGCAGTGTGTTATTGTTCACGTCGACGTTGGGACGCAGGGGTTAGCAGCAGCAGTTCACAATGCCTCGTGTGGCCGGACGCCAGTATTGATCTTTGCGGGGCTCTCGCCGTTCACTATTGAGGGGGAGATGCGCGGTTCCCGCACAGAATACATCCATTGGATCCAGGACGTTCCTGATCAGAAGCAGATCCTTTCGCAATACTGTCGCTATGCTGGGGAAATCAAGTCGGGGAAGAATATTAAGCAGATGGTCAACCGGGCGCTACAATTCGCGACGAGCGATCCTATGGGTCCGGTATACTTGGTGGGTGCACGTGAGGTAATGGAGGAGGAAATTGAGCCGTACCAGCTTAACCAGCATGTTTGGGGCTCTGTGGCTCCTTCTGCTCTGCCAGCTGAAGGTGTGCAACTGATCGCATCGGAGCTGGCTGCCGCAAAGGAACCATTAGCCATTGTCGGTTATTCGGGTCGACATGCCAGGGGAGTGACTGAATTGGTCAAACTGGCGGACACTTTCAAGGGCCTGCGTGTTCTTGATACGGGTGGTTGCGATATGTGCTTCCCCGGGGACCATCCCGCGTCATTGGGATTACGTTATGGTATCCATGATGCCATCAAAACGGCGGATTTCATCTTGGTCGCGGATTGTGATGTGCCTTGGATCCCAACTCAGTGCAAGCCGTTGGAATCGACCAAGATTATCCATGTCGATGTTGATCCGCTTAAGCAGCAGATTCCCGTCTTCTACCTCCCATCTATGGCCACGTTCCGCGCAGAGTCGGCCACTGCCTTCAAGCAAATCAACGAATACGTCGCGTCCAACGATTCCTTGAAGCAATTTTCCAGCTCTTCAGAGAATACTGAGTTTGGCAAGCGCCGAGAAGAGGCATTCCAGAAGACTCGACAAAGCGTCGCGCAACTGGCTTCCGTCCCTGATGGCGGAGATGGTGCCCCGCTGAACGTATCCTATCTCATATCCCAAGTGCGGACCGGATGCCCAATCGACACAATCTGGGCCATCGAAGCAGTGACTCTGAGCGGATTTGTTTCTGATCAGATTGCCGCAACACTCCCCAAATCCTGGCTCAACTGCGGCGGCGGGGGTCTTGGTTGGTCCGGTGGTGGTGCACTGGGCATTAAGTTGGCATCAGACCTAGAAAATGGCGGCACAAACAAGGGCAAATTCGTCTGCCAGATCGTTGGTGACGGAACCTTCCTCTTCTCCGTCCCGGGGTCCGTCTATTGGATCTCCCGCCGCTACAACATCCCCATCCTGACCATTGTCCTTAACAACAAGGGTTGGAACGCTCCTCGGAGAAGTATGCTGCTCGTTCACCCCGAGGGCGACGGTTCGCGCGCTACCAACGAGGAGCTGAATATCTCATTTGCTCCGACGCCCGACTACGCAGGTATCGCACGGGCTGCTTCTGGTGGGGATATCTGGGCTGGCCGTGCTGCTACTGTTGCTGATCTCGGGCGGTTGTTGCCGGAGGCTATTAAGAGTGTGCAAAGCGGGACCACGGCTGTCTTGGAGGCGCAGCTTGACGGAACGGCGGGTAAGTATGTTGAGAAGTAGCGGAAATTACATCCATGACCACAGCATAGCGAGCCTAGTCAGATAATCCATGCTCCGTATTCGGAGACACTTATCGGCTGATAAGTGGACCGATGATAGCCTTATCTATGCGGGGTTGCCTGCCTCACGGTGCAGGATACAATGCAGTAGTTAGTTAGAGATGCATTTCAATTGCAAATCCGTCGGGTATTATGGCGAATGACGCTATATAGCAGTTTACATGAAATAATGAAAACCACTATCCTCCAACAGTCGTGGTTCAGTGTCAAAGCTAAAGACCCTCTCAATGGATCAACTTCCGACAGTGAATCGAATCAAATCCCACGCCTTGCCAGTGACAAGACCCATGTTTCAATTCGAGCTAGAAGATACTGAGTCACCTGAGCTACTCTCCAGCTATATTAAGCGTACTTTGTATAGCCACTAGCACAACTTCTACAATATCTTCTCGATATCTCGTTATTTACTCCTTCATTACGTGACCAATCATCGGCCCCGATTCCCCGAGCGGAAAAACCGGCGCAACTTTTTTGTTTTGCCCCTCCAATTGCGATACCGCCAACATTTATTTCTTTCTTTCATTCTCTTGTCATACCAATTCTTCTGTTTTTTCCAATTGACCAGCCAAAATGACAGATTCGACCCCTTTGTCCGTCGCTGGCGTCGCGGCTCTGAGAGCCCAGGGCACTCCTGTGCCGTTGGGTATTGCACCGGCTACCAGCAGTGATATGTTTAAGAGTGCGGTATGCGATGGTATTGGATTGGTTTGTGGCGGGTGCGCTAATATGGATTTGTCTATAGCATTGCTATACGAAGCCAAAGGCTAAGCGGTGGGATCGTGAGTTCTTCCCTCTGGCCGATGTTGACTCAAGACATGCTAATTGTTGCGTTATCTAGACATCCTGTCCCTCGAAGCCAAGTCCCGCAAGGTTCGTCGTTGCACACTCGATGCGCAGAGCAAGGAAACTGAACGGGTTTATATTCTGGTATAGGTCTCGACATTGAAAGGAGCAGCGCATTATCTCAAGAACCCTGGCATAATCTCTCTTGGTGGTGGATTGCCCTCGCCAGAATACTTCCCTATTGAGCAAATCAGTGCCAAGTTCCCCACGCCGCCAGGGTTCTCGCCGGAAGAGACTCGTGAGTCGGGGACTGTTATGACGGCTTCGAAGGGGGATGTGAAGAATGGGAATAGTATTTATGGTGCGTGGTTCCTGATTGCTTAGGTGTCATGTGGGTCATGGGTGCTGATTGGTGTTGGGCAGACCTCGAGGTTGCTTTGAACTATGGACAGTCCACTGGTGCTCCTCAACTGCTGCGGTTTGTGACGGAACACACTGAGGTAAATTTGTTGGTGCATTGTCATGGACACGGACATGGGCTGATGGCGCAGATTATCCACAACCCCCCATACGCGGACTGGCACTGCTGCCTCAACGCTGGCAGCACTTACGGCTGGGACACTGCTCTCCGTCTGCTCACTGAGAGAGGAGACTACATCCTGATGGAAGAGTACACTTTCTCCAGCGCCGCAGAGACAGCCCTTCCTCTGGGTGTGAAGCTTGCTTCCATTAAGATGGACGAGCAAGGTCTCCTCCCCGAATCTATGGATGAAGTCCTCAGCAACTGGGACGAAGCCGCCCGCGGCGCCCGCAAGCCTTACGTCCTTTACACGATCGCCACCGGCCAGAACCCCACTGGCGCTACTCAGTCCGGAGAGCGCCGCAGGGCCATCTACAAGGTCGCGCAGAAGCACGACGTCTACATCGTCGAAGACGAGCCCTACTACTTCCTGCAGATGCAGCCCTACACGGGTGCAGACGGCACGACTCCCCCGCCGCCCGCCAGCCATGACGAGTTCATCAAGTCGCTCATCCCGTCGTATCTGAGTATGGACGTTGACGGGCGTGTTCTCCGTCTCGAGTCATTCTCCAAGGTCGTCACTCCCGGTTCGCGAGTTGGCTGGGCTGTCGGCTGCGAGCAGATCATCGAGCGCTTCATGCGTAACAGCGAAGTCTCTTCTCAACACCCCAGCGGTATCGCGCAGATCATCCTCTTCAAGCTCCTGGATGAGCACTGGGGCCACGCTGGATACCTGGACTGGCTGATCAACATGCGCATGCAATACACCGACCGCCGCAACATGCTCGTCGGCGCATGTGAGAAATCACTCCCCACAGAAATCGCCCACTGGGTTGCCCCCGCCGCAGGCATGTTCCACTGGATCGAAGTCGACTGGCAGAAACACCCCGGTCTTGCATCCGGTAAGACCCGCGACGCCATCGAGGAGGAAATCTTCCAGGCCGCTATTCAAAATGGCGTGCTTGTTTCGCGGGGTAGCTGGTTCACGGCTGATAAGAACACGCCAGAGGAGAAGATGTTCTTCCGGGCTACTTTTGCGGCGGCTAGTGCGGATCAGATCGAGGAGGCAATTAAGCGGTTTGGGGATGCGTTGAGGTTGCAGTTTGGTCTGGCATAACTTGGTATTCGATGACCATAGTAACGTGCATACAGTAATTAGGATCCAATTTACTTCATCCGCATAGATAGACTGAAAATGATATTTACGCTTTCTGGATACTCGTTGCTTTTTCAAATAAGCTATTCTGCTTCTGGCTATGCTCGCCGCCGTTAGTGGGTGCCACGTGTGCCACGTGATCGCTGGGATCAACACTCCGTACCTTACCTTCTGTCTTCGCTATTGTTATATTACTGCCTTTAGAATAGCAAGATAATGCAGTCAACATTGACAGTCTATATTAGAGGTATCTGAGGATCCCAACAAAGAAATTCACGTGAAGCCCCATGCCAACCAGCCACTCAAAGTGTTAGATATCCATTCACACTAAATTAGCGTCCGCTCCTTAGCGCCATTCCAGAATCACCACTTTTCACCTCTGAAATGCACCCACTGTCCACCAAGTCCGCCTGCTGTATTGCGACTGATACTCGGCCTTTGCTTGCGTCTAATATATGCACCCGCGACTTTGAGTATTTGCGGGTTTAATGACACCGGATTGTTCCCCCTGCTTAGAGGCATTCATTCACCAGCTCAAATCCACGATAGCTCCGCCAGGGGCTCTCTGAGCGCTTGTTGGAGATTCGGGGTGATATCACTTGCTATTGCGGCTCTGGGGTTGCAAGACATCACCAGCATAGCTACACCATCTCCACTTTCCCTCCATCGATCTTGATATCTTTTACTACAATTTCTCGCGTAAGTGCATTTGTTTTTGTTTTCTTCCCACACCAGGTGTGTTTTTCTTTTTCTCTTTTCTGTCATTATGCCCTGGTGGCCATCCTGGTTTCGTTTATCGCGTTTTTGCTGCGATGGCTGATTATTTCGACGAAGACGAGCGTCGCAGAGCGGTCTACGGGTTGCTTTTCCTTTTCTTCTTTTCTTTCCTTTTTAAAGCGTTAATGAATGCTTGCTGACTGGTGGTGGTAGGACGCAATTTGAAGAGATCCTGTCCAGTGGTTTTGTGCCTGGAAGTACCGACGAGGATCTTGAGGCTAGCGAGTTTTTCCAACGCTATTTCTGGGAGTTTCCTGTTATCGACGAGGAAAGCTATTCACTGACTGGCTTGAACCGGACGAGGAAAGCTGCTGTTTGCAGTGTTGAAGAGCAACCTTTCCCTGTGGAAGACTCTTTTACCAATCCGCTCGAGTAAGTACCCAGTGGCTAGAAACTGAGCGAGTACTGATAAGAAAGGAACTCTGAATTGTCTTTTGTCACTGATCGTTCTTCTGATTACCGCTCACCTACGTTGATCCCTCACTCTTCTTTCTCGCGAAGGAGACTAGGCCAAGGACTCCGATTCAACTCTAGCTTCGAATATAGAGCTTTCATCTACGAAATAACAGCTGCTGATCCTTTCGCTGAGAGTTCTGTTGAGAGTTTGTCGGACCAAGGACTTGACAATCACGGTCGATTCTACAGTCGTTACCCTCCAGGTCCCTCTGAAGGCCTTTGTGTCTCTCGCGATAGCTCTTCCGTTGACTACAGCCCGCATACACTGCGTTTGGGCCCAGCTGGACCTTCTTTGTACTCTTTTGAACTGGAATCCTCGTTTAACGACGCTACTGAGTATATCAGGCTACAAAACTTCTCCGCTCCCAAACGACGCCACCGTACTTTGTTTGCGGGCGCGATCAGGAAACGCAGAACGACCAGCTCTGGCATCGGATCTGCTATTAAGAACTTATTTCGTAAAAGGAACACCCGTCGCGCACGTGAAACGAATTCGTCCTCGGGCTTTTTGAAGAGGTGGAGGGAGCGTCGATCTGAAACGGCCGTTCAACGCTGTCTTGAAGCTCAGATACGTCGAAGAGGTTGGTCTCCTATTTAGCCCTGTCCTGGATTTTCAACTTTCGTTACTCTGAGCTAACTGATCAGACACCTCGTCCATTTCCACTGAAGTCTTAGCTTCCCGCTTCTCAATACTATAATCATCAACATGGCTGATCGCGCCTCTTTCCTGGACCCTACGTCCGCCGTGGCGGCCATAACAAAACACAAAGCCGAAGCAATAAAACTAGCGCGCGAACAAGGAACAGCAGTCCAAGAAATGTGCCGGCGAGCGAAAACAGAAAACCCACCCTACGAATTCGAAGAACTAATCGGCAAAGGAGCATACGGGCGAGTTTATAAGGGTCGCCAGCTTCCCTCTAAGAAAGTTGTTGCTGTGAAGGTGATGGATGTTGATTCGTTGGATTATAAGACGGTTCGAGATTTCAGGGACGAGTCGATCAAGGACTTTATTCACGAGACGAGGGTTATGAAACAGGTGAAGGATTCCGGGGCGAGGAATATCAATGAGTTGATCGAGGCGGTTTCGATCCATTCGCAGTTATGGCTGGTTTGTGAGTATTGTCCAGGTGGGAGTGTGAGAACTTTGGTAAGTCTCTTTTGGTTTAACATGGAGTTTCAGCGAGGATGCTAACTTTGGTAGATGAGAGCTACTGGCGATAGACTCGACGAGAAGTTCATCATCCCCGTGGCACGTGAATTAGCTATTGGTCTTCGCGCTATTCACGATGCAGGAATCATCCATCGTGATATTAAAGCTGCCAACATTCTAATTCACGAAGAGGGTCGTCTACAAATCTGCGATTTTGGTGTTGCTGGAATCCTTCAGTCGCAAGTGGACAAGCGGTCTACATGGATAGGCACGCCTCACTGGATGCCTCCGGAGATGTTCTCAGCCAAGGCCGAAGCCCATCGATATGGCAGTGAGATCGATGTCTGGGCATATGGTTGTACACTCTTCGAATTCGCAACTGGCAACCCGCCAAACTCGAACCTCCGAGAACGCATGCAAATAGGACGTCAACTCAACCGGACAAAGCCAAGGCTCGATAAAGAGGAATACAGTGAAGAACTTAAGGACCTTATCAACTACGCGCTGGACTCGGATCCGAGAACACGGCCTACTATGGCGGATACCTTGACGCACCCATTTATCACGGATACCGAGGAATCTCATCCTACATCGTCTCTGAGTGAGCTTGTGCGTGTTTATTACCAGTGGTCACAGCGTGGTGGTCAAAGGATTTCACTTTTCCATCCGGGCGGTGCGGCTGCTGCAGAGATCCCGGACGTGGATGATACTTTTGCAGAGGATTGGAATTTCAGTACGACGGATGGCTTTGAGCGACGGTTTTCAGTCATTGATCTTGATGAACTGGCTGCATCGCTCGCAGAGATCGAAGATCAAATTAGCCCGACCACAGTACAGCCAAAGAAAGACAGTCTCGATGAACCGCGTGATACAGACCTGTCTGGGGACGACAAGGCCAATTTTGATGAGCGTGTCCGTCGAGGCGCTACAGCCATGGAAGGTCTTTTTGACAACGAGAAACCTACTTACACATACGAAACGAAGAACGACTTCGTCCCTGTCGAGCAAAGACGACCGCCCTCAGACCTTCCACTGCGTACAGACACTGATCGCTCGTCTGTGATGTCCACATTCATCGACATCGACATTGGATCCTTCGATTCCTCGCATTATGCCGCAGCTGCAGCAACCGCACAACCCATCCAACTCGCCGATGCAGACACAATCAAAGCCTACCGCCAACAACGCACATCAAGCGGCACCAGCTCCCGGTCGTCAAGCAGCAGACGCGATTCCGAAGAGATGACATTCCAGCCCCAAACCGGACCCCGCCCACCAACAATGGACTGGAAATTTCCCGTCTTCATGAAAGCTCCAGAGGAAGAAGCAGAATCAAAACTAGAAGGAGAAGGACAAGGGGAAACAACCCCCGAGGCCAAACCAGCCGAGCCATCAAATCCATCCGACAAACGAGCAACAATGGAATGGACATTCCCCTCAATGGCCGCACAACCGGCAGCCGACGGCCCCAGTCTGGACCCCGGCCGCTTCGAAACCCTCAAAGCACCTCTTGTCGACATGGGCACCGAACCATCTGAGACTATCAGACCAATTAGTATTGGGGAACCAGGAGACTCGCGCCCGTCTACATCCGGCTCGCAAGGGTCTGTTTTTAGCTTCGCACCGAGCTCCGAGGCAGATTACGATCCCTTCCGTCTCGACAGGCCCACCTCACCAACTTCCCAATACCCGCACCAACAATACCACCATGGACCATCTGGCTTCGACACCACTGACTTCCCCGAGATAATCGACGCAGACGCAGCCTCTTACGACCGCCCCTCATCTGTCATCGAAGAGGGTCCCGGTCCCGATGACCACAACCGTCCATCTTCAGTAATAGAAGAGGGTCCCGGCCCTGACGACTACAACCGTCCATCCTCGGTCATAGAAGAAGGCCCTGGTCCAGATGACCGCCCCTCCTCCATAATCGAAGAAGGACCCGGCCCTGATGACCATGACGAACCAAACCGCGCCTCCTCAATCATCGACCTCGATGGCCCTGGCCCAGACGAAGAAGATGAAACCGAAACCGAAACAATAACAACAACCTGGGGCTCCCGCACAATCGGCCCCCCCTCACGCACCTCATTCCACAGCCGCACACACCGCACGTCAAATCCCACCTCAGACCCCTTCTCCGAACCCTTCCCAACAGCAATACCATCACGCGAATACCCAGACCATGCTCCTGACTCACCACTCGCAGATGCACTACCCACAGCTACACTGCGACGTCGTCATGCTGGTAGCGGGGGTGTGGATGGAGTGCAGTTTCCGGATCTTGTGCCGCCGAGTGTGGAAAGTTTGGCACAGGGGGCTGAGGAGGGTGTGCTTATGGGGGAGTTGGATCGGTTACTTGGGGATTTTTTGGATGCGTTGTCTGCAACAGGGGAGGCGTTGGGGAAGACGAGGCCTGGTTCTGGTGGTGGGCGTGGGTTGGAGACGGTGGAGGTTGGTGTCGGTGGAGGAGGTGGTGGAGGGTCTGAAGGGGAATGAGCATTTACCTATGTCATTTGTATGAGTTATGATTGTGGATTCTGTGCTGTATTTACGGAGCAGTTAGTAATGCAACATGGGACTAGTTTGTATTCAAATTTAATCAAACAAGGTATCAAAATCATCCTAGCTCCACCATTATGGGCAAACCCTCCTAAACCAACCGAGAAACAACCTTCAACCCCAAAATGATCACTAACCCAAACATTCTTCCCCCTATCCTCATCCTCCTCATCATTCCACTTCAGATACTCAACCCAAGCCTCCACCCCCACCCCAATCCTCAAGCTCTTCACCTCCATACACCCATAAAACAACACCTAATCCATTCGATTATACCCCAGCTCATTCCTCAGATGCGCAGGAGCCTGCTGACCTCATGTTTTCCTCAATATCTTCTTGGCCGTCTAGGACGAGGAAGGCGTCTTGTAGGTTGTTCTGCGCGGGGAAAAAGCAGTTTTTGGGGGGAGTTGGCGTTGAAGTCGCTGAAGTCACCGGCGAGGATGGCGGCATGGGAGGTTGGGAGGTTTGTTGTGGTAGTTATGGTGGGGTCTGGGAGAGGGGGAATACGACCAGGGCCGTGCATATAGGTAGAGGCGAGTTCGAGTTGTGCGCGTCGACGAGCTGTATAGTGCATGCTCTCGAGATAGGCATTACAGAGGTGGAGAACTGTACAGGTTAGCATCATCCAACAATAGCAACCCAATATGGGAAATGAGGGGAAACATACCCTGATCCTCCCCAATCCCAACTTCTACAAAAAGCCCGTCCCTCGCAATTTACTCGTGGGAGCCCTAAGCCTGTGCCACCAGGCAGTACCTTAATTGAAGACGCCGCAATATTTGCAGCTCTATGATGTGCTCAGCTGTTCATCGAGTTAGGTGACCATTCGAGACCTTGCTATACGCAGGATTATTGGACCACTTACTCACGTAATACCGCAAACCGGAAGAGTCTTGTTCAGCCCATACAAATAAATTCCATTCGTAATGCATTTTCGTAGCGAGAACTTGTTATCGACACTTCAGCAGTCGATCTCAGCTGCTGATATAACACAATAAATCACACAGGTCCGCTTTAGAGTTGGCTCCTGGCTCTTCTCCAACAAGTATAACCTCCGTATCGAGACCAATAATATGAGAAAAGGAGACTTGAGAACCAAATAATGGGTTGATGTGTTCCCTGGTTTCAATGTCGGGTGGTTTTGAGCTTTGCGGCCAATTAGGTAGCGTTGTACTGCGCTCCAGATTTATATGATAGGGCAGCTAGATAACGGCTAGCCCCATATGGGCCGTAATTCGAGATCCAGCGTATAGTTTTCTTGGAGTTATAGTAAATGCCGCACGTTTCTTGCCATCAACAATGATATGCCACTGCCAATGGTGCATCTAGGAACTTCTTACAAACATATTTTTTCGTCTGGGTTTGTCCATCGTCAAATCTTCGAGCATAATGTTCGAGCACCAGATTAGATCCCAGTTTACTTTTCTCGGGTACTTTCCCTCACTATTGAGGTTGTTGTCCAAGGGACTGTAAATCCATCCTGGACATACAATCTTGAGATAGGTAATCATAGAGAAACCTAGTTTGAGTAATCTCTGCAGACATTGTCTAGAAGAAGAATCTAGTCAATTATCCTAGAAGGGAACAAAGAGTACACTAGAGCGTGCTTTGTTAGGCGGGTGAATGATTGGTGTGGTCTTTCTAGTTAATGTTTGTATTCAGTAGTGTTCGAGTATTCAAATCAAATGCTCTTCTCTTTGGAAGTATACAAGATGAGGTGGTGAATACGACAGAGGTGTCGAGACGCATATGACAGGATCCGGTCAAAGTTTTCGTACAGTGGCTTGTATAGTGACCATTGTATTGGGGGATATTCGTGAAGTTTCAATCTCCCTTTAAGAATGGACAAGTATAGCCCTAGAGCTGTAGACGATTGGTATAGAGAATTCTACTTCCTATGTGTCTAGAGCTATAGCTTCCGAATCATGCAAACATAGTGTTGGGCATCGAAATTGCATCGAGTATTCACTGGTAGGTGTTGTGCTCCTGTTGCCATGGTGTCTGTCCACGGACGCGTTGTTGATTTGTATGCATAACACGTCTCGCATCTAACACTTTCCCATTCTTCCGTCTCAACTTTTGGTCCATCGTGTTATGCGGTTCTTGGATGTGTTGGAAGTTATTTCCACAACACACAATGGCATCTACATGCTCACAAAAGCTCTCTACTTCGACTTTGTTCGACAGGCCCTTGCACCCCCGTACATCAGAGGAATGGAAAGTTGCACTTCATCAAGTCAAGTTCCTCTATATCCAGCGCCAATATAAACAATGCGCTTCTTGTGCAGAAACTCTCCTTAGTACTTCAAGAGAGCCCGTAAGCCACCATTGTTAACCGTACTTGTCAAGTCACTCAACTAACGGGAACAGATCCACGCAGTCCACAAAACCTACCTCTACTTCTACAGTGCCATCTCTTATGAAGCCCTAGGCCGCGCCGCACACAATTACTCCAGCAATAAACTCTCTCTCTTACACTCTGCCCTAGACTGCTTCACGACCTGCAGCGCGGTTCTACCATCGACGATCTCGATTCCTGATTATGACGAAGGTGTGAGCGTGGAAGACACAGACGAGTGTGAGACGTCGCTCGTGGACGATTCGTCCCTGGGTGACTCGCCTGATTCTTCGTTCTTGGAAACAGAAGTGGAAGCGGAGCCGTCGACGGTTGGAGGGCTTGTTGGAAGTCTTACAAGGATCATTGACGATTCTATGGCTTGGGACGAGGATGATCCGTTTATTTCACATGAGCATGAGCAGGTTAATCGGGATGTTGATTTTGAGTTGTTTAGGCTTCCAAGGGAAGAGTCGAAGGGGAGACTCATGCCGTCGCCGCTACAGATTCGGAAGCCTGATACGGCTAGGATGGTTTGTACCGAGAGAACTTACCGTCCACCACCGCTACCTATCAAAATTGTCCCATTTGGCACAAAAATTCGGAATGCCACCCAAGAGCATAGCGAAGACGATGCAATCAACCGCTACAACAAAACCATCCACTTCCTCCACACCCAAATCACCACCAACATCACAGCCATCCACACCCTCATCACATCCGTCACAGCACTCCAACGCGCCCGCAAGGCATTCCGAACCCGAAACCTCCGGCGCGTAGCCTCGTTCTGGAGTTTCAGCCCTGTCCAGCCTGACGAGGATACTAGCGATAACGGTTGTCTCGGTAGGAATCCTAGCGCCGGAGCTAGCGCTAGCGTGAGTGGGTCACAATCTCCTGAATGGGGTGGGACGAAGGAGACAGAGGAGCAGCAGCAGCAGGAAAGCAAAGCCGAGCGGATTGCGCGATTACGGGCAGAGGGGTGGAAGACGGTTGGGGTTAGGAATGGGCGGCGGGGGTGGAAAGGGGCCGCGTGGTACGAGGCGTACTGTAATGGGGTTCTGGATGAGTTGTATCTGGGTGAGAGCCACGGTTGAGATTGGAGGTACCCGTGGGTGGAGGAGTGGTTATTCATCATTTGTCGGTGCTATTTTGGTGCTGCATTGCAGCTAACTTTATCTGTCTCCTTTTCGGTCTACTTTTGTACAGTCTTGGTGTGTTTGTAGTGTTAGTGTGATAGATGACAGGGTCTGTTTCACGTTGATTTTATGAAAATCGTCAGCCTTGACCAGCGCGTTTTTACCCTTAATTAAACATGATAGAGGCTCTATGCGTGGCTGTGTTGTATACCTGCACATACATGAAACTACACATGCCTCTACAGAGTACATACATAGTAGACACATGACAAGGCTGATTGTGGCTGCCTGCCCTCGTGCACTAAGTATAATCAACGTATTCGTTCAAATAGATTGGTTATTAGTAGAAGGCTGAATATCAAGTGTGGCTGTGTAATTAGACTCACGGGCGGCCAGACCTTCTCATGTCATCCTCGCTGTCTCTTTAAATATACAAGTACAAGTATCTCTCGTCTCAATTCTCTTTGAATACTCTGTACACTATCCTCAATCCAATATCTGTCTCTCTAATACCAGGTATGTATACTTCTGCATACGAGTACATACTCGTGCATACTCTGAGCCCGATCCTCGGTCTCCTGAACCGCAATGGTCGTTGTTTTACCCGACAATCACTAACGATTCCTTCTCTTTAGCTCGATCTTCTCTCTCTATCCTTTTCTCGATCGCATTCCTTTTCTCTCCACCTCCGTCCCTACTTCGTCGTCGACTCATTCCTCGTATTCCTTTTCCCTCTATCACTTTCACGTGCGGGGTTTTCATCATCTTCGTTTCCCGCGCCAACCACCAAAACCCACCGCACACTACAATTCGAGCCCTGCGCGGCTGTACCTGGTCTAGACAAAATGAGTTGTGAGTGGGATACTTTCTTTCCTTCATCTTTTCTTTTCTGTGTGTGTTCTTGGTCAATTGTGCAATGTGCTTCTGTCATGTTGGCAGTGTGATTGACGCTGTTCCTGAGACTGGAATCCTGCATAATTCCTGCTGCCTGTGCTGAGACAGCTCATCGCGACCTTTAAAATCATGTCGTTGGCGACCTTTCTTGTGGCTCTTTGGAGCGACACCGTGTGGTTGTTGGAGACGATGGCTGTTATGTGGTCCTATGGTCTGAATCTCGGTGGATTCCTCGTTGTGTTTTGATTTCTGCTTTTCGCATTTATCGGGTTTGTCCCGCGATCTGGAGGCTAACATCTCTTTCAGTCTCTAATATGCTGAATAAGCTCTCGGGGCAACCAGAGAGTTACGAGAAAAAGTACAGTCCATCCACCCTCCCACTTGTATGACCGTTGCTTACCGTTGCCGATATAGAGCGCTGTACAGGTTCGGAAGAACCCTTGGTGCAGGAACATATGGTATCGTTCGCGAGGCCGAGTCCGCCGCCGCCGGAAAGGTTGCCGTCAAGATTATCCTGAAGAAGAATGTCCGTGGGAATGAGAAGATGGTCTACGATGAGCTGGAAATGCTCCAGGCCCTCGACCATCCCAGCATTGTCCACTTTGTCGACTGGTTCGAATCGAAGGTGGGTTTCTTGATTCATACTGGGGGTCTTCTCGGGCTAACAAGGTCTAGGACAAATTCTACATTGTCACCCAGCTCGCCACTGGTGGGGAGCTGTTCGACCGGATTTGCGAATACGGCAAGTTCACAGAGAAGGATGCGTCGCAGACCATCCGTCAGGTCCTCGATGCAGTCAACTATCTGCACGAGCGCAATATTGTCCACCGAGGTTAGTTCCGTTTATCCTAAATCGCCCAATTGCGACTGACAGATTGTTTTCTTATAGACTTGAAACCCGAAAACCTCCTTTACCTCACCCCCGCACCGAACTCTCCTCTCGTCCTCGCTGACTTTGGTATCGCCAAAATGTTGGAAACCCCCACCGAGCTCCTCACCAGCATGGCTGGTTCGTTTGGATACGCTGCGCCGGAAGTTATGCTCAAGCAGGGCCACGGCAAGGCCGTCGACATGTGGTCCCTGGGTGTTATCACCTACACTCTTCTCTGCGGTTACTCGCCTTTCCGCTCGGAGAACCTGTCCGACCTGATCGAAGAAACCCGCAGCGGCCGCATTATCTTCCACGACCGCTACTGGCGCGACGTCTCCCAGGACGCCAAGAACTTCATCCTCACTCTTCTCCAGCCAGACCCGGCAGACCGTGTATCGTCGGGAGAGGCTCTTAAGCACTCATGGCTGAAGGGTGAATCTGCCAGCGACCGCGACCTGTTGCCTGAGATCCGTGCCTACAACGCCAAGGCCCGTCTTAGGCGTGGTATTGAGATCATCAAGCTCGCAAACCGCATCGAGGCTCTCAAGATGCAGGAGGATGATGGGGAAGACATTCCCAGTCCCGCAGATATGGCGGCCTCTGCCGGTACCGCTGAGGGCGAGGGTGAGACTGAGCCTTTCCCGTCGACTTCGCCTAATGGCAAATCGTCCCCTGGCTCACCCGAAGGCACCTCTGGTGGTACTAAGAAGCGGAGTCTGAGTAAGATCGCGCGGGGGTCCATCTTCCGGGAGGTTGTGCTCGCCAAGGTCCGCGAGGTGAAGCAAAATGAGGAACGGGAGAGGATCGAGCGGGAGGCCCGCGAGAAGTCGACGACCCACGCTTGAGCGTTTCCTTCTCTTTTCTGTTATTCTGGTTTATGAATGCCTTCTTTACATGCTGGCTATGCTTCTACATTTTGGTTCTTATATGCTGGGTTATGGTTTGACATCGGGATTGCTTCGTGCATATAATTTTGACGATTCCCCGTCCACTATTCTGGGAGCTTTTGTTGTTGATTTGGAATTCGTTGGAGATTGATTCATACCCAGAACATACCCAATTCGGTGCTGCTGTTGTGCAATTTCTTTGCTTATGTAGATATGACCATTACATTGGGCTGCTGTCTCTAGCCAGCTCAACTCAATATGCAATAATTATATAACGACCAGCTTTTCTCGCTTATCAGTAGCATATAAAGCTGCCTTCCCATCCAGTTTTGTCTCTTTTCTTCTTTTTTTTCTTCTTCTTTTTCCCACCTAGGTGCACGGGCTTTGCGTATATCAATGAGGATTTATCTGAGATTGTGTCTTTGCTGGTTGCAAACTATTTAGTTGGCTTTTTTGGTTGGTCTTCTGATTGACTGGAATCTTTTAAACCTACTGCCTTAACCCCCTGCTTGTCTTGGGATTCGAGGTGCTCTGCTCTGTAGAGAATCATCGATCTTTTCATTGCTGTTTGCGTGCCTTGAGGCCTGTAGAGAAGAGAGATGTATCATCCGTTCTAGGTATAGCTTCATCATGCACTCGTAATTCAATAGAACCCTGCCCTGTGCATAGAGTACTCCGTTTGTATAGACCCGATTTCCCACTCCACGCCGGCGGATGATTCCCCGTTAAGCGCTTCTTGTCGTTATCTGTTGATCCCATACCCTGGGCTTATGTATTGGACATGACCTAATCATCAAAACAAATAACTTCATCTGATACTGTCATGCTATCCTATACTATACTTGTGGACTTGTAGAAATCATGTGCCCAACGTTCATGGCGTCCGGGCCAATTAGCGGCCCGGGCTCGTCCACAGGTGATTCCGTCTTGGTCCCCTCGTGTTCGGCCGTAGTCACTTTATTTACTGTCTATCCCCAGCATTTCTCTGCTTTCTATCGGACTGCTTCCCTGTCGCATTATCTTAGTATTGTCTTGTCGCTGTCTTCGCCAGACTCCATTCCCACCTCAGCGGAAGCCAGCCGCAAACTCCCCGCGAGCGGTGGTCTCGAAACGTCATACACGACCGGTGCGACATAGCAGTACATGGACATTGTACAGACCAACAACAACAGCATCGATTGGGGATTTTTTTATTTTATTTTATTCATTCATTCATTTATTTATTTATTTATTTTTTTTTTTTTCACGCTCGGAATAACGAAGGACAGACGGTATAGTGGTCAATATGTTTGCTGGGAAGCGTTTGAGCAAGGTTGCCCCTCCCCTCTTGCCCCTCTATTCTCCATCTGTGACCGGATTGATGATTGATGCTAACCGTGATGGGGGAATAGGAGCTTGCTAAGGTATTCCATTCTTCCCCGTCTCTCGATCCCTGATCCTTCGATATACCCATCCTATTCCCATTCCTTCGTCCACCACCCAATCTACGACTCATGACAGCACCACCCCGCAATCCATCCCCCACACGCAGCAACAATCTCTAGCTAACATCAAGAAACAGATGCAAGGCCACCTTCCCCCCGGAATCACCTTCGCCAAATCCGACAACTTAGAAGAATGGCAAATGGATATCCGCGTCCTCGACGACAACCCGTTATACCAGAACCAGATCTACCGTCTTAAATTCACCTTTAGCCAGAAATATCCCATCGGTATCCCCTTCCTTCCCCTGCCCCGGAAGGCACAGCGCAATGCTAACAGCTGGATGATGCTGCAGAACCCCCCGAAGTCCAATTTATCCTCCTCCCATCTACCACCGAAACCCCCCGCCCAATCCCGATCCACCCACATATCTACAGCAACGGGATAATCTGCCTGGACCTGCTGAGCACAGCGGGATGGTCGCCTGTGCAGACGGTGGAGAGCGTGTGCATGAGTATCCAGAGCATGTTGACGGCGAATACGCGGGATGAACGGCCGCCGGGGGACAGTGATTTTGTGTCGTATAATAAGCGTCGGCCGAGAGATATCAATTTTCAGTACGATGATGATAACGTTTGATTGGGGTATATATTTTTAGAGAAAATTGGATGATAAGGGAGGATTGCATGCGCTGGCGCTGTCCGGTGTCGTTCATATTGGTCATTGTTTTATTATGGTATCATCATGTTATTCATAGTCATTGGAGTTGGTACAATTGGTATAGTTAATCATGAACTTTTTGTTTAGACAACCTTGGTCGTTACCATACTCAGACATATTTGGAAGAGGAAATGACATGCACTATACACAGATTTATAACAAATCAAACCAGAGACAAATAAAATATGTAGACAGGACATGAAGGACAACGCCGCAAAGAAATGGCACAGCTCAGTTACACTGCTGGGTTCTCCCCCGGGTATATCCGGGGATAGGAAGGAGAGAAGAACGCGATTATCTTCTGTTTTTCGTTTTTGTATTCTTGTGTATAGTGTTACAGAAGCACCAGAAGATAACAATAAATAGATATCATTCATACCATTCTACCGGTCGACTTCACCGAACACAAGATCCATAGTACCTGGGACAGTTAGTTATGTGCACTCAATGTTAAAGAATGAGAAGAGGTGAACTCACCAATGATAGCCACAGCATCGGCCAGCAAGTGACCACGGGAAACCTGGTCAAATCCACCCAAGTGGGCAAATCCAGGAGCACGGATCTTGCACCGGTAGGGTCTCTCGCTACCGTCACTGACCAGGTACACGGCCATCTCACCTTTAGGAGCCTCAATGGCAGAATAGGTCTCACCAGGGGGCACAGAGTAACCCTTGGTGTACAGAAGGAAGTGGTGAATCAAAGCCTCCATGTTCTCCTTCATGGCAGCACGGGGAGGAGGCGAGACCTTGTAGTCCTCGACCTTGACGGGGCCAGGGGGCATCTTGTTCAAGCACTGGTGGATGATGCGGAGGGATTGACGGAACTCCTCCATACGGCAAAGGTAACGGTCGTAGCAGTCACCGTTGACACCAACGGGAACGTCGAACTCGACCTGGTCGTAAGCATCGTAAGGCTGGGACTTGCGGATATCAAATGGCACACCAGAACCACGGAGCATAACACCAGTGAAACTCATGTTCAATGCGTCCGTAGCGTTGACAACACCAACACCCTGGGTTCTGGCCTTCCAGATACGGTTGTCTGTGAGAAGTTCCTCGGTCTCATCGATACGGTCACCAAACTGGGTAGCCCATTGATAAATGTCGTCCAAGAGACCGACGGGGATATCTTGCGAAACACCACCAGGGCGGACGTAGGCGGCGTGAAGACGGGCACCGGACACACGCTCATAGAATTCCTATCAAAACAAGCCTTAATCAGTAGCTGTCCCATAATACCGTCACTTCGAATCACATACCATGAGCTTCTCACGCTCTTCGAAACCCCACAAGAAAGGTGTCAAAGCACCAACATCCATTGCGTGGGAAAGAACAGACATGAGATGGTTAAGGATACGGGTGATTTCTCCAAACATCGTCCGAATCCACTTGGCTCTCTCAGGAAGCTCAACGTTCAACAGCTTCTCGACAGCCAGCGAGAAGCACTGCTCGTTCGTCATCATAGACACATAGTCCAACCGGTCAAAGTAAGGCAGAGCCTGCATGTAGGTCTTGTACTCAATCAACTTCTCGGTACCACGGTGCAGCAATCCAACATGAGGATCAGAGCGGACAATCTCTTCGCCATTGAGTTCCAGAATCAACCGAAGCACACCGTGAGCAGCAGGATGCTGGGGACCAAAGTTGACAGTGTAATGGCGGACCTTGCGGCCGACCCCTTCGTCTTCGGATTCCAGGCCTGCGGCATACTCGGTGTCAGGTCTGCCTTCCTTGTTTGCGAGGTGTGTGAAGGTCGGGTCGGTCGGGACGAGTCTCGTCGCCTGGTAGCTGGTGGGCTCGGCCGCTCGGCGAGGGAGGGAGGTAGCTATCGAACGTCTGGAGATAGCAGTGTGTCTGTTCAAGGTGGAGGAGCGGAGACAAAGCCTTTTGGGCGCATTGCCCGCCAGGCGAGCAAATGGAGCAGCCATTCGGGAAGAGCGGAGAGGAGAAGGAGGACGAGGATAATACTGTATTAGGAGGAGATTGGGCTGGCGGGTCCTCAGTCCGGAGGGCAATTCGACGCAACGACTTTTGTCAACAGCGGGTGATGCTTGGGATGTTGCGCCGAGATGCAATTTGGTATGGTCACGTGCTGCTGCTTGTGGTCATCAAGCCGCCTCTGGTTGGCCTTTGGCCCAATTATTCCGCACCCAGTAAGCTCCATCCGCCGCCCTTCGGACAGCCGGGGGATTGTCTATCCTATCAAAATTATGGCGCTAGGGTGTACAGAATAAATAGGTTACCTTTTGCCTGAGGCAGATAAAAATTTTACTCTCCGCCGAAGAAATTATCTTAAGCGTCACTTCGGCTTCAACTTTACCCTCATCATTAACCATACCACCATGGCGCCTTTAATCCCGTCGCAAAAGGAGCTAGATCGCAGGCGGGTATGCATGAAAAGCTCTACCAAAAGTGAAAAACTCATTGCTAACTGTGCTGCAGCTCGTCGGCATCAATGCAGAGACCGTGACCAACATTCCCTCTACAGACTTCCCAGGCCATTGGCCCGGTGAGTCGCACGAGTGGTCGTTGGAAAAGTTCAAGAGAGTATGTCTGATCAATGCTTGTATCTATGCAGTGCCATTGTTTCTCTGAAGCTCTTTCACTCTTCTTTCGCCTTTACTCACATGCGACAACAGGATTTTAACATCGAATTTCACCGCAACGACCGATTTGAAGCCACATTCTCCCTTGTCGGTGTCGATGCAGCCATCGCAAATGCCTTCCGTCGTATCCTCATGGCCGAAGTGCCCACTCTCGCGATCGAATTCGTCTTCGTCCACAACAACACGTCTGTGATCCAGGATGAAGTTCTCGCATCGCGATTGGGTCTGATTCCCCTCAAGGGCTCCGTCGAAGGCATCAACCGGATGCGCTGGTTCAAGAAGCCTACAGAGGATGACCCGGACAGTGGCAGCACTCCCAGCGACTACAACACCATCGTGCTGCGCTTGGATATCGAATGCACTGAGAACCCCGACGCTGAGCGGGCAGAGACGGACCCGCGCAAGCTCTACCACAATGCGCACGTTTATGCTAAGGATATAACTTTCCATCCTGTTGGTCGTCAGGAAGAGTACTTTGTTGGAGACGATGCCATCCAACCCGTTAACCCCGATATTCTGATCGCCAAGCTTCGTCCGGGGCAGAAGATCGACATGGAACTGCACTGCATCAAGGGTATCGGGGCCGATCACGCCAAGTTTTCCCCCGTGGCTACAGCCACCTACCGTCTCCTTCCGGACATCAAAATCACGAAACCCATCATTGGAGAGGATGCCAAGAAGTTCGCCAAGTGCTTCCCCAGAGGTGTCATTGAGCTGGAACCCGTTACTCAGGAAGAGGCCGCCCAGAAGGGTAGTGGGTATGAGAACCAAATTGGTGAAATGAAGGCAGTCGTGCGCGACCCCTTCAAAGACACCGTTAGCAGGGAGTGCTTGAGACACGAAGAGTTCCAGGACAAGGTGAAGCTTGGTCGTGTGCGGGACCACTTCATCTTCAACGTCGAGAGCACCGGCCAGTTCGACAGTGACGTTCTCTTCCTGGAGAGCGTCAAGGTGCTGAAGCTCAAATGCGCGAGATGGAAGCGCAACCTGTCGGATCTTATGCGGTAATTTGATGCTATTCTTGGATGTCGTTTCTTGCGTTCTGGGTATATCATGCATTTATTGGCGTTGGCTTTCTTCTGTTGTCGCTTTCAGCTTTGTTGTACAGTTACAGAAAAGAAAGTGTTTGTTTTGTCTGTCAAAAGTTTTCCTTTTTCAAGGGACGGTGGGGTCTAATCTGGATAGAGAAATCTGGTCAGATTTCGAAGAATACAGCTTTAATTCTTAGACATGGTTTTCTAGCTGCTAAGGCGAATTATCGTATATATTATGTCTCATCTCAACGAATAGCCATCCTCTTATCCGCGGTGCGGTGCGGTACTCTTATTGAAAAATCAACTGGTACCGAAAGTCAATCAGATACGCAGGATCACTGACCGCAATCTCTTGTCCATTCGTCACCAGATCCTTGATCTTGAGCTTCAAGTGAGGTCTCGTTTGTTCCTCTAACTGAGGCGGGAACCGCTGGTAGAGTGTCTTCTCTTCCGTCCGCATACTAGGCTTCTTAAGCTGCGCTTCGGCCCGCTCCCCGAGGCTCTCAATGAAGGCCTCCAGCGTCATATTCGAATCTACGGTCATCTTGCGCGCAAGGTTTCCGCACACGGGACAGTCGGGCTTCTTCTCTGCTTCAAATGTATAGGTGTAGACACCCTCTTCTCCAGCATACATCATGTAATTCTCCAGATACGGGTTGCACGATGTGGCGATCTTCAATGCTTCAGAAGTAGTAGAGGCTGCGATAACGGCGTTGGTTGAAGCAATAGCGGGGATGATGTTCTTCACCACGCCTTGTGTCATCTGGAATGTCACTCCATGGATGTGAAACTGTTTCGCTCGTTCAAGGGCGTTCTCGTAAACCCAGCCGATGTGCTCCATGTCATCGCTATCGAAAGTGTCGTCTTTGCGCCGTTCTTGCCAGGCGATCTGGTGTGCCCATTCGATACAGTGTTGTGGCTGGCGGGGAATGGTTGCAATAGTGCAGAGGGGAACAGCGGGGCGAGGAGCGTGCATGTCAAGTTGGCATTCAATGCAGGATGAAAGGGTGGGCAGAATAACACGGGCTTGGCCCTTGAATCCTTTACCCAAGTCAGCCCATATTATTCTCGGGATTTTGGCATGGAAAGTCGTACCCTCTGTACCGCCATCAATAAGCGGCTTCAAGCTCTCAGGGTTCTCGGGATCAAGCATCCCAATGAGTGTTGAGTTAATCCACCGTCTGGCCTCGATGCTGTCGAGACCGCAAACGATAATTTTAAACTGCATGTAGTAGTCTTCATCTTTATCCTGGATCTTACCTACGTATGGGGTGATCTTAACTCCCTTCACTCGCTTCTCGACGAATGCTGCAGCAACCTCAGCTTTAGGCTTTCCTATGTCAGATTGGCGGAATAAGAACTGTCGGTTCAAGTTGGAGATATCGATTGTGTCTGTAGAGCATGTTAAATCAAGGCTCAATGAAGCTGTACATCCTGAAAGTACTTACCCATGTCAATAACATGGATATCTTTGAATCCGGACAACGCAAGGTTCTTCAGAATATCACATCCTAGACCTCCGGCGCCACTGCTGTCTATTAGCCGTGACTCAAAACGGCAAGAAGAATATCTCTACACTAACATAACCCTAGAATTTATGTAAGTATTTATATTTGAATGCATTTCATGAGGAATCTTACAAGACTTTTGATGATTCCAAAGCATCTATCGTCTCTGGACCAGGGACCCAATCTTCATCACTGGAAGGGCCCGGCTTATTCAGGACTTTGTAAAGACTCTTCCTGCGCGATGTTAACATCTATTTCACTTGATTTCATAGCTCTTGCCCTACCATCGACGCGCAGGGTCCACAGGCCTCATTGTTGCGGTTGCCATGTTGATAGAGCTGCGATAAGTTCCCCGCTGGTGAATAATCGTGGGCACCTGAAAACAATCTGAGGTTCTGAACGTAGCGCGAGAATTAATTAATGTTAATAAGCTCTATTATAAATAGGATGAAAAATGTTTTTCCAGAGATAGAACGCTGAGGGAGTTGATGGTTCTGGTGAGGTCGCGAGCTGTAGGAGATGGTTGAATGATCGAATCAGCGACACGTGACAAATTCGCTTCATACAATCTCCTCCCACTTTTTAGATGTCACGACGAGGGACAGACTCACTTTGGGGAGAAAATACAAGAAAAGAAAGACTATTATGGGAAAATGGACGGACTTTTAACGGCAGTCAAGACAGTTAGTCGCGAATCGCGACCGTCTCTGGAGTCTACAGCAGATTTCAACCAACATGGCTTGGAACGCCGCGCAAATATATCAGAGCCAGCAAGAGACCCAACATCACCAACTTATATTCTGAACGTGTTGAAGTCGAGACCTGATCGTGACCACCTCTCGCAAGTGCTCAGTGTACTAGATTCATCCAATAAAAACATCACGCCAGACCAATTCGACATCAGAATCCCAAGTCCGATACCAGCTCAAATTCTCCAGACCTTAGTCAGCGTCACTATTCCTGATGTCTGGGATTCATTGAATGCGAAGTCCAAGGATGCCAAACCGGCTGGATCCACACTACGAGGTGCCTTGCTGAGATGTCTATGCAGTGTTGCTGGTGTGAGCTCGTTGGTGGCCCAGCTTCGTTCTCTGATAGCGGCCTTTCGTTCATCGTCCGCAGAGGCGAAGGGCTCTAGCAGTGACATTCGTGTTAGAGATATCCTTGAAGTACTTTCTTCTCTGTTAGAGCCAAGTGACTTTCTGTTCCGAATGTATAGGGATATTTCTACTGTCTATCCTAATGAGACGCAGAAGCAGGTCAGCTGGCGAGAACTCATTTCTCTGATTGCTGCCAGTAGGGTCTTGTCCACTGCAGCGGAATCACTTCCATTGGTCAAAGATCTCTCTAGATTAAACAAAGTCTCTTGGGTTGGAGAGGGACCTAAGTATGCGTCCTGGATAGGCGATAATATCTGTCGGTTCTGTTCAAAAATAGACTTGAACGACGAGGGTGCTTGGAAAGCAATTGCGTCTTTTACGGGACGAGCATTGAGCCTTGGGTATATAGGTAATTGCAGATGGCTAAACTCCAGTTATCCAAAACTGACTTTGCCTAGGTCAATTGGTCAGCGGCGTTTACAGCGGTCTTCTCATTGATCAGACCTTTCCAAAACAATTCGGCGCACTTGTCGATCATATACGAATGACAGAGCAGGTAGCAGTGACAGAAGCTGTCTTCCGTGATGTTGAGAAAAGATTCTTCTCGGAAGATCTCCCCATTGAAGCGGACGCGAACCAAACGATCAGTGGCGTGGCAACCTTGTGCTCAAGCGTCATTTCCAATCGACCGCGCCTAGAGAGCCAGGTCGTGGACTGGCTCTCGAAAGGGCAGGGTGGTTCTATACAGACGGTTGGGCTACGCAGAGCACTCGTGACCACGTTTGCAGACAATACTGAGGCAGACTATCTGAGGAACCTGTTCATAAAAAGTCTCGAGCATTTTGGCGACAAGTTTTACATTAAACATGCACCAAGCAGGTGCCAGGAAGGTATGTTTCATCATTATTTACTTGCTTATGAATTACTAACATGGCCTAGCAAATACACAAGTCGTTCTCCTAGCCGTTGGTCACCTTCAACGAACAGATCCCATGACTGTGAAAGAAATAGGACGCTCTGGTATCTTTTTAACTGGCGTCTCCAACCGCCTAGCAGCATCGTCTATCAGAGCACGCTTCCTGGGTATGATCGTCGGTACCGCCATCTCGCAGCTAATTGAAGAGCCCGGGAAAGGCATGAAATTTGACCTCGAGGAGATGGAAAGTGAGGAGGCACTGTGGTATTTGAATCTCATTAATACGAAAGACACCCTTGGATCTTTGGAATCGATCCGCACTCCGGCACCCAAGACGCAGAAACCCGCCAAAAGTTTGTCTTCAGATTCTACTTCTCAACCACAACCCAAACCACAGTCTTCTAAGATCGTGGCCATCGAAGAGATAGAATCTGAAAATGAGGAAGAAGATGAAGATGACGACCTAATCCCCTACGAAAAACCGGACGACGACCTATCCGACGACGATGACGACCCAACACTGGTTCAGAGAAACAAACCAACAGTACCAGTGTACATCCGCGACCTCGTAACATACCTCCGCGACGCGGACAACATCGACCGCTACAACCTCGCCATCTCCAGTGCCCCATCTCTGATCCGCCGCAAAACTGGCTTCGGCACCGAACTCACGGAAAACATCGAAGAACTAGCCCTCACTATCGTCGGCCTCCAGGAGCAAACCGATACACCGAAGTTCCACGAACATAGACTACAAAGCATGATCGCGCTCATCGTTGCCCAACCGCTCAAAATGGGCCGCTGGTTCTCCGCCATGTATTTTGAAGGTGACATCTCGCAAGTTCAGCGCTCCGCGATCCTCACAGCTCTTGGCCTGAGTGCTCGCGAACTCGCCGGGAACGGGGAGGAAGATGCAAAAGTCCTGGGTTTCCCTGCGATACCCGACGCCTCCTTCCCGTCCAAGCGCCTATCAGAAAGACTAGAAGCGCTGTACAAGACTGACGAGTCGCCCATCGCAAGCCTGACCAAACAACTCTCTCAGGCCTCTTTACAGCCCTTAGCTGCAAATGCCGCCGATTCAGCCTCCGGTCCCAACGCACTCAAAGTACGAACCTTCTCCTCACGAATGGAAGTTGAAAAGAAGCGCCAGCAGCGTGAGGCCCAGAAACGCAAGTCAACAGTCAAAGATCTCCACAAGGTCCTAGCAGAAGGATTCTTCTACCCATTAAAGGGCCGATTCGACATGATGATGATGCAGTTTTCCTCGTAAGTCTCTTCCCCAAGCCCTTCTCGAAAATTCCATACACTAACAGCAAAGATCAACTGCTCCCTCCTACAACCCCTTTGCAACCCCCCACCTCCTTGCCCTCTTCCTCCAAACTCTTTCCCTCACCCTCTCTACAACAGGTCCACACACCCCCCTCCTCCCAACCCTAACCCAAGAATCCCTCTCCCTCCTCCTCTCCCTCTACACCCGTCCTGTTTCCGACGACCCCACCATCCAATCCGCACTTCTATCCTTCTTCCTCGCGATTGTCGATCTGAACATTTCGTCCGGCGTTACTGGCGAAGAGCGACTGGTGACGGACTTTGCGGCGCAGATTATGGAATTGAGGGAGTGGGCTGGGGAGGTGTTTGAGAGGATGCCTGCGGGTGTGGCGGCAGGGGGTATAGTTGGTCCTGGTGGTGATGATGTACAGGGGCAGGTGAGGACGTTGGCGGCGGGGGTTATGGTTAGGTTGGGGGAGGTTATAGAGAGGTACCAGGGACGGTTGATGGGAGTTGGGGTTGGGTTTAAGTATTGATGCGGCATTTCGGCATTGATGGGTAGATTAGTGTACAAATCATGTGTTGACTATTGAAGTCATAAATGTATTCACTACTAAGCACTAAACATAATTGCCCATCTTCTTGTCCGATGGTATCGGACCCCCGTAGTAAAGCTGATCCCCCGCATCGGACCTCCGCATTTCATCACTTCCATGTTCCGAACCTATTCATGATAAGTACCAGCTTCACCCTCAATGTCCAAGTAAATACAATCCGCCCTACATCTACGCTCCAACATACATCATCTAGCATGCTCCCCACAGAAACCGACATCCTAATAATCGGCAGCGGCAACGCTGGCCTCTGCGCCGCCATCTCCGCCGCGCAAACTATCCAACAAAACCAACCCAAAAATAGCAACTCACGAGTCCTCCTAATCGACAAATGTCCCAATCAATGGGCCGGCGGAAACTCCTACTTCACTGCCGGCGCCTTCCGCACCGCCCATAATGGCCTATCAGACCTCCTCCCGCTCGTCAATAATGTTGATGCATCCACAGCTACTAAAATCGATATGCCTGCGTACACGGACGAGGCGTTTATGGGTGATATGCAGCGTGTCACGGGTGGACGGACGGACCCGGTTCTGTCGAAGACGTTGGTTGAAAACTCGAATGAGACGGTGAAGTGGCTGAGGAGCGTTGGAGTGCGGTTCCAGTTGTCGTTTAATCGGCAGGCGTATGAGGTTGATGGACGGGTGAAGTTCTGGGGTGGATTGGCGTTGAAGACGGAGGATGGGGGGAAGGGGCTGGTTAGTGATTTATGGGATGCTGCGAGGGGGTTGGGGATCGAAGTTGTGTTTGAAACGGCTGCAAAGAGGCTCATTACTGATGTGGAGACGGGGATAGTAAAGGGTGTTATTGTTTCGCATTGTGATAGGAACGGCGATGCAGGTAGCTCTAGACGGTGGGAGGAAAGAGAGATTCGTGCTGGTGCTGTGATTCTCGCTGCGGGTGGGTTCGAGGCGAATCCGCGGCTGCGCGCGCAGTATCTTGGTCCGAACTGGGATATGGCGTTTGTGCGCGGCACGCCGTATAACACTGGTGAGTGTTTGGAGATGGCCCTACAGGATCAGCAAGTCTCCGCACAACCCCAGGGAAACTGGTCTGGGTGTCATTGTGTCGCGTGGGACGCGCACGCGGCCCCAGATACAGGTAACCGAGAAGTTTCGAACGAGTATACCAAGTCGGGATACCCGCTCGGGATCATGGTTAATCGGGACGGCAACCGATTCATCGACGAAGGGTCTGACATGCGTAACTACACGTATGCCGTGGTGGGACGAGCGATCCTGAATCAGCCGGGCCATGTGGCGTTTCAGATCTGGGACAAGCGGACGAGTTCCTGGTTACGCGAGGAGGAGTATCGGGATGAAGTTGTGCAGCGGATTGAGGCGTCATCGGTTGAGGAACTGGCGGAGGAGTGTGCCCGGGGCCATGGTCTTGGGAACCCTTGTCGTTTCATCGAGTCAGTTGCGGAGTATAACCATTCGGTATCTGCGCGACAGGACGACGACCGAAACAACGGTACAGAGCGCAAATGGGACCCGTCTGTCAAGGACGGCCTCTCGACTCAGTCGACTAACTCTGGTCTATCCATCTCCAAATCCAACTGGGCCCTCCCCATCGACGAACCCCCCTTCCTAGCCGTCAAAGTCAGCGCCGGCATCACATTCACCTTTGGCGGGCTATCCATCAACCCCGAAACAGCGGGCGTAATTTCAACAACCGGCACAGAGGTACCAGGCCTATACTGCGCCGGCGAAATGGTTGGAGGATTATTCTATGACAATTACCCCGGAGGAAGCGGATTGACATCGGGGGCGGTTTTCGGACGCAGGGCTGGCCGGGCGGCGGCGGCGGGAGTTGTGCCTTATATAGGGCCGTAAAACACTGATCTACACCGTACGGAATAATTCAGTGATATACATAGCAGAGTACATACAGGGTACAGATGTACACTGTATATCTGTAGATCGACTGTTGATCGGTCCGGTTGATCTACAAGATGGACAAGTTCTGCCGGTTGGGACCGCCTTGGCATACTTCACCTCATGTTTATCTTTGTATGGAGTATTTTGAACGTTGTTGTTGAATTAATACTGACTATAAAAGACAGTAAACTCTTCGATATATCATTTCTTGTGTCTGTTTGGTATTCCTGATTACTGGATGACAAGGTATAGGAACGACACTGGCTGAATGCCAACGTCGGCACATCAACATCGAGCGTTGGCTGGACACATCCGGGAATGTCAGTCTGTACATTGTTGAGATGGGAAAGACGTTCTTGCTAAACAAGTGGCAAGGTGAAAAGGACCCTTTCAGATCCGTCGGCTCCGAGGATATGATTTGGATTGTTACACAACAGTTGTAAAAATATATATCTGACGATATCAAGGATATATCTTCACAGTTGTCCAAGCTTCGGGCAAGGATAAATATATGGTCTAGGACTAGCACATAGTCTACATCCAGTTCCCAAGAGGTTTTGGAATGGCCTAATGCCGGCAGTACCACCCAGAGGCCTCACCAGTGTATAGAAATACCAGCCTGTTCAGCACGAATCTCGTACGAATCCGCAGATGCCATACCCCCGATGCACTCGTCGGAATAAAGCATGCTCCAATTGACAACGGTCTCGAAGAAACCCATAATTTCACTATGGTTCAGGAACTAGCAGACCTCTTGTAACACTATTCCAGGGCACCAATGTAAACGGGCTGATAATGTCGCACACCGGGCATACACGGACCATCTCTCCGGTATGCAGCTATCCCATTGGGCTGACCAAATTCAATGGCTTCCCTACAATTCAATTTCACGTGTGCACTGGGAATACAAATGCTACCGAGGAAAAATAATCATGCCCTCCTGCAATGGAGTACAGTCGCTTAACGCAGCTCGCTCGCTCGCAAATCAGGACTATCACCGTTATTCTCAAATCCTTAGTCTTGGCATCCCACTAACCGAACACCCGCACTAAACCTAAATCAGCAAAAGAAACATGCCAAGGCGGGCCGCGTCAGCACCCCCTCGGGAAACAGTCATGTGCATTCTTGGCAGACGCCATTGCGGGGCTGTGGTTGGCTGGTGGGCGGTTTGTGGTTCGCCGGATTTGACCCTGCTTTTTTTTTTTTTTTTGCTTTTTTTATTTTTACGCTTTTTAGGCTCGAGCGGGCGGATATCGGGGATGTGGCCAATTGGAGGCAGAGATATCCACTTTTTAGGCTGGCGCTGGACGGGGATGAGTTTGGTTTGGGTCTTGGGGATTGGATTGGGTTGGGACAGGGACTGGGATAGGGACTGATCTGGCACGGACTGTGGTTGTTGCTTTTTCTGGTTTGGTGATGGAAAAGGGGCTCTACTGTATGGACAAGGTACAGTACTGTATCATATCTTGGTCAGAATATTCCATAGGCGATTGATATATTTAGAGAGAAATGACGTTAGATATTACTGGAGTACGTACGCAGTTCTTGGTTTAAGACAATAAGGCAACTGATAAATCTCGCATGTATTTATTTCTGTATGTATGGAGTACGTTGCCTCGGTTCACGTGACACCATACAGAGCAAACAGGTGACACCCGTCAATAGTCAATAGTCAACGGGCCTGTGTCGCGTCGGAATATTGTCATGGTGGCCATGGTGTCACATGTAGTGTCACAGTATGGAGACTAGTTTATCCAGAGTAGACAGACTAATGCACAATAATGTCATTGTCCACTGTACCTCCGTACGCATACAGAATCAATATCAAGACTGGACTCTAGGAGGACAGTACTCCTGCGCTCCTATTCTACGGAGTACACAGTACGGAGAACTATGCGTTGTTCTGTATGGACATAGTAGAAATAAATGACATCTGCCAAGTCATGCCCCACTTTCTGCAGATATGATGATTAAAGCTTGTTCCTGATTCTTCGTCTCGAGAGCGCTGTACAGTGTAGAGTACTTGTCTGTAGTGCTAGTGTAGAGAGTAGTTTAGTGTGCTCCATAGAGCGCAGATGCATTGTCACATACATAGTATCTACGTCATATTGCGCTTGGGGTAGTCTCCGATATTAGGCATGGAGCAGCAGGCTACGGAGACCACAATTCGATTCGCAGACAAATCTTTAGAATAAACATCGTACATTTCTACAGGCCATGGATAACCCAGTGGACCGGTGTTTCAGATGCACAAAGTTGTGGCTGTACTTCCGTGCTTGTAACTCCGTACTGGCCCTGACCCGGCCCTGGTCCTAGCCCGGGAGAAGAAGTGGAACCCCCAGGATCGCACCAGGGATTCGATCTAGATGGACGTAAGTGGGTGAGTGAGTGTGGGTGGGGGGAGGGGTGTCTGTTTTGAGCATGGAGAGCGAAGATGGATGGTATACCCTATTCAGAATAAGCAACAGCCACCAAACAGGCAAAAAAAGGATGTGCACGCGTCAGCTCTTAAGCCCCAGGGCCTGTGATTGGGTCATCTCCACCAGCCAAGATCGGCTATCGACTATCTGCCGTGTCCTATGTCTTGGCACTTTCCTGGTTGAGAGGGTCAGCATAACGGCGGATCCGCGGGAAACTTGCCTGTTTGTTGGAGGCTGTTGGTTAGGACTGCACGGAGAATTGCTCTCAAGGTCCTCGTTCAGTACTTGCACAAGTATCGAGTTGAGCTAGCCTTGTGTATTCCATGGTATAGATTGGTTATGCTCAGTATCTACTATGTAATCCGTACTCAGTCTGTTACTATCAATCACATCTGTAGTCCATGGAATTCCGTAATCCGTATCTCTACTGCCATGGACTCCCGTGCTGAACACTGCAATCTACAGCTGTCAGGGTCTACTCCACACGGCAGATCGTCATGATTGGCGGTTCCGAGCGCTCTTTATATGCCTCCATTCCCATTCAACAACAAACTCACCCTCAAACATGGAAATGCCATCGGCCATTTTACCAGAAGCCCCAAACAACCTCCGGAGCTGTCTCCAAAAACGAAAAGAAACAACAGTAACCGAACACCCATTGACTACAGAATAAACTCTCACCAACCACAAAGCAGTGGACCCCAGACACATGGTCGACTTTCCCTGGATTGTAGTGGGGCTCACACCGCTTTGATGCTGGGTTCCAATTGGAGCATAAATCATAGCATGCCACCCGATAAACTAAGCCTATCCCGGCAGTTCGTACACTTCCGCATCGAGCCTAGTACGGCGATGACACGGCTCATCATCTCCACTTAACGCGTACTCTTTTTTTTCCTGCCAGACTGCATAGTCGGCCTGTTCTTGTTCTTCCATACACTGGACTCAACGCAGGATTTTATTTACGCAATCTTTCATGTGGAATGTGTGGAGGTAAATGCTCATCCGGCTGGTTCCGTATCTGTACTATTGTGTACTTGTACAGAGTACAGGAGAATACTTGTAGAGGACTGTATGTACTCCCGGTACTTGTACAGAGATACCAGCTCGGTGGGAGCCCCACTAGGTTCATCTGGGCCATCCACGGATCGAATTGGAGAGAGAGTTAGAGTTGGGTGATGTATCAAGTCTTCCCGTACGTGACTAGGGTCCAAATCTGTGGTCTGTGATTTGCTGGTTAACGGCATGAACAGAGACTCGCAATGCTCCCATATACTTGATATTTTGTAGATATCTTGATATCCATAGGAATTTCTCAATAATTGTATGTTTTTCGTATTCTCATTAATTATATATATTTTTTCCGTTATAAGATCATTATCCTCCATGGAGTGTTATTCTGTATACACAGCGTGGCGACTCCTGGAACGGTTAGCGTGGAGAACAGGGACCATTCCCGAATAGGCAGGCTGAAAGGAAAATAGGGGCATTTCGATTTTCTTTTTTCTGACGTACCTGAGCATCTTTTTCTCTTTGGCCCCTCTTTTTTTTTTTTTTTTCCCTCTGAGGAAAATTTAAAAAATAAAATAAAATAAAATACTTCCCGTCCCAAGAAGCTAAGAATATTACAGGATTACGTACAGCGTATTTTTGTCCGATCCCGGAGGTTTTGCCTCGTGTATACAGATGTAGAGTACAGCGTACAGAGGGAATATACACAATGTAGAAGGAGTCAGAGAGGTAATAGCACAATCTACAAGAAAACCGCTGTTCAACAATATAAATTATAGTATAGCAGGTGGTATAGTTACTGTAAAGGGGAAAGATCCGCAGCGTCACTTCCCTTCGTCCCTGGGGCGGTTCATAAGCTTCGCCGATCCCCTTCCCCAGATGTTTTTACTCTTCTTCTTCTTACTCTGTTCTCTTATATCTCTCTGTCAATCACTTTCTCATCCTTTCCTCTTCGACCTGATCATCTCTACTTTCAACCTCTCCAAACATTTCTGCATACCTAACTTACACTTCCACATAAACATACTACTATGACGATGGTCCTTGAGAACCAGAACCGCCCATACGGCGGAATGGCCTTTGATTCTGTCTACCACCATCATGGCCTTCCTCATCCCAATACTCCTCAATTCACCGACCCTTGGGCTGCTGCGCACTCATCTTCCCACTCCAATGCCCCCGTCTACGCCCCTCTCAACCCCATCAAGCAGGAGGATGTCAACAACCGTCCCTCGCCATTGTCTATGCCCTATTCCGCCGCCAGTATCCCCGTGTCTGCGCCCTCGTTGGTCTCGGGTCCTGCTTCAGCCAGTTACTCGACCCCAGCCACCACCACTACTGCTGCGCCCAGCTATCCCCCAGCCCCCGAGATCATGAGCATGCCGCACGAGATGCCGCGCACCTCGTTTGAGCACCCCCCAACATACACCACCGCTTCCTCCATGAGCAGCTTTGCCCCCGCTAGCTATGCGCCGCTCAGTTATGCTCCGCCGCTTCACCACCAGGATCGCCGGATGTCTCATGCGTAAGTGCCTCTATTCTCGCTGTCTCCGCGACGAACGCATGCTAATTCGCGAACAGTGACTCGCGCGTTGGTCAACCGCAACACCCGGCCCCCACCTTCGGCGATGCTTTGGATGCCAGTCGCGGCATGGTCGCTCTAAGCCAGGATCTCACTCCTCGCAACATCTACGGTCCTCGTAACTCCAGGGGTTCGGGCGACTCGTACGGTTTCCCCTCCGCCAACTCTTCCGGCTCGTCCATCTCCTCTGGTGGAAACTACCCCTACTACAGTGCCTCTGTGGCCTCCGTGGACTCCTCCGTCACCGATTACAGTTCTACCTCTGACTCCTACGACAATGGCATCTCCTCCCGCACTCTCCCCCGTCCTTCCACATTGCTGAGCGGTGCCGCTCCCCCGGGCCCTCAGTCCATGATGAGCCAGTTCAGCTCTAAGATGCCGTCCAACACCCAAAAGAAGCACAAGTGCAAGGTGTGCGACAAGCGCTTTACGCGCCCTTCTTCGTTACAAACACACATGTACAGTCACACTGGTGAAAAGCGTAAGTTTGATTGCCCCTGACTATCATTTTCTTTTTTCGGTCGATGCTGACCCCAAATTAGCATTTGCTTGCGACGTTGAAGGCTGTGGGCGACACTTTTCTGTCGTTTCAAACCTGCGCCGACACAAGAAGGTCCACAAGGGCGATAAAGAAGGCGCGTCCGGTGACGAAGAGTAAAGCATCTGTTTACCCTTCCCCCTGCCCTGTCAGCCGACGTTTGAGACCGCGTGTGGCTTTGCCAGTGTTGCATGACCTTGTACAACACTTTCTTCCCTTCGTTTATTATTTTCATTTCTTTCCACTTTTTTTTTTTTTTTTTTTGTCTCTGTCCATTGACAGGGAATTGATACCCGGACGTTTATTTCCTTCTCATCTTACGTCTTAATTGCCTTTGATTTTCGATGTCATGTACAAGGCTGGTTCGGGATGATTTACTTGTGATGTCCTGTTCTGTTACGACCATAGAGGTGCCGGTGGTTTATTTGCTTGCTTTTTTGATTTCGGATGGATACCTGGTTTCTTATTGATTATTCCCTCGCTAGACCGTCGGAGTTGGGTTTCTTTTTGTTGATTTGTTTGCATGAAGTTTCGTCAAGATACCAACTGGGTTGTGTCTTTTTTGTTATCTTATGTTCTTTTTCTTTTTTTCTGCGAGTCCGTGCCCCGGGAAAAGTTCGCAGCAGGCATTCTTTTCTCCAATTCTTCTTTGTGACCGTGACATGACATGAAAGAGATTTGTCAGTCGCTTATTTTTCTTATATATACATATTGCCTAATACATGGACTGTGTGCCTACAACTGATTGACCCATATAACTGAAGTAGTACTCCACCGTTATAGAATGATCCACCGTAGGATGATTGTTTGATCGACCCCTAGCAGAAACACACCTGAAACGCGCAAGGGATTTGACAGCACGGCAGATAGCTGGCAGGCAACTGGACCCCGTCCCGTTGGAGATGGAGCTGGATCTGAAACTTGAAACCTCCACGCGTCCTGACATTTGGGACTTGTGTTTTGATGTGTCGGATTAGGTATGAGGGGTTTGCAGATGTATGCGTTTTAGTACGGCATACAACCAGCATACAGCATGCAGTGCATATGTGGGAAATAGATAAGCAATGCGTAGCGAGCATTATGGTTGATTATTAGTGGTTGTTTAGGTTGATTGATTAACACAAGCAGACAAACAAACGAGCAAGCACGGAATGTACAAGTACAGTATAACGCTGAAAGAGTGATCTAATCTGATCTTTGTTATGATAGCAGCAGAAGCAAGTAAAGCACAGCAAAAGATGATGGCGATTATTAAAACTCAACAGCACCAGGCAGTCGAGCTGGCGTGTAATAAGCGTATGTAAGAGTAGTAAGTAGGTACAGCAAGGGAACAGATTGAGATTGTATAGTAAGAGAGGTGATGTGATGCCGATGCTGGGATTGATTAACGAATTCGGTCCAGTCTGTCTCTGTTCATGGCCAGTTGGTCGTCGACGAAGTCGCTCTGGATGATTGTTAATATGTGTACAATTGTGGCCATTGGGGGTAAGAAGGGGAAGAGGGCATACCTTTCCAGCAATTCGTTCCAGGTGTCTATTCTGTTCACTGATCTCACGACCAGTCGCGCGGGCAAGGCCATTCATTCGACCCGCAGCACCATGTAATAGTTCCAAGTTCTGCTCGATCTCGTCCTCCATCCCCTCGTCCTCGCTGTCCGCTTCGAACTGGTACTTCGCGCGCTCTGTGACATTGGCACGCGCCTTGCCGGCGGGCCGCTTGCCCTCCTTGTCGATCTCACGGAAAGTGCGGTCCATACGCTGGTTAGTCTGAAACGCCTCACTCCGGGTGCCCTCGCGGGTATCACGGTCCTGGCGATGGGTGTTGAGGACGAGTTCCTCGCGCTCGCGGCGGCGGCGCGAAGCGGTGAAGGGGTTGGCAACATGGACGTGAAACATGCTCTTGTTGAGCGTTTTGAGTTCACGGGCTTTTTCCTGCGCAACACGGCCCTCGATTGTGGCGAGATCGAGGTTGCGCTCTGTGTCATGGATGGTTTCTCCCTGCGCGCCTAGACGGGCGAGGGTTTCACGGCCGGTTTCTTCCGCCTGCGCGGCGATTCGGAGGGCGTTGCGGGTCGATGCTACATCGCCTTGCTTGACGAAGCGCATCTCCTGCTTGATGGCTTGGATTTCCTCCTCTTCTTCTTCCTCCGCGGTGAGCTGGCGCTCCTGGTACACGTTGTTGTAATCGTTGCTGCCGCCGCCGTAGCCACCTCCATATGCAGCTCCCGCGGCATTTCCTCCTTCTTCGTATGGCGGGGGAGCGCCGGGTTGCTGTTGCTGTACTCGATCTCTTGCTCCGCCGAAGAGTGCGTCTCGACTGGCATCGCCGGGGTCGTTGGGGTCACTGCCTAGACCTCCATAGCCTCCAGAGCGCGCAGCGGCGGCACCACCCCCACCGCCGAATCGATCTGTTCCGTATCCGCCCTGATTACCATATTTGTTCGGTGTGTATCCTCCAGCAGGACCGGCGGAGGCTGCGATGGGTGCGGTTGCGGTCGCGGCAGGGGTCTTGTCTCCGGCGAGTGGTTGCTCACCGGCGGGGAGGGGAGCCACGCCGGCTTCGATCTTGGCTTTGGTGTAGGCGTTTGTTGGGATGGGTTTGGCGTAGGGGTTTGCTGGGGGGCTTTTGTTCTTGCGGCCGAAGAGGGCACGGCGGTTGGAGTCGTCGCCGTCGTCGGATTTCTTGAAGAGGCCCATTTTGTGTGCAACTGTGTCAAATATCGGATTATATAGGCGGATAAAGAGTCACACGACAAAGACGAGGAACGAGAAAAATGATGAGAGGATATGAAAAAAAAGATGGTCGTTCAGGAGAGGTAAGACATGAGGCGACTATGGTATTACCAGTACGGCCACATCTGGGGTCTATCACTGTAGCCACAGGAATGTGACAGTACCAATACATGGCTTAGAGAAGCCAAGTGAGGCTAACCTGATACGGCTAGCCTACTTATATAATCACCAACCTCTTTGCTGTTTTTATTTCACTTTTCCGTCCTCACATTGACAACTTCTCCCAATCCAACAACTCCCAGCGAGCAATGCACATCCATGGCGCCAAATTCAGCGTCTGATGCGGACTACTTCAGGGACAGGGCTCGCAAGGACCTGTTGGCTCTCCTGGAAGGCGTGAGTTAAGGCTCCTGGGTTACCTGTCATCTGTCATCGTCCCTGTTGGCTGAACATCGCTGCAGGTCCGCGGTAAGAAAAATGTGGTCATAAGCCAAGATCTGGCTGGTCCGGTCGGGCTTTTTGTCAAGTTCTCGCTGCTCCAGGAGTATGGCGTAGACCGAGTCTTCCTGCTGGAAAATGCCAATGTGGACTCATCGCAGCGCAATGTTATATTCCTAGTTCATGCTGAAAAGGCACGCCACGTGCGGACGGTGGCAGGTATGTGCTTACTACTCTCATTCTTGCATTTCATCGTAGACGATGGGACAATCAGTAGATTACGCAGATTATTTCTACTCTACGTAATCAGTCAAAAGATCCCTATATCGAAACAAGCTCAATTATCTGGCACTCTTTTGTTATCAAGTCGATTGAATGCTATCAGAATGAGCTGACATTTTATTCTTCCTTGCAGAGCAAATCAAGCGCTTGCAAAGGAACGGAAATGTGGAGCATGAGTTCTTCATCTTTTGGGTTCCCAGACGGACCCTCGTAAGCAACTCCATCCTCGAGGAGGCCGGTATCATCGGGGATGTGAACGTCTTAGAGTTCCCTTTGTATTTCATGCCTCTGGAGGAGGATGTTCTGTCCTTGGAGTTGGACAGTTCCTTTGGTGATCTCTACTTGGTAAGAGTAATGTCATCCGTATGCAGATGCTTTTGTATTGATTCCCGCAGAATAAAGATCCCGGGTGTATTTTCCAATCTGCAAAGGCTCTCATGGATATCCAACAGAGACATGGCTACTTCCCCCGAATAATTGGTAAGGGTGACAATGCTCGGCGGCTGGCAGACCTACTGTTACGCATGAGAAGGGAGCTCGATGCCGAAGAAAGCTCAGGCCTCAATGGTCTCCCTGCGAGGGGGCTTATGCCCAGTGCTAGCACTGAAAGTTTGATCATTATCGACCGTGAAGTAGACTTTGGCACAGCTCTCCTTACCCAGCTAACCTACGAGGGACTAATCGACGAAACCGTCGGTATCAAACACAACCAAGCAGATGTCGATACTACCATTGTCGGGCCTGGCGCCGCCCAGGAATCCTCCAAAGCCCCTCAACAACAGACCTCAAAACAGGGCCAGAAACGCAAAATCCAACTAGACGACTCCGACCAGCTCTTTAGCCAACTGCGCGATGCAAATTTCGCCATAGTAGGCGACATCCTAAACAAAGTGGCCCGGCGGCTAGAAAGCGAGTACGAAAGCCGCCACACAGCCAAAACTACCACACAACTCCGCGAGTTCGTGAACAAACTCCCTACTTATCAACTAGAACACCAAAGTCTCCGAGTACACACCAACCTCGCAGAGGAAATCATGCGAGTCACCCGCTCAGACATATTCCGCAAAGTCCTAGAAGTCCAGCAGAACAATGCCGCAGGCGCTGATGCAACCTATCAACACGATTCTATCGAAGAGCTCATCGCTCGGGATGCACCTTTAAAGACCATCCTTCGTCTACTTTGTCTGGAGTCTTGCATGTCCGGGGGTCTTCGTGCCCGTGATCTCGAGAACTTCAAGAAGCAGGTCGTCCAGGCATACGGGTACCAGCACCTACTCACCTTCGATGCTTTGGAGAAAATGGAGCTTCTACAGCCACGCTCTTCCGCAACGACCATGCTCCTCCCCACCACTGGCACCGCGCAGGCAGGCCTTAAGACCAACTACAGCTATCTCCGCAAGAACCTCCGCCTTGTCATCGAGGAAGTCAGCGAGAAGGAACCTGAAGATATCTCCTACGTCTACAGCGGCTTCGCACCCCTCAGCATCCGACTGGTCCAATGCGTCCTGCAGAAACCATACATCCTCGCCCTGACCAAAGGCAGTTCAGCACCTGCTTCCACAAACACGAACGCCGCCAGCACAACATCTCCCGGTTGGCTCGGCTTCGAAGACGTGGTCAAGAGCGCCCGTGGAGCAACATTCAGCATTGTCCAGAAGGGAGACGACAAGGCTGTTCGTGCGCGGCAGACAATCAGCGGCAACAACGCGATTAAGACCGTGTATGTGTACTTTCTGGGTGGGATCACGTTTACGGAGATTGCGGCGTTACGGTTCATCGCTGCGCAGGAGGCGCTTAGGAGGAAGATTGTGATTTGTACGACGGGGCTTGTTAATGGGGATCGGATGATGGATGCTGCTATTGCGAAGGGGGGATTTGCGAAGGAGGAATAGCGTTAGGATTTACTTGAGATGATGTGTACTAAACATGATGAATGAACACTCGAACGAAAATAATTGCTATTTTGATTCTGGTATAAGTACACACGCCAGTCCTTCAACACCAAAGATGATTAGAAGAGAAAGAGGAAATGAAAATAAACAAACCCAGATCCAAACGGCAACATAACACAAATATAACAACACAGGAACAAGAACGCTTACCCCTTAAACAATGATCATCAACTCCGCTCTGTCCAACCCATCATCATCCAGAGTAGGGTAATACGGCACCATCGAGTCCGCACTCTGCACATAAGCATCATTGTACAATCTCCAGTACGGCGTCCGCACCTTCCGTGCAGGATGGAACAATCCAGCCCACACGTAGTTCATTACAACGCCGCTACCAACAGCCATGCGGATGGCGTCGATGGCCTCGATAACCCGGTCAATGACGTGGGGACTCGTTTCGAAGATGTTAGGGAAGACAAGGTTAAGGAGGTGAACCATTGCGTCTTCACAGCCAAGACCGACAACGCCCAGAGCGATGTGCTTAACGACGCTGGCGGCGGTTTGGCGATGGACTTGATCACGGTCGATGAGGGCGTCTTCAATGAGGGGCGTAACAGCGTAGACGTAGTCTTTAGCCATTTCGCCGATGTATTCGAAGAGGAAGGACATTGCTTTTAGGACACCGTTTTGGACGTTGAGTTCGGGGACGCGGTATTCGTTCATGAGGGCTGGGAGGACGGTAAAGGGGGCACAGGTTTCGGCGACGATACCGATGGCGACGGCGGTACACACACGGGATTGACGTTCCTGTACACGCAAGTTGTTGAGCAATGTTGCAAGGACATCCTGGGGACCGATGGCCTTGGCGATGAAACCGAATGTGTTATTAGCTGCACGACGGATGCCCTTCTTGTGCGCCTTCAGCATGTCCAGCAACTCGAAACAGATACGCATCCATTCACGGGCGTTGACGGCTTCAGGACCACGGTCAGCAATACGACCGACCAGATCGATAGTGTTTTCTTGCACCTTCTCGTGTCGGTTACGGAGAATGGGAGTCAGACGGGGTAATAGATCACGAATTGGTGGTTGCATCTGGTTGATACCGACGACAGTGACAATGGATCGAAGAGCACCAAGAATGGAACCAAGAACCTCGGGATATTCTTCACCTAGGTATTCGTAGAGCACAATACCCAATTTACCCATGAGCTGATCCTCCCCGCATTGCCTCATAACCATCGCAATCCGCGAAATGAGGTCTGCCGCTTGTTGACGAACGGTAGCGGACTTGTTGTTGAGTCGCCACAGTATAGTACTGACGATCTGTGGGAGATAAGGCTTGCACCGGGTGCCGAGCGCGTTCACAACTGTACCAAAACCATTGAGAATCACAATATCTTCGATGCTTTGCTCTTGGAAGGCATAGAGGACACCGTCGATCAGTCGTTCTTCCAACCGCTCCGAAATATCTGCCGCACCAAGCGACGCTACTAGCTTCTCCGTGGTTTCCACGGTCATCTTGCGGTACGGTTCGCTCTCATCCTTCAGGTTGTTCACAGTTCGCTCCAGAATCTCACCAACACCGACCTTCTGTCCCAGATCAACGGTGGTGTCAACCACCTGGCGGTAATTCCTCCGGTCCAGCGCCATTCTCCTCACCCAGAAGCTCTTGAAAAAGTCGGTCAAGACATGTTCCTTCAGGTAGCCAGCTGTTACACCGTCAGTGCTCGCGCATTGCGACACCACCTTCAAGACGACCTTCTTCATTTCTTCATCTGGAGACGAGAACTCTCGAAGCAGGATCTCCATAATTTGGCTAGTATAGTAATTGGCGTATTCCTCGTCCATGAGAGGAATAATGTATCCGACAGCCTTGAGGAATGCAGCAAGACCCTTGCCACGCTGCTTCCGCGCTCCCGTCCAAAGAGGATTGAGAATTTCATCAAAACTCTCGATACCGTACGGATTCGCCGCTTCGGCCAATGCAGCCACAGCCAACGCTGTAACAGTCCGAACCTTGGCCTGCTCATCGCTCAAATTGTCGGCAATGCAGTCCACCAGGCCCTTAAGGTGAGGCAGAATAGCGCAACCCATGAGAATAGGGATCTGTTGGACAATCTTAACACCGGTGTGTCTGGCTTGCCAGGACTTCTTACTGCGACACACGGCCCGAAGGAATGGAAGAAGAGCTGGAATACCAAGGGCGGAAGCGACAACGGCGAACGCTCGAGCTGTCGTGTTCCGGACATACTCATCAACATGGTCGATATCAGGACGCATTGTACTGATCATGGTAGCAAGACCAGCTGCTTTGGCTAGGTTGGAGATAATTTCCCGACCTTCCACACGAGCATAGTAGTCTTGGTCAATAAGCAAAGGTTCAATAACGACGAGAATTTTGTGAACGTAGGGGCGAACGAGATCATCAAGCTTGTAGAGCACACGGTCAATGACCTTGACCAACAAATGGCGTTCCTGATCTTCCAGCGACTTCTCCATGAGTAATGGCAGAATCTGGTTGAACAAGGCACCAGCACCGAATTGCCGCGCATTGTCTGTCAATTGACGCAGAGCAGTCTTTCTCATCGGTGGTGTGCCGTTCTTGACCTTCAACAGTAGTCTCATGATCTTCCTTTCTTTCATTTCCTCCACGGACATGGTGTTTTCTTCGCCTCCTTCCATCAGCTTGCCAAAGTACGCCATATCTTCAGGCTTGAAGAACTGGAGATCGCCAACGCCAGGGATATCGGTTGGCAGCTGCTTGCCAAGGGAGCGGGCACTCTCGGGCTCTTGCATCATAAACCCTCCGCCTGCGGCAGGGACAGGGGCTGGAGTAGCCATGAGTTTGCGAGCAGGAGTTCGAATGGGGGCATATCCCGGCGGGGGCTCGAGGATCTGATAGCCCTCAGATGGGAGCATCAAGTCCAGCTCTTCGTCCGATAAGGGAGCATTGCGGCCAGAAATATCAGTTCCAAAGCTAGTTGGCATCAAAGGCATACCTGCTTGAGAAGGATGCATAGGGGTTGCAAGACCCTGGTTACCAACGGGAGTCGCTGCCCCAAGTGCAGGTGCCTGGTCCCATCTTGACCGACGCTTGGCGCCTTCCTCGCCTGGAGCAATAGGGGCAGGCGTCTGATCCCAGCGTGATCTCTTTGGCTTGGCCTCTTCTCCGGTTTGAGCAGCCTGAGGCCCAGTTTCAGCAGGCTCAGTGGTGACATCCCATCGTTGCTTGCGTTTACGGCCAGATGCGACAGAGACTGTGGAACCCGCTTCGGCATTTTCCTTATCCTCGAGTGTCAGGGTAGCCTGGTGTTCCGTGACGCCGTCTTCGCCATTGGCCTGCTTCTCTGCGATCAGCTTCTGGATACGCTCTTCTTCTTTTTCAAGCTCACGCAGAGCCATGACTTCACGATAAGTCTGGCCATCTCCTTCGACATTTGCATGAGTGTTGGCAGCGAAGGGATCGGCTCTCGTAGGCGTCAAAGGTCCACGGTTGAACCGGCGCTTCTGGTAGTCCGTCTCTCGGTCCGCAATCCTGGCCGCTTTCTCGCGTCCAAGAAGTATATCCTCCTCTTCAACTCCATTTCCATGTGCCATTTCATCAACCTGATCCTTGGTAGCGGTATATTGTCCGACCAAACGGTGACCAGCATCAGCATCCTCCATTTCCTCGTCATCGCCATCGATGGCAATCGAAGTGTTATATCCCGCATATTTGTCGGCGCCTTCGCGATCGTATAGCGTCGTGTCGAAGGATTCACTCAGGGAGGCCTTGGTCGAGTTGTCAGTGCGCTGGCTAGACGGATCAAAGGTCCTTGAACCTTTACTTCCAGCTGCTGCTGCATTCCGCTCAGCTTGGAGCTTCCGAACGGCTTCGAAATCAGCTGCAGGAGTGATTAGTAATGTACTGGGGACATTAGATAGACAGAGGACGAAAGGTGGGACTCACCGTCAGACATGATGGACGGCTAGGAGATTCCCAATGATGAGATAGACAGAAACAAGCAATCCCGAGCAGGATTAGCAGGGCTACATTCGGATATGGTACCGCGACGGACGGCGACTCGGAAGATAGTTGAGGGTGCAAGTCACCGGCGATGGAATATCGAGCGTTGATTTGGATGCTTTGGATGATGCCGTGGTCGAACGTCGCGCGCAAAAACCGGCGGGACTCACGTGATGTTGATATATCACGTGACTGCAATGGCTCTGCTTACTCATCGAGTCATCGTTCTAGTTAGATGTTAATTGTTCCAAATGGCATACAGGACTCCCAAAATGTTTCTATTACATTGGAAAATAGTTGGAATGAGCTCTTACTGCGAAATGATGTGGTTTCCGGAATGAAGCGCCCCCAACTATAAACACCAGCGGCGTATTTCAACCCCCGAAACATTGTCGAAGTCATCGCATTTAGCTCTCTTCTTAATCCATAGAAGAAGACAACCCTACACTGGAAGTATACAGGATACCTGGACTGATTAAGTGGGACAATACGGAGACGAGGAATGAATATAGATCCGGTATGCTGTATAAATGGTATCCTTCATTAAGTATAATTTATGGCCAGAATCATGATATCAAAACAAATAACGACACCAGGTCGTTGTAGAATGAAAGAAAACAATCTTCAAAAAACCAACCATATCTCGTCATCATAATCATAACCCTTTCTCATGAAATAACAACCAAAAGAAGAAACTCGGAAACAATGAGCACCAAAAAAGCCCTCCCCCAAAAAGCCAAGCTAAACGCTAGCCGTCCTGCGGTTAACCTCACTCGGTTTCTGCGCATGGGCAATCAACAACCGGAACCCCGTGCCCTTCTTCTGACATTCCCTCAACACCTTCCGATCATTCCAAATCCGTAGATCGACATCCCCATCTGGAAGAACAGGGATCTCGTAACACCGGGTGTACCACCAGCGACCGACTTTGGCGACGATCTTGCGGATGGATTCGTCATTTGATGGGGATGGGACGGGGTCAGAGAGGAGA